ATGAATTTTGAAGAATTGATACTATTTTCTGAATATTGTATTTCATAATTATTGATTTTTATATAAATAGTTTATCAAAATTCAATTTTTCATGATTTAACTTGGACATAAATTACTCTTTATTTGTGCATCCACACAAACAAAATATTACTAACAATCTAACTTGGATGCTGGTGTGAAGAAATAAGATTCTTAGGGTGAAAATAGGAAATTTATAGTATCAATATAAAGAAAATAATTAGTGGATAGCGAGGACCATACGTCACAGACTCATGAGTGAGTTGCCAATTTGTGTAGTGATTTTCAAAGTTTGTTATGTCATTAAAAATTCATAACTTTCTTATTAGTTATCCGACTTTGCTCAATCTTTTTTTGATTGGTTTATCTGATTTTTCTGGTTCTATTGAAACTAAGTTATTTTTGGAGTGGACTTGGGCTTTAAAGTGACACGGAAAAGGAGTCATCTTGACTCTGAATTGAGTCAATTCTCAGCTGATGCCACACAATCCGAGTCAAATTGATTCGGAATCCGTGTCACTTTAACTAGGAATAGAGTTGACTCCCAGCTGACGCCATTTAGAGTGAAATTTGACGCCGTGGAAATAAGAGTGTATACATATGCATGTATATATCTATATACAGAGAGAGAGAAACAAAATAAAAGAGAAAGAAGTGGAGAGAGAGATGACTGAGGGAGCAAGCTCACGATCAATTATTCTTGTACCAAATGTAAGTTCAAGGTTATTTAAACAACACATGCTATAAGCTCAACACTCCTGGTTGTTTTCTGTTTTCAGGTGTTCCGCTATATTACCTTCAGAATATGTCTTTGACATGCTTAAAATTAATCTCAAAGAAAAATATTTGCTCCAGAGAATGAAAGGGAAAGATGGCACTTATAAAAGGCTGCAGAAGGACAAAAAGCTTACAATCTGTAAAGAGATAAGCCTATGAAGGTTGGGCTAATCGCAGCCCACCACAATAAGAGAAATATTTCAAAATGAAAGAGAGAAACAACTCAGGGATTGGCCTCATTTGTGATGGATAAAGCGTTGGCCTTTCCCTCCAAGGCATAGTAATAATGACATAGTCTTCCTGTTTTTATGGCCTAATGACCAGGCTGAATGGATGCGCCGCTGTAGGTCACTGAGCCGAGATGAATCGATGCAGATATTGACACTACAAAAGGGAAACAAATATATTCTTAAATAAATACGAAGTAAAGCAACCTGCTTCGAAGTTCCGCCTGAATACAAATACGTAATATTTCGTGTAAATAATATGGTAAGGAAACAATCTAAAATACTTGTCTGAATTCCGCAGAAATCAATGTTACATGATCTCCACTTTACTCTTAAAAAGGAGTAATTCCTGTTATCTAAGGCCATGCCGATGGGGGTTGCGTCTATGTAAAATGATATGATTTCTGGCTCTTAAAGGAAACTCTAACCTAAAGAATAAGTGCACGTATGATAAAATAAGAGATTTATCCCTCGATCCCTCTAGATATACAATAGGCCTTACGAAAATGTGCAAGAGATATATAAATGAAGATATTCCTGACATTATGTAATGCCTTTTTAGCATGACATGTCCGTCAGAAAAGTTACCCTCTACCCCCTTCGCTCTCGCTCTCTCTCTCTCTCTCTCTCACTTGTTCTCTCTCGCTCTACTTCTTATTGTGCTATAACAATATCACAAGGAAATGCAACATATCCATACAACATAACCCTTTCCCGACGGACTGACAAAAAACTGATTTGATTTATATGATGTAAAACCACAGGATCACAAAACTAACCATATAAATTTAAACCATAAGTTATAGTCGAAAATATTAACCACATCAAACTATTCTTTTTCCGCTGTGGAAGTTGACGTCCCTGTGAAGAATCGGTGATGCAGACTTTGGCCCTGTAATACAAAGCTTATAGTAATTGATCGAACGATTGATTGACAGATCTTTCGATCAGTTGATTATAGATAGCGATCAATAGACCAGTTACTAGACAGCACATGGCACATAATATGACCCCGAAAATCCACATATCTTTTACACACGGAGAAAAACAACTTCGTGCCTTTTAGAATAACCATATCAAAAGTCATGGACGTGCTTCATAATACATTTTGTTTGCACTCCAGAGAAGAATACACCCACTTGTGTATCATAGATTAAACCGTCGGTGCAGGATTGAATGATGATTACCCAACTTTCATGAGCACACATCCATTATTCATCTGGGTTTTACAAATTTGGAGCAAATTATCTTTATCTGCCTATTCGCAGATTGCATCTCCGAACTGGTCTATTGCAAAAGAGCAAACCACCTCTAACTTATCTTTGTGTTACGGGCCTTGAACAAGAAGATTTGTTCTACAAGCCGACAGAAGTTTTGACAAAACAATTTCTCATATGTAATTTCTATCATTCTACAGCCGACGTGATATTAGTGCTCACTGGCATGAATGATTTGTTTTGTAATAACAAGCAGTAAAGTATGATTAATGTGGTAATCTCACTTTGCTCTGCCTACGAATGCAAAGACACTCCCACGCAAGCGATTTTGAATTTCTGCCGCATGGTTGATTGTGACTAAATCAATAAACATATCCAGATTCACATTCGGGGCACAATTGATCAGAAATACTTCTCTTATCATTAATTCTTAGTGTTAAAGGTATATAGAAACAAGTTATCTTACAGCAGCAGCGCACACAATCCTACAGGAAAACTTGTTTACGCCAACCCTCAAATCATTCGGGAAATAGTTCTAGGGATTCTTAACCTATACAAAACCCACCAATAATAGATCGCTAATCACAGTTTCTCATCAAATATTTGAGAGAGGAAGTTTACAGTAAATAGTGCCACCCTGCATACAGCAGCGCACGATTTTATTTGAGTTGAATTGAACTGAATTTGCTCTAAATTCGATAAAGAAGGGACTTCTTGCACAAAATATGCGAATAATCATTCACCAATGATAGCAAATAGATATTGCCGTTGGAGCAATTCTTGTTCCACTTGTTACAGTCAGTGTCTGTATAATGACTGTCATATAGAAACTTAGTGACCCAAGCGAGGGCATTTTACTCAATCCTTTTGTAAAATCGAACTTTCGGTTCGTCGACAATATGTTTGGTAAACTGATTCATATTGCTTTCTCAATGTTTTTTTTCTCCCTTGTCTGTGTGTTTTTTTCTTCGATAAAGGATGAATCCCTTTAAAGAAAAAAAGCACCATGACATTCATTCATGTAGGCAAACATCGAGCGTAAAAGCCTACACTTTTCGATATTATAGTGAACAAACATTTGGTTAGAGAAAAATTAAGCAGAGGTTACAATTTTCAGATAGCAAAGGAAAAAAGATTTTGTCGAAGGAGTGGCTAACTCATATATTGATGTCTGCATGCTGACCATAAAAGGCGTTTAAAACAACACTACCACCATTACTACTACTACTACTACTACTACTACTACTACTACTACTATACTACTACTACTACTACTACTCCTACTACTCCTACTACTCCTACTACTACTACTACTATACTACTACTACTACTCCTACTACTCCTACTACTACTACTACTATACTACTACTACTACTACTACTCCTACTCCTACTACTGCCACTACTACTACTATACTACTACTACTACTACTACTACTACTACTACTACTACTACTACTACTACTACTACTACTACTAATACTACCACTACTACTACTACTGCTGATGCTGCTACCACCACCACTACTACTACATGTACTACCGTACTACTGCTACTACCACTGCTACTACATATACTTCTATTATACTACTGCTGCTGCTAAAACCACTGCTACTACTACTACTACTACTACTACTACTACTACTTCTACTACCACTGCTACTACTACTACCACCTCTGCTACTACTGTTACTACTACTACCACTACTAGTACTCCTACCACCACTACCACTACTCTTACTACTACCAGTGTTGCTGCTTCTACCAATAATACTCTCTAATACACACGCACCAAGATACCAACAGTTATTTCCTCATTTCCCTAAGTTTAAAATATCTTTTTATATGTGCTCCTGATCGATAATGCAAAAACAATGAAATGCCTTAAAGCCCCACTGTCCTACTTGTAGCTAATTGCTCCCTCTATATAGAAAACTTCCCCAATCGGTGCCTGTTGGTCCCCCATGATCCTCTTTTTCTTATGTTAGTTGAGAGCTGAGTTAATTAGATAGCCACCTGTCAGTGACCTCGCTGTGTGGTCTAATCCCTTCAGACACAGTAGTATTGACGGTCTTTAATAATAATCTTCAAGTTATATTATCCAAGACCATTCCAACAACGCTAAGATGCAGGCGTTAGTGGGCGATGGTGCTTTTTCAATAAACGGGAGACTAACGAAAAAGGGTATCATATATGATATCACTAATAATATAATACATTTCCTTCTTCAAAATCTGATTTTTGGAATAAGTTTCTAAGTAAATATATACTTCAGTGATAAACATAATAATTTTATATCTATAATTCATATCACAGGGCGGTTAGCAGGTCTTCTCATTTGTGAGAAAAGATGATGTGTTTGAATACATTATCGATCACCTCTGGTGATGTAGTACTCTCAATACCGCACCTCTTTTAATTGTTGTCCCACTGAATTAATCACAGATCAACAGTTCAAATGAATAGGTCTCGCACAAACAACTTGTCTGAAAAGGCAGTTATTGAAAGGAGCGGTCGACTGCTCGCTCTGAAAGAGAAATTATTTTGACATGATCAGGTAGAGGGTGCAGCAGACTCTGATTCAAACCTGACAAAATAGAATCCCCAAATCTCAACTTGAATGAGAGGGATCCATTTCTGTTGCACGCATTGTCTCCACACAGGGGTTCAAGGCTAGGCATCGTGATTGGATAACGTGGGAACTCGCGCATGCGCATTCCTTCATCGGTCAGCCTTCAGGACTGAGGCGCGGTCGGGCAGACCCGCACTTGACGCCTTGCACCCGTGGACGTCGAAGTACTGGAACGTTTGGGCCCGAAGTTACGTGTTAAAGAACGAGTGTCTACTCCCAGTCAAAGTTTGTTGGCTTTTCCCCCATATCTGTGGACAAATAGCCACGATGAAACTAGTTGGATTAACAGTGGTCCTCGTCATGGGCTTGGCCCAGGTCATGACGGTCACTGCCGTTGGGGGTGAGTTGACAAGTTTTTTTTTTTTTTTTTTTTTTTTGTTGCTTCTAACAGAAAGTACAATAATTGTGCAGAGATTGAGAAAAGTATAAGACCAAAGGGGTTTCGTAGTGACGCGAAACTAGCTAATCGTTGAAAGAAGAAAAAAAGAATGATAATAATAAGAAGAACACTGGTGACTTGCTAGAAATCAAAGCTTGAAGATTGCATAGGGCCTATGGCAAGTGCGGGAACAAGTGAAAAATATGACAATAAAACAAGAACGGGAACAAAACCAGGAACTTGCAGTTGTTGAGATCACGGTAACTTGGTTTAGCGCAATGAAAATATTTGGTGAAAAGTGGTTCGATTTCATCATGGCGCTTTCGGGAACTCCCGTAGAGGAAGTACACTACATGAGAGAATCTGTCAGTTTAGACCTTGGCAATATATTTTCCGCCTCATTACGTCATTAGTAAATAATTTTCTTAAAAGACTACTGCCCTTTAAGTTGTGCAGTGATATATTAGATTGTTGTTCTCTATTGGAAAAGATAGACTGAGGAAGAACTAGCGCATACCACTTCCTGTATTTAAAAGATGAAGAAAAAAAGAAAACGTTTATTTTATTCATCTTGTTTTGATAAAAGGAAATATGAGAATGGCGTGATGCTGATCGAGGTTGGTCCAAAAGACAAGAACACACTTGCTTTCATATTCAAAGTAAAACTTACATTGATCTAACAAGTTACAATATTTACAGAAGAAAGTGTTACACTATAATCAAACTTTTAATCAAAGTTTTGTGTCTTGGAATTCATTGATGAAGGCTGATTTGTCTAAGCTTTCTACTTAAAAGCTTTTCTTTGTCTATTTGTGTGTTTTACCTAACTGCTAGGAAAGCATGTGTATGCTTGTAAGTATAAGCAACCAAGGGACCGACGGTATTCAGTCTTCTCTGAGGACTTGGTAATGAGGGCCTCTCGGTTACGAGGCCACTGCTCTACCACTGAGCCATCTGTTGGCGGTTGATCCCATATCAAATATGGATTTCAAATTTCAGATTATGGGTACATTACGGTTACAACTTTCCCTGTTCTTAATGATAATACTAGGGTGCGGATATCGGCCATCTGACCGGAAAGGGTCGTAAATGAATTAATAATGATAAACAAGGAATAATCTGAATTTTCTTTTACATTATTCAAGAACGAAAGAATGAGAAACGAGTGAGAAATAATATTTAAAAAAAAGAAGATTGTTTTTGGAGGCCCTTTATTTACGAGATCATACGGAAGCATGCATTACAATAACAAAGTCTGTATTGTTGTTACTATGTCTACAAATATGTAGATAAATAAACGATTTCAGTCGTTTTGTGTGCTCCTCCAAAAAATTATAGAAGACAATCTAAAGTAAAAGCATTACGTATTATATTATAATATTCAGTTTTTTTTATTTTTGTTATTAATCTTGTTATGTGTCTATTATTTTCGTTCGACATCGTAACCTACTGTTTCAGCTTTTCTGGTCTTCAAGAGACGAATTGTTTAGTGTTGAACGAATTATTCAGTGTTGACGTTTATTTGCGTATCATGAACATGTCAAACCTGTCCCAACGGCCACCTCTCTATAAAGACAATTCGTCAAGTTCAAGTTCAAGTTCAAGTTCAGTATTTATTTAATTCCATAGTAAAAAAAAACAGTGACATCAAAATATTACTTTTACATAAATATGATTAACATAGTACAATATTGACAGTAAAAACAAACAAATAGGAATTAGGTTGCTGTATAAAAACCCTAGAGGGTTTTTCTGGACAGCCACCAGAAAAAAAAAACAGTATAGGAATCATACAAATGATATATGGTATTTGAATAAACAATAACAAAAAACAACAAAACAAAACAAATCAAAGTAGAACATAAGCAAAAACAAAAACATACATGTAGACCGCACAACCCTAAACAAATTTGCACTGTGGAGTAATTGAGTGTTTTTACGATGTAAGATTATTAGAAATAAGATATAATTTAAGCTTTCTTTTAAATGAGTTCAAACTATTAATAGAAGTAATGTCTGACGGTAAGGAATTCCATACAGAAGGAGCTTTGTGTCTAAAAGAATGTAATTCGTCTATAGAGGCCATGTACTATTACCTCCCTCGAGGAAGATATTTGTGTTGTAATAGCCTGTCTAGAAAGGCTAACCGTCTATCTGACTGGACTGCAGCTTTGAGAGCAGTTATGTACATATATCTTTCCAGCCCATTTTCTTTTCATTCCCTTAATTTGTATTTATTTTAACCCTAATTTAGTATAATGTATTATTTTTGTAAACGAAATGGAATAGTTGAACTGTGTAAAGCGTATCAAATGCTAGTCATTATCATTACTGTTATTAGTATTTATATTAGTAGAAGTAGTAGTAACATTGACCAATCAAAACGAGTCTTATATGGTTGGAAATATAAATTACATACAAAAAATATTTTCTCAAACTAACAATAAGAAGAGGCGGTATGCCAAATTGTGACATGGTAAATAAACCTCTGTTACCCGACCTGTTAATTTTACACAAAAAACAAGCTGAAAATAACATAAATTTGACTACTTTAACAATTATAACGCAATAGTAAATCAGAATGAAATTGTAATTTGTTTGCTTTACTAGAAAGAACACACTCTTTGTCGTATTATATTAGTCAATCTAGGCATCTAGGTGCATCAGTCCAAACTTGGTACGAGGAAATTTTAACAACACTATTTAAAGGTAAAGACGAGTTATGGTCATGCGATTGCATTGTGAAAGAAACGTTGTGGAATCGATCAGAAAAGGTTGATCATCTAGCATTTAGCATCTGCAAGGTTCTGGAATCATCAAAATAATAAGAAAATTTGGCCCATTCTTCGTAAAGTTACAAGCACTATACACAGAAAGATGTATATGGGACTACCCTATATCTCTCACAGACCATGAGAGAAACAAGTTTACCAAATATATGAATTAGTAGGCGGTTTCCCGGCAAATTTGTTATCATCATGTATTAGTCAAAACATATTCTTTCACATGATTGGTAATGAGAGCTTCCATTTCATTTTTTGAAACTGGGGCGTTTCCAATACTGGTCTTTACCTTTAAAAACCCTGATGCTCAGTCATCCGTGGCAGAAAGATTATGAATAGGGTTTAATTAGACAGAAAACGAGTTCCTATTTGCCATAAAATATATTTCAAGGTCACATCGATTATGAATTTCTAATCGTAAGCTACCAAAGTTGAATATACTTTTTAAAACACACTGTATGCATACCGTAACCTGTTGAGGCAGTGCCTTGCTAATCCAGGGACCGCTTAAAAGGCTCGGCTCGGCGACTCAGTTCTGATGTAAAAAAAAAAAGAATCCAGGGTACTCCGATCGGCTTATGTTGGAAGTGATGCAAGCGAACTTCTGCCCTTGTGGGTGTGTGTGAGTCTGTGAGAGTGTGTGTGAATGGGTTGGGTTTGGGGGGGGGGGGTAAAACTCGTTGAACGCAACATTCAAATGAACATAGCGACCATATACGTTTTAATAGCGACCACACGGGGAGGATAAACTAAATATCTTCCGACGCACTTTGACAAATTATACTTTTTTGTGTGCGAGGTAACGCAGGGACTGTGACAAAATATGCATTCGTAGTTTAAACACTGTTTCCTACACAGCCATATTTGGGTACTTTGATTCATTTTTCCAATGATGTAAGGCAGCTTTGAATATTAATTTAGATTTGTTTGGTTTTATCATTTATTTATTTCACATATTACAAAAAGCAGGGTCATCCAGTCCATAAAACTTGTAATATACTCTCATGGGACAACACTAATAAATATAACTAAACATTCTTTAGGTGATTTTCAAATTACTGATGAACATACTATACACACATTGTGGGTCTACCATTAAATGAGTTGTACGTAAACGATATTAATGTAGAGGATGACTGCATGAAAAAAGTGAGGCATATTAATGCAAGCTCCATATTCTTAAAAGCAGATGGTAGGGAGAGGGTGAGAAAGGAAGGGGTGACGAGTTGTATAAACTGTAGAAGTAGAACCTCCGCAGCCCTCGGATGAAGCTTAATCTAGATGGCTAAATTTGACGTGTCGGTATCAATTTTGTTTAACTTTGTAATAATGAACATAGTTTGATTTTTTCCTGTGATTTTCTTCTTCGTTACAGAATGCGCTGCCAACGGTAATTGCAATGGCAATGGTGTGTGTTCTGACGAAGGATTCTACGGCGACTATACATGCTCGTGCAACGATAACTTTGAAGGAAGGGACTGTGAAATTCCGTCAACCATAAGTGAGTCAAAGATATCTGTCCTTTGGTTAAAAATGGTTTTATTGAAATATCGGGATAATTTTGTTGGAAACATGAACATTTTCTGAAAGATAATGATATATCAAGACCATTAATGTTGTAACCATATTTTGAAATGAGTCTGAAGTTGATTTTCAGGCACTTTGAAGAGGTGATTTTAGTCTGTTTAAAATGATTATTATTATTATTTTTTTTTTTACAATAGCGACTCCTTCCTCTATATTGAAATGATATTAGAGACGATTAAATTGACAATATAAGGCACAGTGTATATAACTGGAAAGACAATAACGGCTCATATGTGTTTAAAGTTTCACTTCAAAGTGATATGCTACACAAATAACCTTCTGAACAGATTATCAACAATTTTCTTCTTGACATAGCGTCTATTTTATTACCCCTTTTTTCTTTGGTATTCTGTTCCTATATGTATTGTTTGAATTTTTTTTTTACAACATTCTTTGTCAGTCCATCCTGCCAGTATGCTTATAAGAATTCTACCTTTAGGAACATACATTTCCTCGACTCTTATCAAGCTGTAAAATGAATATTATTTATAACTTTGTCATGTTTGTATAAATTAATAAAGTGTACCAATATATTCTTGAAAAATACATTGAGAAAATTGATATATTTATATACACTGTTGGTCATAATGGTGGAATAATTATTTTTACCCCAATTTATTGAATGATTTTGACAATGATTTATTCCTAATAGATCTAGATAATAATATATATTCTCAGATTGTATTGAATGACAATTGGGGAGTGTTTGTTTTGCATGACTGCTAAAGCATGTGTGTGCTACTATGCTACTCAACTAGGGGACCTACGTCCTTAAGTCATAACTGAAAGTAATGGGGATTAATGCCTCGTAAAAGGGCACTAATATAGCACATCGACACGGTTTTGATCCTGGGGGCTCACAGTAACGAGGCCATTGCTTAGCCAATGAATCATGACTGTACGCATCGGGCGCTAATGTACGTCGACGCCCCCACAAAAACAAAAAAAAACTAAGAAAATGCAATCAATTTTCAATAATTCATTGCATTTTCCCCCAGTCCCCAACAGGAAAAAATTCTCTGTAGGGCCATGCATTATGATTCAAGGCATGCCGACATAGAAGATATTCTTATGTTGGGGGTCGGGGCAAAATGCAATGAATTATTGAAAATGTATTGCATTTTCCTTGTTTTTTTGTATTTGTGGGGGCGTCGACGTACCCTAGCGACCACTGCGTACAGTCATGATTTATTGGCTAAGCAATGGTCTCGTTAGTGTGAGCCCCCAGGATCAAAACCGTGTCGATGTGCTATATTAGTGCCCTTTTATGAGGCATTAATCCCCATTACTGTCAGTTATGACTTAAGGACGTAGGTCCCCTAGTTAATTAGCATAGAAGCACACACATGCTACAGCAGTCACGCAAAACAAACACTCCCCGATTGTCATTAAATAAAATCTGAGAATGTATACTAATATCTAGATCTATTAGGTATAAATCATTGTCAAAATCATTCAATAATTTGGAGGAAAAAAAAATATTCCACGATTATGACCAACAGTGTATATATATATATACGAAGGGTCTATTCGCATCATTAGCATATCGAGACTGATAGAGACCATTGTAATGAATCTTTCCTTAAACAAAACAGGAATAGAAAACAAATTTGCCCTTTTTTTTTTTACTTCAGTAGAAGAGAAAGTGGAAGCCAAATAGATGGAAATGGGGAGCAAAACAAAGATAGAAGTGAATAATAAGACAAATTAGGAAGAGTGGTAGTTTCAGACAGAGAAGGTATCAGCATGCGTATCCGGACACCTACCCCCTGGACATCCACCCCGAATAACCACCCCCAGTCAACTACCCCCTAGGACAACTACCCCCTAGGACAACTACCCCCGAGGACAACCGCCCTCTAGGACGACCAGGGGTAGTTGTCTGGGAGTAGTTGTCCGGGGAGTAACTATCCTAGGCGTAGCTTTCCGGGGGGTAGTAGTCTGGAGGGGTAATTGTTCTAGGGGGTATTTGTCCTAGAACCATCAGCATGGTCGAGAACAGAATGTGTGGCATTTCATTTTTCTGTTTTGACTTCGGCATCATGTTTCATTAATTGATTTCTATGAATATGAAAAAAGTAAGAGGAGGACTTACATAACCCTATGGCAATTTAGAATATTAAAACCGTATGTTTTTATTAATGCTCAACAAATTTCTTATACTCGACCACCTGCAAGGAACTGCTACTTATTCAGTTAAACCCGCCCCTGTGTCTAAGATCGTCATTAATTTTAACGATATTAGACCTCGCCCTATCTTCATTTGTTATACCCGATTTCGAACAGAAGCCTTTTGTATGTGTTTTATTTGCGACAAAGATGCGAAACGCATTATACTGATAATACCGAAACACAACATTCAACATGTTCGAAACGTATGCATGTTTTTTTTTTTTTTTTTTTTTTTGGGGGGGGGGGGGGGATGGGGGATTTCTGTGAAGGGGAGGGGGTCACATTGTATCCATTTTCCTTGGAAACAACATGTCACCTGCTTCCCACCCCCTCCCGAATTCGTTCCTATTAATATATTACAGCAATGTCTCTTACAAATGTCTTCAAATGCGACGCCAAACAACCTTTCATGTTTAAGCTTGTGAGTTACTTGTGAGTTACACGAATTATTTCTTTCTTTGTCAACAGCGAGATGTGGTGAAAACATCGATGAGATGAATGCAGTGATTGAGAGTGCACATCCAATCGGCCATCGAGTTTACTGTGCCTTCTATGTGAACATACATGGCGTTAATAAAATCAACCTGACTGTGGACAGTTTTGATTTTGAAGCGGAAAAAGATGTCCTAGAATACGGTGTAGGACCTACAGTTGCGGTCGGTCCAGTGTTAGAGTTTGACAATAACGTACCATTCAACATCGAACAGGTCCAGGGGAATAGTTTCTACCTAGCCATCTTCACTGACAAGAACATCTTTAGTGATGGCTTTCGCATAAGCCTTTCTGCTGGTGAGTAGAATGTATTTACCTACTTCTATGAAAGGAACGGAGAATGCAGAAATAATAAAATAACTACAAGCCTGAAAATTTTATTCAAGCACTTCAAGACACACGATATGAAATTTGCGTTTTTGATGCGCATCATTTCCCTCTTGAAAAGAATTCGTAGATAAAATACTTGTCTGTTTACTAACTGAATTCTACTTGTTTAAAAAAAAATCACATTAAGTGGACTGTAATCAACTTCGTCGATATCATTTTTTTTTTTACAACTTAATTCAATGAGGAATGTCAACCCATTTCCAGGGTTTTGTTCGTTTAAACGAAACCAACGTCAATCAAAGAAAAATTAAAACATGTCATATTAGTCCGGGCACCTGTCCCGAAGAAGGCACCCCATTACTTTAATCTTAGCGAAAGGCCAAAGTCAAATATAATCTAGATCGAAAATATCAGTCCATTTTGTTTGGTGCTATGTTCCGGTGAAACCATGATTAATCATTTGGTACCAACGATATGATTATTTGCCACCAGACTGCACTTCACGAAAATTGCAATACTCAGGATCGCACTTTGTAAAATTTAACTTAATAGAATGAAGCACTTTTTGAGTTATTATGTTTGGAATTTAAAAATCATTTTGTTTTCTTTTCAATTTACATATAAGCGTATTTTGGGACACTGAGAAAACCTTGGTTTAAACAATTGACCCCAATTTATAGGAGCTTTATCTTTTATAGTGTCTACTCATCTATACATCTTATACATTTTTTATTTCACATTCATAAATCGTTATATTTCCAAAGGAAAGCAATGAAACAAAAATAGATAAATAAAATCCAATCAAATAAGTAACGATAAATTAGATTGAAGTATATCGTTTATTTTCAATATCTAGACGGAGATGACTGCCTGAGTGTTATGACTCCCTGTCAAAATGGTGGAGCCTGCATTGATGGATGGCAAAATTACACCTGTGATTGCCCACCGGGCTTTCAGGGAGAGTTCTGTGAAATAGGTAAGTTGGAACAGTGGCGGATTTATGGAGGGGGGGGGGCACAATCAACCTGTTCACCCCCTTCAGATACAGACTTGTCTTTGATCGAAGCTCACATCAACGAATGTAGATACGGATCACCGTGCTTGGCACTTAAGAATTGTCGCAGGAGGGGGACTTCTTTATTTTGGAGAAAAAGAGTACAGGGGCGCATTACTACAAATGCAACAACGAAAACAAGTAATCTATCTCATGACAGAGAGTTGTAAAAAAAAAAAACAAACCTCATATGCTTAATCAATTCGCTTTTGGGGAGAGAAATGAGACATTTCGAGAAGCTTAGAATTTAGAATATCATGCTGTTTGTGAACTGATCTAAAGGAGAAACATGGACTTGGACGCTACACTCCGATAGATGGACACATCTACGTATAAGATGGAGTATGTGGATCTGTTACCGGACTCACTGATGACGAAACGAAAAAGAAATTATTAACAAAAATAAAGTTGGGTTGATGGTCGAATGTTATGCAGCATGCGAACTCTACCTATGCGACCTTCAATATTTAAATTGAAATATAACCAACACGTACATGCACCTGCTTACAGTAATCTGAGAAATCTGACGAAACAAATTAGCGCTTGACCAAAAAATGTATATGAGCTTTAAAGTGTGTAAAATGTATGATTTCTATCTTTTTATTTACAAATAATTGGTGAAGAGACTGTGGATGCATAATATTGTTGAATTGAAGTCACATCAATTGTACAAATTCCCAACTTTCTGGGGTTTGTCTTTTTCAGACGTTGATGACTGCAGATCAGTGCCGTGTCAGAACGCAGGAACCTGCAACACCCTGCTTACCGGCGGCTACACGTGTGACTGTTTAATAAGTTACACTGGAACCAACTGCGAGACAGGTACGAAATCAGTGTGCTTTTTGGGACCGCATATCAAAACGAACCAAAATGAGCATGATGAATTTATAATACCTCGCTTCATCAAATGTTTCTTACCCTCAAATGTAGTGCACCCTTGCCGGACAGTTTTTATGCTTAACCTCAAACATATTCCATTCGTCTTCAAATCAACGATGATTTTGACCGTTTCAAAAATTATTATTGTAGAGCCTACGCGAGTCAAGACAATTCCCACGCTCTCAAGAGAATGGGCAGGGAACCTTAAACAGAATATAGCAGACAGAAACGTAGACTCGAGCTATTGGAGAAATTTAAAATGGCACCACTTCACTTTGAGACATTTCAAAATGTATATGATACTGCATTAATTTCTTTCTATAGTATTTTGTCATTAGAGTGTGGGTGTGTGTTTTCAAGAAACATATATGAGCAATTACGTACTTGTTTACTGCTTCATGCGGAAATCTCATGAAAATCAATCGTTTGAAGGGTCATTATTGAAGGTGATGAAGTTGCTTCAGTTGAGATCCAAGGCCTTGATTCCATCACGTACACAATCGATTCAACAGATACCGAATAAGGAGGAGATATTATAAGATGATGTAATGATTCAAAGCATTTATGTGACGCCATATTTTTTATTAAATAATGAGTCTTATCTTATTTCCCGTACTTTATCTATAGAGTTCATTAATATTTAACAGTTAAAAAATAACTATTATTTTCTTTATTTTGTTTATCCATAAAAGGTGTCGTCATCGTGGACCTTACAACACCATCCGTCTCGAGTATATACCAGGTATACGAGGGGCTCACTGCTCAATCTCTAACATTTGATCTGACCTTTTCGCCTTCACCACTGAACACTTTCTCTATCGGTGGAGGTTCCACTTCGGGTCTCTGGCAGGTCAACGGTTTCTTCTCCCCAAGTTCCAACGGGCTGACCATGGTTGGAGGCCAGACACTCTCGCTTTCAGCTGCTCAACAGGCAACACTCTGGAACCCTCCTTCGGATACAACTATCAGCTCGATTCAAGCTACTTCAATTTCCGTGCCATCGGGTGTCCTCTGTTCCGATATGCAGTATTTCTGCGCTCGTCTTGAGAAAGGTTCTAACCCTTCACCCAACTTTGAGCTCATCGGCAGTCCCACAGCTAGCGCTCTTCTCGGTTGTACTCCAGTAACTTGCAGAGGTGAGATATGTCAGTGACGGTTGGTCCAAGTATCCTATGTTCTTGCATCAAAAGTAACATGAAAAAAAAATCATTAAATCCCAGATCATGATTTTCAGAATATAATAAAATCACAAATATCAATATTGTGCAAATTGCGTTGGGAAAAGAAAATTATAGATTTTATATTTCTATACTATTCTGGGTGACGTGTCCATTTGACTTTGCTAGACGAAATCGTTACTTTAAAGGTGTCGTGGTCTAGTGGATACGTCATCGGACTGTGGACCACATGGTTCAAATTTCTAGTCCCGCCGCGGCACTTACGTCCTTTGGCAAGACAGTAATCTACATTTCCCCCTCTCCACTCAGGTGTGGAAATGGGTACCTAGTAGGAATGTAGTCCTCGAATGGAGCTAGGCTATAGCCCGGGTAATAATACATGTATTACTTTGTGGGCGCTTTGAGCATCCTCAGGGATGGATACGCGCTCGATATTTATGTAACTATTATTATTATTATTATCATTATTATTATTACATTGTATCGCTATTATAATGATCGATTCTCTCTTTTTATCTTTTATTCAAGGTGTTGAAATAAGTGGCTCAAGTCTTGCCATTTCATCAGGCCAACTGCTGGAAGGAATTTCTGGACAGACGGTCACTGCAAATTTCAATTTGCAATCAGTGGCCGGTTCTGGGGGTGTTAGTGGCTCCAATCTTTGGCAATTTACAGCCTTTGCCAGCCAAAACGCCGACGGAAGTGGCGCACGATCATTTACCAGCAATGTTCCAGTTAGTGCAGCCCTTGGACGTACAGGAGTTACCTCTGGATCAGTTTCCCAATTTAACAGTCTCAGTTTCAACATGGATCTGTCCGGCAATATCAACTGTGACAGCGTGCCATACATCTGCATAACTGCTGCTAAAAGCCCAAGCGCAAATCCAGACTTCTCTATTACCGGAGTACCCAATAACGATGTTTTCACAGCATGTCAACAGGTTTCGTGTAGAGGTTAGTGACCCCATGGTGCTTTTATTTATTATTTCATCATCATTTTTTTCTTTGCTTCCAGTAGTTCCATAGAATATATAAGTTGCATACTTTTTCAATTTAAATCAAAACTAGTTAGGAAGCCACTTAGGTTGGGATACAGACCCGGATTTGGACATCTCCACCCTAGCAGATGTGACCTGTGAAAAACTCGAGCACTTCAGCCCTCATTTCTTAGAAACTCTGGCTCTTGACAGACATTTTCATTCTTCTGAATACCCGCTGTACCCACTTTTCTTTTGCTCTATAAACTAAAGTTTCTTTCAGGGAGCTATCCTTCAGCCTGATCAATGCATTTTTGTCTTCTCCATTAAGGGCTGCCTTCTCCATCTTATCATAAAGACGCAGTGAGCCGTGGCGGTAGTCAGCCAGATTCTCACTTTCTGGCTGTCTTCTGTTGTAGAAGGCTTGACTAAGAGACGGGATCGACTCCGACGCTGCAAACAAAGCATTCAGCACTCTAATGACTTGGTCACTGTTTTTCATTACGTACCTCCTCGTCTCGGGTAGTATAACTGTTAAACTCTTCGATCCACTCTTCTACGGACAATTATCTTGCTGCCTTGGAAGGGCCCTTACATTTGAACAGATTCACTGGCGGGGAATGCGTGCAACACTCAGACCTTGCGATGCCTGGGTGAGAGATGTCATCATTTGTGCTACAGACTCTGACATCGTTACAAGGGCTAAGGTGTTTCACACGGGTAAATAAAGGTCTTTACATGTTCAAAATGGTGCCAAATCAACCAGCTACTGCACTACAAGCAAAATCAACTTAACTTACTCTTAGCTACGGTAGAGCTAAACCACTTTAACCTTATACCAAATGTATATAGATTGATCTTGCACTGCTCCAAGCGAATGCTAACGCTGTTTCGGACTTTGTCGCTGACCTTGACGCAAGAGCTCGATGTACATCTGGGTGTAGACCTCTGATGCTGACTTCGGGGTTGATATGTCATGCTCCTCCTATTTTGTTCTTTACTATATAAGAAAGAAAATTTATTGATGGAAATAATGTTATACCCTGCTATGATTGTTCTATCCAAAGGTGTGGAACTCACAAGCTCATCCGCCAGTGTGTCCGGATTCGTTCGCGAAGGCTTAAGCAACAACCTTCCATTCTCCGTCTCCATCGGCTCCAATTCACAGGCTGGAACTGCAGTCGGAAGTGGGCTCTGGAGAGTCACCGCATTTGCCAGTGGAAACTCTCTTGGAGCGGGCACACGATACGGGCAAAGTGATATTCTCCTCAACAGTTTCCAGGCTGGAACGACTCTCAATGCCGGTTCAACTGAAACAATCTCGTCTTTAAGTTTCCCACTGAATCTGGCAAATGGTCCAACCTGCTCAGAGCTCGGTTACGTCTGTGTCATCGTTGAGAAAGGAGACAGCCCCTCCCCTGATTTTGATCTGACGCCGGCATCAATAACAACATGTACCCAGGTTGAGTGCAGAGGTAACTTCACACAACTGCCCTTAAGTCTCGTTCAGATTTGAGGTGGAAAACCGCACCCCCAAAACAGATATAAAAAATGGCGCGGATTTTCTTTAAGTGTATATGAATGGCAACTGCGCGCAACAAATATACCGCACGTATTCACTGAGCTTTGTGTTATAAAAATACGGAATCGTAACTCGTATAACACATCATCATCAACAAAAAAGGCCTCGGTTTGCCGCGTAAAATCTTAACGAGGCTTTAACCATACAAGCAGTAATTGTAATACAAGCAATCCTTTCGAAAAAATATTCCTTCAGATACAGTCAATTTAACTTGCCTAGTGCCATGTAAGAACATCTTCAGGTTTGGTAGTTCACAAGTGTCATATTGGATACTAAATTGGTATTGTCACCAATATTCATGTATTCAAATGTTCGACTAATTTTCTGATCTCACGAATGGTGTACCCATCCATCATCTGCTCAGTGAGAAAATAATACAAAATTGGCTGTCAGACCTTTAACAACTTCTTCTATTCAATTCTATGCTGGACTATGAAATTGTTAATATTTTGTGTAAAAATGCCTTATATGATTTCCCATGTTGCATCAGTGCGCCTTGAGTAATTGATTCAACCGGATTTAGCCCTTTAAAAATTGCTGCATTTACGTCCTCCGACAATGCCATTTTCCCCATCCACGATTCTTCACTCTTTACACTGTGTAAAAGCAATGTTTTAGGGATTCAGCTTGGAACAGATTACTTAAACGTTTATTTATTCCAATTTCATTTTTTTTTCATTCAGGTGTGGAAATATCCAGTAACTCACTTACCTTCACATCAGGCAGCTTGCGGGAAGGCGTCTCTGGACAGTCTGTGGTCTTCAACCTCCAGATGAGTCCAACTACCACTTCTGGTGCTGTGAGTGGGTCAAATCTCTGGAGGTTCACTGCGTTCGGCAGTGCTGACTCCGCTGGAATCAATCCAACGACGTCTACTTTCAATGTGGGTTTGAATGGACAAGGAAATGTAGGTGTCACCCCAGGGTCGCAATCGTCATTTTCAGGCTTAAACTTTCCGCTAGATCTCTCAGGCAATATTAATTGTGATGATGTGCCCTATATCTGTGTAACGGCAGCCAAGGGACCGTCGGCAAGCCCAGACTTTACACTCAGTGGCGTACCTAATGACGATATCTTCACAACTTGTCGACAAGTATCATGCAGAGGTAAACATCTCAACTATCTTTTCTACATAAAACCACATATCAAGGCACTTCAATAGTTGAAAGCTAACGTTATACCAGTTATTTGTGTACTAGTATTTGCTGTAATAACTCCTACATGTAGCTATTGTAGACAAAAGGAGAACAAAAATGGCCATTGAGGGGTAAAACAATAAACAGTTTTGTGGGAAATGTTTTCAAAGCCACAGGAGGGCAATTTCTATTCATGCAGGAAAAACAATATCATGGAAAAATGCTCACTACCTTTCTATTCTTCTATTTCCTCAAAATTAAAGAGCGTAGAGAGGGCCAATCGGATTCTCAAAGTGATATACCTGTAAAACCCCCCTTTAGCTTTCTGGATCTACAATGTCTGCACACATAAAACGAAGATGGAATATCAAACGACTTTGTTCTGTTTGCCTTAAAAAATAAACAGGTGTTGAAATATCATCGACATCAACAACTGTGACTGGAAGCGTAAACGACGGACAGAGCAACAATGTGCCCTTTTCGATCACCCTCAACCCAAATAGCAACGGCGGTACTGCTGTTGGAACCGGACTCTGGATGATCACCGCCTTCGCTAGCGCAAATTCCGACGGGTCTGGTTCTCGATATGACGCAAGCACTATCAATCTTTCCCCTTCACAAGCTGGAACAACGTTAAACTATTTTTCTTCGGCTTCAATCAGTGGATTGACTTACCCTCTGGACTTGAGCAATGGCCCAGCGTGCTCTATGTTCTCATACATCTGTACCGAGGTGGTAAGGGGAACAAGCCCATCACCTGACTTCACGTTGACACCTACAAGTATCATATCGTGCACCCCGGTTGACTGCAGTGGTAAGAATATTGTTTGGAGATACATGTCTAAGCCCGTCAAAGTGCAGGTCAATATCTATATACAGTATGTTAGAACACGTTTGAATATTGTGGAGATGTCGTATAACAGTGGTTCATTCACTTGACCCTTAATCCAAGGCTTGAGGGTTCGAATCCCAGCCTGGCGCCAACGTCCTTTGGCTAGACATTAACCCGTAATTGCCACCTTCCACCTAGGTAAAAATGGGCGACTGGCAATTGCTCAGATAATGATGAATGCAGGGCCCCCAGGAAGAATAGCATTGATGCTGGTGTGGCTTCCCCGGGTTAACAACATTACATTCATCATTAGAGGGTGTAATGAAATGAAAATAACTCATATTTCTTCCTTCTGTTTAACTATATCCGTGAACCCAAATGAAAATAACTCATACGTCTTCCTTCTGTTTAACTATATCCGTGAACCCAAATGAAAATAACTCATACGTCTTCCTTTTGTTTAATTATATCCGTGAACCCAAATGAAAATAACTCATATGTCTTCCTTCTGTTTAATTATATCCGTGAACCCAAATGAAAATAACTCATATTTCTTCCTTCTTTTTAACTATATCCGTGAACCCAAATGAAAATAACTCATATGTCTTCCTTCTGTTTAATTATATCCGTGAACCCAAATGAAAATAACTCATATTTCTTCCTTCTGTTTAACTATATCCGTGAACCCAAATGAAAATAACTCATATGTCTTCCTTCTGTTTAATTATATCCGTGAACCCAAATGAAAATAACTCATACGTCTTCCTTCTGTTTCCGTGAACCCAAATGAAAATAATCATAATGTCTTCTTCCCTTTTGTTTAGGTATAACCATAAACCAGAATGAAAATGATTCTGATATCTTCTTCCTTTTGTTCTCAGGTGTCCTCATCATTTCATCGTCCCTCTCTGCTCCATCATACGTGCTCGAAGGAGAGAGTAATACCGTGGATTTGTCTATCTCGCTTACTTCTGATCCCACCGGTGGTAGCGCCACTGGTACAGGACTGTGGAAGGTTACAGCATTTGCCAGTTCTGATTCGCAAGGGAATGGCCCACGATATGATTCCCAAACTCTCACTCTGAGCACAACCCAGGGAGCAACACCTCTGAATCCAGGAGTACCAGCTACCATCAGCGGACTATCGTATGTCTTGGACACGCGGAATAGCCCCACTTGTTCCCAGTTTGATTACATTTGCGTGGAGGTAGAGAAGGGGGACAACCCATCACCGGACTTTCAGTTGGAGCCTACCACCACCACCGCATGTACCCAGGTTGACTGTAGAGGTTAGTAAAATATTCTTGAACCATATCTGTTTGTTGTATGCCTCGGCCCACAGGAAGTGGAACTAGAGGCATTACGTCGTCAGGGTTCAGTCTATCACACTTTCTTCTTATCGCATATCTCAAGAACCATTTTAGATATGAACTCCAAACTATATGTATGTATCACCGTAGGATTGAATAGCTTTTGGGGTAGGTAGGTCAAAGGTCAAATAATAGAGGTCAGTTTCCATAAAAATGTCAGTGTTTTTTTTTGCTTCATTATAATGTTGTTTCAACAACTATTTGAGCCATGAAGTTAATAAATTGCTACTAGTAAGCATCAGGATATTGAGACGAACTTATAGGAGTTTGTGGTAAGTAGGTGATATCATGAATGTCAGTTCCAAAAAAAAAAAATTATTCTCCTTATCCTAATATTTTAAGAACCATTTTATTAAAAGTTCAAACTTTGTTTTTTATGCACCATGAGTCAATGAACTGAATAGATTTAGTGATAATTTGCATAAAGATCAAAGGCCTCTAAAGTTAGAGAACACGAAGACATATGTGAGTTTTCAGCCTCATTGTTATTAAATCTCAATAACTATTTCAGGTATGAAGTGTAAACTAGCTCTAAAAATGCTCCACCATGAGTCAATGGATCATGAAACTTCGGAATAATATGTTAAAAGATCACTAAATTACATAAGATGTCAATCTTTAAAAAGAAAATTCCTCTCAATCAAGTTTAGGTGAGAAGCCACAATGGCTCAGTGGTAGAACAGTGTGTTTGTACCGGGGAGGTCCTGGGTTCGAAACCAAGTCCATGCGCTAGTGCCCTTTTTAAAGGCCTTTATCCTCACCACCAAGTCCCTCGTAGAGGACTTAAAGACGTCGGTCCCTGGTTGCCTACTAACTGGCATACACATGCTGCCGAGGAGACATGATTCAGGTGTTCAAGTTGATGCAGAACATTGACAGGTTGGACTCTACCCAATTCTTCACACCTGCAATCAATTCAACAACGAAAGGGCATGCTTTCAAACTGACCAAACCCAGGTGCAACACCAAACTCAGGCAAGACTCATTTAGCCACAGGGTCCTCAACGACTGGAACTCCCTCCCTGATTTGGTAGTATCTGCAACCTCGGTAAACAGCTTTAAAGCCAGACTTGACAAACACTGGAAGAAGGAGCAATATCATTCACCCTTCTCCCAGTTGACACTCCAGTTATGACAATCCTGATATGACCCAGCAAGCAAGATACAGATGTAAAATGACTATGGTGCAAGACCCGGAAGCTGGGACATCCCCCCTTGAAGTTAGACCTGGAAGCTTGGCAGCTGGAGACGGCTTTCTTCCAGAAGCTTTGGTATTCAAGGTATTCAAGGTATATTCAAACAAATCATCCAATCAAACAAAATCACGATCACATGAATACGTTGAGGTTATCACCAGTTTCCTAATCCCTCGTCTTTCTTCTCGATGTAGGTGTGGATATCAGCCAGTTATCGATAACTCTGGACAGCAGCGAAGTTTTCCATGGTCAGACCAACAACGTCATAATGGATATCTTGGCTACAGCAAACGGTAACTATGGTAGCATTTCGGGAAACAACCTGTGGGTCTTAACAACATGGCTCAGCAATAACCAGCTTGGCAGTGGGAGAATCGAGGAGGACAACCCAACCTTGAGGTCAGACTTGGTGACTTTACCCGTTAATTCCGGCCAGACTGCGGTATTCATGGACGTGAACTACTTACTGGACCTCACAGTATCTCCCACGTGCAACCAATTTAGTTACGTCTGCGTTGAACTTGCGAGGAACCCTGGGGCTTCTGTTGACTTCGAGCTGACAGGCGACCTCATGGCGTGCACTCCCCTTACATGCACAGGTATGTTCATCTTCAAAATGTATTCATTCACTGATCATAATGTGGATGAAAATCTGCCGAAGGCTGTTTTTACTCTAGCACACACATACGTATTAAAAACACACACATTTAGAAACTATAGATTAAACATGTACTTTCACACTCATTAATATTCTGAACCTTTTATGAATCCAATTGTCATCCGAAGAATCCGACGAATACAATTGTCAAAAATTAGGGGAAAAACATACTCTAAGAATATCACTGGACAGAAAATACTAAAAACTTACTTCAAGAAGGATTGATAAACTTCAAATTTTATGATACAAATAGAGAGGACTTAAACCGTCGTCCCCTGGTTGATTACTTACAAGCATACGCATGCTTTCTTCGCAGTCAGGTAAAACAAACCATCAAACTAGTCATAAATACACGTCCTTTATTATAAGTGTCTTCGGAAAGACAACGTCTGGTATCACCTTACCGATTCTTTTTCACTCTTGCATTGTTTTTAGATATCGATGAATGTGAAAGCGGTCCTTGTATGAATGGAGGAACATGTAACGACCTTGTCAACGGATACACATGCAACTGTCGTGCAGGATTCACTGGTGTTTTCTGTCAGATTAGTAAGTTTTGATCAACTGAACTTCAGTACATAACTAATAAAAATAGAAGCTATATAGAAATATAGAAATTCTGTAACTGCTTTAAAATTGCACTTGTAGAAAATTTAAAGTAGATTATGTTTTTATTCTTCATTTTGCTTGCTTGCTCGATGCCTTGTCTCTTCCAGACTTTGGCGATCTACTTCTATTTGTGGTTCTTCATAATGTGACGTTACTTCTATTACCAGTCGGTCCATTGAACTCATCCATGTATTTGGTGCACTGTCTCCCTCTGCTGCACTTTCCCTGTCCGTATCCTGTTTTATGGACTTTCTGTTCTCATAATTCATGCCCAACAAACTGGAGTTGTCTCTTCCTCATAATGTTAAGAAGAGATCTATCGACACATGCCTTATTTAGCACTTCTTGGTTTGATGATTGTTCAGTCCAAGGTGTCCTAAGCATTCTTCTTAAGAACACATTTCTGCTTCTTGAATCTGCCGTCCAATGATTTTAGTACCCGGATTTCATATCAAATTCTCAAGGGGTATGGATACTTTAGTATTAACTGTATTTCATCCGTTGAACTTTTTAAAGACAGAAATATTTGTTTTCGTATTGTCTTTATATTCATAACAATTTTGCCATTTTAAACGAAAACAACCATTGTTATTCTTGTATGAATGAGCAAATAATTCTGATGACTGTATTTGCTATCCCAATGCTAATGTTTGGAGAAATATTTATCGAAACTATTTTTTTTACAGATATCAACGAGTGCTTGAGCGGTCCTTGTCAAAATGGTGGAACCTGTTTCGATCGAGTTAACAGCTACATGTGTCAATGTGTGCCTGGCTTTACTGGAAGCAACTGCCAAATTGGTAAGATTACAATATATTAAAATAAATCTAAATATGACTTTTAAGTGCACTCATCACTTTAACAAATCTTGCTATGTATGTCACGGGTTCCGTTTCGCTATACTATACTCTAAATATGAGCGTCTGATATAACCTTTATTAAGAAATATTGCAAGTTTAAGTACACTATCAAGTTACATAAGAGTGACTTGTTCATATATTGGTCCCTGCACTCGTTCGCGTTCGCATATAACATCGCCCGCCGAAAACCCAAGTCCGACTTAGGTTCCGTGCGTTTAACTTCAGTTCCGTTGTATATTATCCTTTATTTACTTTATACCCCTTAATCGTTGGCCCATATATTACCACAGATAATTTTCAAAAGGTTGATTATACACATTCTAACTTTTAAAAAGCCTGCATGTCTTATTTTCATGTAAAAAAAACGATTGGGATAAGTAGTTTACTGTTAGAGGGAGTAACACAGTGACGCCTTCAAAGAAAACCATAAATATCTTGGTGGTTAGATAATTTTTTTCAGGATATTTTGTATATTAGAGGGTAGGTACAGTAAAGAAATATACAAAATTGCATTTCATACAAAAATTGAGCAGCTTTTTCATCAACCGGCTCACTTAGAGGGTATTAATCTCCATTATCAAACCAGAAGAAAAACAGTGGGATAAGAACGCACTGAACTTCATTTAATATTTGGTAAGTCGCATAAGGAAATAATATAAAAGTCAGTTCGTTTGTCCAAGATGTTTGCGTTTTTCTTTTGCAGACATCAACGAATGCCTCAGTTTCCCATGCCAGAATGGTGCAGCGTGTAGCGACCTGATCAATGCCTACTCATGCGCATGTCTCCCTGGGTATACAGGACCCCGTTGTGACACAGGTGAGTTCCGGGAGCTGTTTCACCAAGATCCGAAGTCGAACTTAAATCTAAGTTAGATTTAAAAGTTATGGAGAGTCTTTGTAGCTTTAAAATAAAATATATTCAAAAGCAAAAATTCAAGTATTTCAGACTTTTTATAACTTCCACATCTAGAACCTTTCAATCTCCTTGATAATAGAACATGTGAATGATTTGAATCAACATTTTATGCCTTTTAAAATAACTTTAACAATTTTTTTTTATAGATGCTAGCGGCTTTCCATAATTTTTAAGTCCAACCTAGAGATAAGTTTAACTTAGAATCTTTGTAAAACACCCCCCTGTTACATATATGCAGCCATTTATTCCCATTTTAAAAATCATGTAATGTATTCCTTGAATTATATTGCATGCATATATTTCTAATTTTAAGTAGATGTAAGTATTTCTTGATAGCCCAATAAACAAAATCACGTGAAAATCACGTCAATATCAAGGTATCGACTTGAGGAGAGTTACGTTCTTAAAACACCTGACATTTACGTAAATGTGTTAATACGTTTATTGCACTAGGTAACTTAAAACACACGTACACTAAATCACGCAATTGTCACTGCAATATCACCATTATAATAACGTGATTATCCCTACCTTGAAGACCATGGTTTGTAAACCTAATACTCCCGTGTTTGTTTGGTTATGAAATTACATCTTCATAAACGAAATTATCGCGTCACAGAAACACGTGAAGCGTTAGTGATAGTTTTAGTCAAAATATCTCCATGAAATTCACGTGAATATTACGAGGCTGAATTGAGATGAATCATGTTCTTCATTCACGTGAAATTTACGTCGAAGAGGAAGTATGTTACTGTAACCCGCGTTCAACCCAATAATTATGCAAATGTTACACAATAAATGAACCAAAATAATAATAATCATCCCGTTTCTGAACATCGTGTCTTGGATCTTCCATAATTACGTCCATGCGCGCCGGAAGCAGTTTGTGGTTAGAGGGGGTTGGGGGAGGGGGGGGGGGGGTGGTTGCAAACATCCCAGAAGAGAAAGCTAGTTGCAACTGGTCCTGTTGATGAACCATTTAATGCCAACTGGTAACCCTGGAAATTGAAATGGGCTAAATGATCCATTTGATCCAGGCCAGTTAGAATTCAACTGGTCTAGCTGAGCCATTAGAACCATTTGGTTAACTTCCAACCAGTTGAACAGCAACAATACTTCAATACTGATACGTCTGTATTTCCAATGTAAAGGCATTGGTAATAAGTTGACTTACATAATTTAATTAATCGTGAAAAAAAATCGTATACTTGTACTTTATTGAAATTATTTTAGGTCATAGTTAATGTTTCCCTTATTCATGTTTAACTAAATGTAATTTATACGAAGTAGTGAAATGTCCTAATAACTGGTGATTTATATCTGTAGTATTTTCGAAATGAATTGCATATAACTAAATCATCAGTAATTAAGAAATATGCTGTAAATTCAGATAAATTGTTTAAAAAACATAGATCTGCACGCACCCCATATTCAATATGCAAATTAATTGGTGTCAGCTGGTTCAACTCGAAATATGCCAACACTCAGTCATCAACCGGTGCAACTGGAAATATGCACGCTCCAGTTATCAACTGGTGCAATGAAAATTTGCCAACAGTCAGTTATCAACTAGTGAACATAGAAATATGCCAACAGTCACGGTATTATCACCACGACACTTAAATGGTAACTGTGAAACCATCAAGACACCCAAGAATAACTCATTTTCACACCTGGAAAACACGGAATACCCAGCTTATATAAATAATCCGTTTGAGTCACGAGATCATCACCGCGGAACTGCTGGCAACGTTGACTACCATTTAAATAGGTGTTTTAAGACACCTAATTATGACTAATTATTCATACCTAAAAGTCACATATGCCCAGCTTAGATTAATATTCCGTTTGAGTCACGAGATCATCACCGCGGAACTGCTGGCGACTTTGACTACCATTTAAATAGGTGTTATAAGACACGTAATAATTACTAATTTTTCACACCTAAAAGTCAGGTATGCCCAGCTTAGATTAATAATCCGTTTGACTCACGAGATCATCACCGCGGAACTTATGGCAACTTTGACTACCATTTAAATAGGTGCTTTAAGACACCTAATCATGACTAATTTTTCACACCTAAAAGTCACGTATGTCCAGCTTAGATTAATATTCCGTTTGAGTCACGAGATCATCGCCGCGGAACTGCTGGCAACTTTGACTACCATTTAAATAGGTGTTTTAAGACACCTAATAATTACTAATTGTTCACACCTACATATCACGGATTCACAACTTAGATTAGTAATCAGCTTGAGCCACGTGATCATAACCGAGAAATTTATGGTAACTTTGAAACCATTTAAAGAGGTGCGTAAGACACCTCCGAATTACTAATTTAATATAACCAGAGATTTACGGAGAGAACAATAAGACGATTAGCCGGTGTAAGTAACGTGATTATTACCATCAACCTTTGATAACCTGTGAAACCAATCGATAAAGGTGCTTATAAGACCAAATAATTACGTATTTATCGCCACCATCGGTTAACGGACAAAAAACTCGTTGCTTGGTCAAGTGGTTATTTGGTCATAAACACTTGATTTACAGAGGTAAGTGGAATCACGTTACTCCAATCGCGTGATAAACTGGTGGTTTTTAGGTTAGATGAAAACGTGAACAGGAGTACCTTTTTTGTTTAAATGAAGGCACGTGTCGATAACGTTTAAATCTAGTTCAAAAGGCACTATACTTTAAAATCACTTAAAATACACTCCCAAAAGAGGTTACTTTTTAGTGTTCTGTTTATTGGGAGAGATAAAGAGTTTTGTACGTAGAAAGACGCATTCTGAAAAATAGATGGAATATAATAACCATTACCTTTCAAAGAGGTGAACACTAAAAATGAATAAGTCTGAGATACATTCATAGAAGGGAGGGGGGGGGGGGGTTCAAAATTTTAGGTGGGTGACCCCTCTCCCCTCCGCCCCCTCTCCACATGAGAAGAAATTTTGAAAAACAAGCCATAGTGGGGATAACACGATACCCTTTAGAATCGTGATAGGGGGAGGGGGGGGGGGGGGATTCCCGAGCGTGTAACAGTATCTTACCTATTAAGCAAGGCAACATCAACCACTTCACAGCTTAATATGCATAATTATGTTAACGATTCGTGTTATATCAAACGAACTTGTAGAACTACATGTACATTATTGTGGCCGTATTTTATTCTGAAAACCAGATATCAACGAATGTAACAGTTCCCCTTGCCAAAACGGAGGTACCTGCTCAGACTTCGTTAACCAATACCAATGCCAGTGTATCCTTGGATTTACTGGGACCAACTGTGAAACCAGTAAGTATTCGAAGTTCAAATAAACTCCGTCATATAGGATACTATACTAATGTGGAGCAGGTCATGTTGTGTTGCATTGGGAGAGATTGAAGGGAAGGCTTAGTTTTGGTACAGATGCAAAATGATTTGATAGATTTCTCATTTTGTTGTCAGTCAGTTTGGATGCTATACCATGAAAAAGATTGCTTTTCAAATGCTCTCACATTCAAATAATGATGAGATGAAATGTGCGTGTTGTCCCATATACTAAGTTCTGTGTATCAATATATGCAGTATTCAGCAAGATTAATTGATATTTCGATCATTCCAAACTTAAAGTGTATTTCAGTTCGTATGTACTACATACCCAACCTTTCTTAACTGCTTCCATACAGTTTCTTTTAGTTAATCATCACACGACCAGTACTCAAGCCTTTCTTTGAAACTTACTTTCTTCGTTCGAAACAATTTAGCCCTAGATACCAATTCAAGCTAGTGGTACAGGAAACCCAGCTCCGCTAGATGCGAAATGGAGTTGTTTGTAGCTGCACCTAGACAATGTAGTTCATTTAACCTGCAATATATATATACAGATCCACACCATATCTGCCTACAGTAGGACTATACACCCAAGGTAGACTGAATCTACATGTAATAGGAAGAACAAGGATATCCATCTGGATAGAAGGGATATAGTATTGCAACAATGTTGTAAATTAAAAAATGAAAAATCTCAACATAATCTGTTGTTATACATTACTGCGTTGGAACATTTTATATCCAATTCACTGGAATTGAAATGTTTTTTTTGTGCACCACAGATATTAACGAGTGTGCCAGTATTCCTTGTCGTAACGGAGGGACATGCACCGATTTAATCAACATGTTCACCTGTGCATGCCAGCCTGGGTTCACCGGCACCTATTGCGAGATCGGTGAGTTTTAAATATACAGCATATTATTAGGTTGGGGGCATGTTTAAATGTCCACTTCCGCACGTACAATAATGAAATCATCATAACTTAAATGGAAGTAATGTAATATCAGAGAATTACTTACCTCAAAACCATAGAAAGTTTACCATGATCTATGTACAATATCCCATTCCCAGAACACTTCGATAGTGAAATAAAAAATTGCATGTTCACATCAACATACTGTTATGTTGATTCTTGTTGTAATAATGAATATCAATAAAGATATTTGAAATGCTTAAAAAGAAATATGTAAATTGTGAAACAGTATGCTTAATTTTTGTGATGTTTCTCTATTGCTTCGCTCCAAAAAGATTAAAATTATGCTACATCGGTCTTTAGTTTCCCTAAATATCCAGAATAGGCCTTTAGGTGTGGGCGGGGGAAGGGGGGGGGGGGCTATATGCCGTCCGATCGCAGCTTTGCAATATGTTTTGCATGCCCTTTGTGACAGAGCTCAACGAATCGACTGATATTATTGTTCTCACTGTTTAGAGTTATGATAACATTATGAAGGCTGCTTCAAAGTAGCATTACGAATATCAGTTGTTATTCTTAATGAAAAGAAGGATCTCCTTAACGCCCCCACTGTGCGTTAATTAGAAACCACTGCCGAACTATGCTCTGCGCATGGGCAGGTTAAGGTCATTTGTACAAAACTGTAAAAACATATCCTGAAGAATGAAAGTTATGTAATCGTTATTGATATCAATCTAGGGTACATTCTAAGATGCGCAGGTGTAAGCATTCTTTTCAAGAGGGCAAACGAAATGTGTACATGAAGCACCTCAATCATTTTGGTAGCGATTATTCTAAAATGCACAAAGTACAACTTCTACATACTGACCAAAAAATAATCTGTGGATATTTAGAGTTTATACGTATATTTGCTATCTCCGAACAAGATATACTGTTCAGAAATGTTAACAAGAAAAGATGCAGTGGATATTGTCGTTATATGTAAACGATGAAATACTCTAATCCGATTGCATTGAAATTGATCATTTTCTCCGTATTTCTTCCATTTTTTTTTATTCATGCAGACATCAATGAATGCAGCAGCAACCCATGTTCGCAGGGAAATTGCATTGACAGAGTTAATGCATACGAGTGTGTCTGTTTCGCTGGTTATACAGGAGTAAACTGTGACATCAGTAAGAGAACTCAGAGGCATTTCTTTTAGTAGGAGTAGATCCAAGACTTTGTATGGAGCGGTACTTGTGCCTAAAAAAAATCTGACCCTCCTCCTCCTCCCCACAGAAAATAAATCATCACGTTTTAAAGCCACTTTTGGGGAATTACATTTCGACGGACACCGAAATATACTAAGGGGACATATTTTTCTCCTACAATTGAACGTCTGCAAGATTGGATTTTTAACAGGGGACGTAGGCCAGTTGTGCTCACCCCTATATTCTCCAGTAAAGAGTGGAATATTTTGAATAGGAGAGAGTCGTGTTACTAAAAAATACATTTTCATACGAGTGTGTACGAGGTAATACAAATTCATGATAATAATAGTTGGAATTATGTAGCACTTTGTCTTGAGGATAAAAAGCACAGAATATAATGAGATGTTAATGGTGAAGAAAAAAACACTGACAAAATATGTAGACATCAAATGAGAACTGGTCATGCATATTGTCAAGACCACATTCTAGGAAAAAATCGATCTGGTTCAATCGGATATTTTATTAACCGTTTTTCCATTTCAAAGATAACGGTTTTTTGAAAACCTCGATATCCCCGAAAATATTTACACGCCTTCTACTCTTTACACGTGCAGATATTAACGAGTGTGCTAGCAGTCCCTGCCTGAACGGAGCACAGTGCGTCGATGAGGTGAACATGTTCAGATGTGTTTGCGTACCTGGATTCACCGGAGTACTTTGTGAAACTAGTACGTTCATATTCCCGACCATAACTCTCATGATCACGATTCAAGAACAATCATTGATTCTCTTTGAATGATTTAAATAATCTCTTTATTCAACATAACAATTTAATCAAAGTAACACGTATGAGCATATTGAAGAAGAAAATCTGCTTGATATTCACTGAGATGTTAGTGGTGATTGTAAAGGAGGAAAAAATGCTGAGCTCGGTATTAAAATGTTCTTAAATGAAGAAAAAAACACTGCTACGTATATTAACAAAAATATCCCGCAATTACTGATACATTCTGTCTTAACTTACGTTGAGAAATAGCAATAGTAGAGTAAATGTTTTCCCTACTAAGTCATTCATCGACCATGAGGATAGGAAAGGAAGTTGTATTTTCGATGAACAAACATAATAAACCCACCATAATTTTCATTTTCAGTTGTGTTACTATTTTTTTTTTATATTAAAGCATGAATTCTGAATGTGTAGACCTTGATATTTGGTTGCTGAAAAATGTATCGGAAATTATTAAATGAAAATATTTGAAATCTTTACCACTCATTTTTTCCATAAGATATCAACGAATGCCTGAGCGGACCTTGTCAGAACGGAGGAACGTGTAATGATCAAGTAAATCAGTATACCTGTGCTTGTCAATCAGGATTCACGGGAACCTGGTGTGAAATTAGTAAGTACTAACTTACATATAGTAATAATGATAGTAATGTTATTAATAATAACAATACCAAAAATAATTATAATGATAATAATAATAACAATACCAATGATAATTACTTTTTATCACAACCACCAAGGGCCTTTTCACCAAATTACAGTAGAGTATACTTATTTATAAGCCGCTCTAAACAAATCTATATTAGGATTAGAAGTAGGAGAGGTAACATTAGTAGTGAGTGAAGTAGTAGTAGTAGTAGTAGTAGTAGTAGTAGTAGTAATAGTAGTTTGATGATGATGATAATGATTATCATTTTGATTTTTTATTATTAATATTATTATAATCATTTTTTATTATTGTCATTAACATCATCATCATCATTATCATAGTAAATTCTTACTTCGTACACATAGTTAATCAGTGCACTATTTAACCTGGAAATAAATCATATGGATATTCCTTCCGTCATAACATCTTTCCTTCAAAATTACACAAGTGATATTTTTCCTTCGTAAGAAAATAACTCCAAACTATACCATGACCTGTACATAAGAGCACACAAGCCCTGCCGGAAAGGAAAGTCTCACATACAATGAGATCACTTACAAATGTTATGGTGTTGATCATGGGAAAACACTGCATGAAGAAATGTTACACCATGAAGCCACTGAAAACCCCAAACAGTCGTTACATCACAGTATGTCCTCAGAGTGGACTGTGGATGCTGTCATAATACATGACTGTGTTAAAAGCGTTTTGGCACTGTTTCATACTGTTAGACACTATCTCGGTGGTGTTTATTTTGAAAAGAAGTGTAAAAACAGAGGGGGGGGGGGGACTGGGCTGCAGTACTTGATCAACCAAGCAAATGATATGATATCTCTCTTGTGTTATAGATATCAACGAGTGTCTAAGTGGGCCATGCCTTAATAGTGGTACCTGTTTAGATGGAATCAACAGATATACATGTCAATGTGCTCCTGGCTTTACCGGTCTCTTCTGTCAAATAAGTAAGTCCAAAAATGTTCATTCAATATAAATGTTGAAACAAAAGCCATAAAGCATAAAATATGTAGATTTGTGACCACGATTCTCATGTCCCTTGAGAGACCATTATATTTAGAGCAACCAGTGGCATGTACGGCCTGCCATAGTTCAAATACAAATTAACTCGATCTTAGTCCTAGTAAAACCATCCCCCAGGTTTAATGTCACTCTTCAAAGTCATATACCACGTTATGTTGCGTGTGTATATATACATATATAAATGCATCAGCTCAATAAGCATTTGATAAATGTTGACTTTTCGAATGCTATCTGTCAAAACAATTAAGTAGAAAATGTGTAATTGCTAAGTAAAAACGACATGAAGATGAGGAGTACCGTTTTATCTGGACTCAACAGTAGAAGATATATTGCTATACAAACGTATACAGTATATATATCATATGTATCATAAAAGTCTTGTTTTCAAATCATTACGGCTTTGATTACATTATTTTGTTCAAATGCACTTCGTGATAATTTCTTGGATGAGAATAAAGTAGTTTTTCCCGTGATATCAAATTTTATTTAGCCGAACTCGAGCTGGATCATGTGACATATATATATATATAATTTATTTATAAGAGAGGGAGAGACAGAGAGAGAGAGAGAGAGACAGAGACATACGTAGACAGACATACAGAGAGTAAGAGGGGAACGAATAGAGATAGATAGAGAAAGAGAGAGAGAGAGAGAGTACTCACATTATATGAAATACAAATCAATGTTTGATTTTTATACAGATATCAACGAATGCGCCAGCGATCCTTGTCTGAATTCAGGCAATTGTGTGGATGGAGTGAACATGTACGTTTGCCTATGCACATCAGAATGGACGGGAAACAGATGCGAAATTAGTAAGTAGTAACAGGCGTCAGGGGGAGAGAGAGAGAGATTACAATGAATTTGGATCGAATTGAATTGAAATCTCTTTACAGGGTCAAAATACAAATACCTGTAGGATACAATTCTTACAATCATATTAAGTACACATGTGTTAGAAAGTGAGAGAAAGACATAATAATATATGATAGATACTTGAGTTGAGTAAAAATAGGATATTACAGTGTAGGAATAACATGAGATGAGTATACTTTCAAATAAAATAAAAAAATCATAATTTTTAGTAGATTGGGTTTTAAGAAGGGGCCTACCTAGTGAATAAAAGTTTACATGTTTTTAAGAAACAAAGACAGAGAATGCAACTACTTGGACAACCATTGCAGACAATCCTAGCACTTATGATGTATATGTTCGACGTAATCTTCAGTTCCGGTAACAACAGAATTCAGGAAAGTCACAGATTCAAAGCAAACATACAATAATTGTTCAAGGCTACACATAAATGAAATGCCAATCGCCAAATGAATTTGGTGGAAGTAAAATAAAGAATACCTAAGTAATGAGCTATTGAAAGTTATAAAATCGAGCTAGGCAGCCTGACCATATGTTCAGAACTTAAGCATGCTATCAGTGAATGTGTTATCAGAAGTTTCTTTCATTTTGTGGGATGTTCCGAACAACTAAACGAATGCATGTATGGTAAACAATTCTGGGCCCCGTCTAATGTAGAGTTGCAAATGATTCGAATCAATAGCAATTTGGAAGTTAAACTCCTATCGCCTAAGTACACATTGCGATTAATTTTGATTTGCGAATGTTTTGAATCTATCGCAACTCATATATATATATATATATATATATATATATATATATATTAAATACAGGACCCGGATCTAGCAATCATTCAGTTTACCGTGTAAAGTAGTTATATAAGTAGAACTACAATTTAGCTTCATATTTCTTTGTGTGTTTTTAAATATTTCTAAAAAAATATTTTTCAACATATTTCATTTTTAGATATTTTTTTTACACAGTAAACCATCCCAATTTGGTAATTTGACTGCAATATTTTTCTTGTAAACTTTGAATTGAACTGAGTGAATTGATTAACCGTGATATCTCGTAGGTCTAAATGCATGCCGCAGTAGTCCCTGTCAGTATGGAGGAACTTGTGTGAACACGGGCACCAACTACATTTGTGAATGCAACCCTGGATATGCAGGAATCAACTGCGAAATCGGTAAGTAGTTATTGGCGTATCCAGGTGTATACAATGAGGGATGAAAGCTCAAATTCATTGGCCATAGTTTAGGAAATTGGAAACTACTATTCTAGTGATGGCATGAGCAATGACTTGCTGTAATAAGCCACTTCAGAGATTTATGTTTACGAATTACCCCCAAACATCCACAGCTCTTTTACACATGGAGGTTTCCCATTTTATGCTTTTCAGAAAATTCACTGCCAAAGTGCTGGAGGTGTTCCGTGAATACCGAATGTTCGCCCTCTTGAAAAGCTATCTTCGAATCAGAATGTATCGCCGGTGCATAAATACATAATGATTGCAAAACTTCCACGAAAACATATCTAGCAGTTGTTTCGAAGGGTTCTACAGTTTTGCACAAATGACTTTGATCTGCCCATGCGCAGATATTATCTACACAGTGGCTTATATCATAATGTCATTGCAGTCTCTACTTTTATGTCACATTACAATTTAGTGTTGGCCATTGAGTAAAAGTAAAATAGACTATTTCCTTGATTATGTTGAATAAAGCTGAGATTTGTCTAAAAGAAGTGAACTTAAGATTTAGACACTGATTAAATGTTTTTCCATATTATTCCAAACAAGCGCTTAAAAAACGCATATTTGGCATTCTTGTATATCAATATTGAATACGTAATTTTGCTATGAAGGTCTAATAATCATTTCATTCTGCTCACAGACATCAATGAGTGTTCCAGCCTGCCATGTCTGAATGGAGGACAGTGTATCGATGGAATTGCAATGTTTACGTGCCAATGCCAGCAAGGATTTTCAGGAATGTTCTGCCAAGATGGTAAAAGCAAAATCTTTGTTAGTAAAATAGGAACAGTAGTCTCGTGCTATGGAGGAAAAAATGTCCCCACTTTTCTTGATCTCTTATTGATACTTAATATGTCGGCGTTCCCATTCAAGAGTTACTAGAATGTGTATGTGTGTGTGCAGTGGAGTACGCAGGATTTTTTTTTTCAAGGGAGGGGTTTTAACATTTTGAAATCGGGCCAAATTTTGCAACGGGGGAGGGGGTAAGAGGACATTTATGTTTTTTGGGTTGGTCCAGAAATTTGAAAAATTGACCGATCGACATTCCGTTCCTTTGGGGGGGGGGGGGGGGGGGGGGTAAGGTCTCTTTTTTTTGGTCATCCATTAGGATTTTTTTTTAATTAAATAAAAAAACCAAAAGGGCGGAGGGGGGGATTTTGTCCCGAAAAACATACACATTAAAAAAACTCAAGGGGGGGGGGGTAACCCCAAAACCCCTCCCCCCGCGTACGCGCCTGTGTGTGTGTGTGTATGTGGGGGGGGGGGCAGGGCTGGTTCTTGAGGTACGCCTGTATAAAAATTACTTGTTATTTGCACGATGCAGGTGTATAGATCAAAGGGATGAAGACGGAAATCCTTCATAGCTTGCCAACCTCCATAACATCGTCAAAATAAATTAATTATGCAATTAGTGATGCAGTTAGTACAGAAATGATAATTCATAGTGGTTAGTAATACCGTCTTTTGATTCATTACGATAAACAATCCGTGTATTATACAGACTGATGTGAAACACTAAGGCTTGTTCAGATGGGGTGTGGTAAACCGCGTGTAAAACGAATGGCAAATGCCCGCAAGAAATGAGTATTCACTGAGCTCTCTATTATAAGATACAGGAATGAGAAGCGTATCAAATTAAGTCATCATTAAACCAAAAAACGACCACCGCGGTGTGGCTGTGTCATACCCGAACGAGCTATTAATCTACCGCATAGGGATGTTAATCCAAGAGTGCTATTTGAAATACCCTTGATAGAGACCTGACATTGGTTGATAATTCCTCCTCTGCTAATGGTTCATATCACCTTTTTTTTTCTTGAGCGAAAGAAAAACTGAGGATCTGATTCAGTCAATCTTGTGTTAGCGGCCACCTCTCTATAAAGGCCACCTGTCCATAATGGTCACCTACATTCTCCCTCTCTTAGTGGAAATATATGTTGTAGAGCTTGTCTAGAAAGACAACTTGCCTACAGTGGCTTGTTTCCCTGTTTCCATTTGGTAACCTTACTAGGCTGGTTTGACTGTTTTCTGTTATGCTGATTTATTCTTTTTTATCATTTAAGTCGGATACTGTGATCTGGAAGGAGTATGGTACAACGAACTTAATGATAGGATCACCCTCACTGGCACGACAACTGGAATGCTCCTGGGAGACTACAAGGATAGCGTCGAACTTTTAACAGGCTACACCGGTAAGCTTTGTTAGAATTCAGCCAGAAATTGTAAACAAAATAATGTTTCATATGGCTGGATTTGTATTTTAAAAATGTTGATATTTACTTGCCTCATGGATTCGTTATTGGGAATCTTGTTCCAAATTGAAGGCAAATGTTAGCCTTGGATGTATTAAAAATGTATATCGAATAAGAAATATATGATATATTTCATTGTACTGAAATGATGTAGAAATTGAAGAAAAAAATGACTCTCATTTTGTGTACAAGTTCTATAATAAACTGTTACCACTGCTATCATACTTATTTTTGATGATTGTTCCCAAATAGAGTATTTTCTTTTAGCAATTTGATCATGTTCTACTGATAGCTTGGAGTTTCGACTTAGGAACATGTAGTGATAAAATTAAAGTCTGATCATTCTAGTAAACACGAAATGCAACCGAACCTACTCAATTAACGTTGGATAATCTCCACTAATTTCAAGGATAAAGGTAGAGAAAAAAATCTGGAAGTTTAGTATTCAAATTGGCAATTAATGACCCTGTACTTTAATCCATTGACAGCTGCCACTGTTGTTGTTGGATACGCCAACCGCAACTGCGACTTCCCATCCTTCGGTTTCGTCGTCACCCGGGACAACGGCTTGTCGACCACCAGTTGGTCTGGACAGTGTCACTTGTGTGATGGAGAAGAGGTACTCTATACCACATGGACCAACACTCAACGAGTCACCACGTGCGTTGAGGTCAAACGGGCAACACTGTAAGTCATTGCGATCTTAATCCCCCTCCCTCCCCTCCCCTACCCTCCCCTCCCCTCCCCTCCCCTCCCCTCCCCTCCCCTCTTTCTAACTCTTGCAACTATCGTCCCCCTCTCTCTCTCTCCCTCCCATCTTCATTTATCTTTTTCTAGCTATCTTCCTCGTGCTATTAATTTTAAATTTGAATTATTATAGCGATATTCTTTTCTTAATGGGTTGATTCACAAAAGAGGTGTGCATTTAATCAAACGGTCTAAGTCATGATTTGAAGCCCCTGAACTCAAATAAGCTTAAGACAGAAGGGTCAATAATGATATTGCCCAATCATTGGAAATGAGAACACTCTTGGACTAGGCTTATTAGGCTTTAAATCACGGGGTAAGATAAATCACTTTTGCGAGTTCAGGCATTACGTTTTATTTGGTTCTGTCCCCTAAATTAAAAAGGATTTATTTCAAATTGCTAATGCTGATCATCAGATTTTGCATTCATCAAATGAATATGATCAGGTCAATGACGAGATACCATGTTTTTCATTCTCTTCTTAATGATTGCTACATATGTGTGAGATAAATATGAATAACAGAGATGTGAAAGTACAAATGCATAATGAAAGGAAGTATGTGAGTGAATATACATAGCAAAAACAAAGAAAGAGATAAAATAATGTTAATGAATATCTGTGGCTTCTGCGTTTCTGTCCAGAATTGGCCAAGACAAGTGGACTCGCTACCAGCAGAGCACTGCACCCCGGGAGGATCCATGAGAAGCGGCTGTTGTAGGTGAAGCAGATCAACATTAAGAGCTTACCTTATTACACATATGGAAATAAATGAATGTAGATCACTAGGTGAAGGGATATCACTTTTCTATTTTTCCTAAATGTTTTATAATTTTTTTCTCTAAATAATGAATATTAAAAGTAACGTCCAAAGTTAACGACGTGAGGTTATATGGGTAACGTTTATGTTATTGAATTTCCTTTAATATAACTACTCCCCTCATCGTAATTTTGCTTATATTTGTGCTTGAAATGTCAATCAAAATTATTCTTAATTTTTTAAAGGTCGTTTTATCTTCCATTTGATATGTATTTGATACATCTTGTAATAACCAAGTATTTTTTTCTTCATCTGAGGCATATAAATATACGGAAAGGAACAGTTATTGTTTTCCTTTTTATAAGATAAACGTATAAATACATTATATTCTTTTTCCTTGCTAAATGAGCAGAGTAAATATGAATATAGAGTAAAATTATAAGGAATTTGTACCGCAAAATCGAGTAAAACCTGATGTGTGTGCTCCAGCCCATTACTTAGCATTTAGAGAGATATCAGGAAAAGACAGATTATTTGTAGTTATTATAAGTCTTTCAACTAGCTGATTTGTAGGTGTATATGTAGCAGTACTATGCAAATCTTTATATTGTGTATATACGAACAAGTCTTTCATATTTTTGTACCCCAAATTTGAATTCAAATTTGTTTAAATGGTTGGGATGCTTTTGTTCATCCTTGCAAAAGGACACATTATTGTTATCTGATTCTGTTTCGGCTTTGCGAAGAGCTTCAGCCATAATCAAGAATATGCTTTCATCGGTAATGTGTGATAAGTATCATTGGTCTCCGGCTCGTTATCGAAACAGAAAAATCTTCATAACGGAACCATTGACCCGAGTCTTTCATTAGCAAACCATTTATTTTTTTTACTTTTAAAAGTATTATCACATAAGCTAATTGTTTTGACGCAAATGTACCTTTAACAAAAAGTACTTTGATACTCACAAAACGGAATAGTGATATATGTAAACAAATTCAGTATAGGCTAAGTATTTGTTGAATGATGGTTTATCAAAATCATACCAGTGTTTATGTTTCCTTCTTTTTGGGCAGTGATTTATTAAATCATGGAACATATTTTCTGCTCACTGTATTCATTTTTTTAGCTGACAATGTATTTGCAGTAGCCTATTAAGTAAGAATGGAAATCTTAAGGGTATTTTGATCACCAAAGGAAAATGGTTAGAGAAGGATATATACTACAATGAGAAATTGGGCGCCTCACTTTAGAAGAGAAGAAAGACAAAGAAAGAGACGAAGAGAGAGAGAGAGAGAGAGAGAAGGAAGGATATATATATATGTAGATATGTAGATATTTGTAGAAACTAATGGGCTCCTTGCCTTAAATAGAAGGAGAATATATTGGAACACAGAGACAAAGAAGAAGGGAGAGAAGAGAGAGAGAGAGAGAGAGAGAGAGAGAGCGGGACAGACAGACAGAGAGAGATACAAACAAACAGATATAAAAGAATAAATGGAGAGATATGAGCACCATACGATATTTCCGGCGTTTGGGGGAAGTCACAGATGGTCTCAGAAAAAAGTAGAATATTAGAAATTATGCTGACATAATTGTTTTTCTCAGCGAAAAAGCGGAGCCTTTTGAAGTACTGAAACATGAAACTATAAAAGTAGGCATATCTTTTGCAGTGTTAATAATCAGGGGCATACGATCATCTATGTATTTGTTAAACACTATCGAAGGGGGAGCCGTCTGAAGAGAGACAAACTTAAGCTTTAGAAATATATATATATACAGAGAGAGAGAGAGAGAGAGAGAGAAAGAGAGAGAGGGAGAGAAAGAGAGAGAGAGAGAGAGAGAGAGAGAGAGAGGTGGATGTAGAGTAGAGAAACGGGGCGTGTAAGAAGCATGAAAAGACCTGGGACGGCCCAAAATAGAACGAAAACCAAAAATATTGTCGTTTATATGATTCAAAAATATTTTCACTTTGGAAAAAAGACAGACCGTTTGGACACTTCGTATATCTGCGGGGTGCGTGCGAATGGCGGTTCCCCTTCCCACCCTGAGAAAATTTAAGAGACGTGTTTGAATGCACAGAATGTTCTGGTAGTGTTAAGAAAATAGATGCATAAATGACAATGAATAAACGCATTTATAAAACACGCTTTTCATTGGGATGTCCATGAACTTGCAGGGTGAATGACGGTTTCATGAAACGTTGCCCTGGTTACTAATTATCTAATCCACCTGCTTAGAACAATGGCATCTCTATCGATAGAATCCACTTTGCACACAATAGTTGTCACTGAGTCTGTTAAACCTCTGGTCAGCTTTTGGCCTGCCAAGACAATGGTTAACGGGTCTATTGTTTTGTTTCCAGCGACATTTTACTATCAGTTGATTAAACGTTAATTGCAGGCGCTTTATTTGAACCATCGACTTCCACCCTGCTTCTTATCAATAGGTGAGAAGTGTTTACTTCTCAGTTCTGTAAGTATTTTGACGTTTCTAAAATTACATTGCGATTATATGAATGAGATGAGGTGTAAGTGTCAGCAGAATATTAAGAATATTTAGAATGTTAAAGAAATAGCAATGTGGGTTGTAAGTATTTCTTCTCCTTCTTCTTCGTCATAATCTGCCTCCTTCACTCCCGAAGATTCTTGCAGATGAAAGGTGTGTCACAAAGGGTCGTGATGTGCTGAGTGTCCAATTTAAATAAGGTGCAAGTCTTGAAAAAAAAGTTTGTCATTTTTTCAAGGGTGTGGTTCATGGGCTGTTTGTGAATTCGTTGTACGTAGAAAATGATAACAACCTACCAACCTACCAAGCTAGATCAGGAGCCTTGGGCGTCACCCATTGAAACGTGCGAACATGACAATAAGGTATTACGTAATCTGAACATGATTTTAAAAGGGAATGATATTGCCCTTGCACTTTTTTTTTTTTTTGGGGGGGGGGGGAAATAGTAGCGATCGTGTTGTAGATAAATGTATATTAGGTAAGGAGCATGTCTTGAAATAGTCTTCACATTTCAAACATATTGCTTTATAAAAGGTAGCTTGGTGGTCGACCACTGTGCAATGAAGGATCCATCACACCCCCTATTGTTTCATTAATTTTTAACCGCTCCGAAATCAGTTTTTGATGAGTGTATCAAGTACCCCGGAGAGACAGATTCAGAGCTTCTTTTATTCCAAATTCTATTCACATGTACAATGAAATCGCGCAAGCAGCATGGAGTGGGTCGTTTACGTAATGTAATCAAATTTAATGCATTCATCTTTGTTAAGTGCCTCATTTAAAACTTTCATTTACCCGTCACAAATGAATGTATTTCTCCAGTCAGAATGCAAATTGCATACATTAGTTGTTGTTAGGTGGGACAAACACTATGGCTTGCCCTACCTAACAACACGTAAGGTATGCAATTCGCATTCTGACTATTGAAATACAATTATTCCTAACAGGTGAATGAAATAGTTACAAAACATTACAGTTTTACGTAAACAAATTGAATGCATTACGAAAATGGCCTATTCTCATTTGTAAATAGTAGGCCCACGTGAGTTCCTTTCTCTTGTTTGCACCGTCTCTCTCCCTCCCTCTCTCTCCCTCTTTCTCTCTCTCTCTCTCCCCCTCTCCCTTCGCTTTCTATTATCTATTTCAGCTTACAATCATATCTGTCTATAAATGCACTTATCGTGTGACTCAATATCCGAGAGCCAGATGGTGTTTACTTTAGCCTACTTTTAGACGCCACTAATTTAACGTCCTTCTGGCTCTTTGGCACAAGACATCAATTTTTTTTCAATGTTTTCAGTGTATTTATCACCAAACTTTTGTTGTATTATTGCATGTGGACAATAATACCTGAACCTTTCATTTTGTAATAGGTATTGTTGGGAATATTTAAACATGTGCATTGGACATTTGATATTTATATGTTTGACAAGATATAATGAAGAGCTTGCCAGTAATAGGCCGTTTTCGTAATGTAACTAAATTTGATGCATCTATAGGCTATGCGGTAGTATAGTATAGTATATAAATGTGGTAACATTATGAAATGGCCTATTCATACTCTTTAGTGTGACGACTATTCATGTGTCAATAAAAAAAAATAAGTTAAGATGGTCAATGGACGGGTCAACATAAGCTTCATTTTACAAAGCGATACAATGTTTATAATTTAATTACAGACTAAAGAAGTGATCATTTGCACCTCAAGGAAATGGCAATACTCAATATTGCACTATTCTAATTTAAGCTGAATTGAGTTAAATGATATGGTCCATATTATTCTTATTCATTTAAACCTGACCATGGTCTAAGATCAGTATTTACTAAAGGATAATTTTAATAGACATCAGACTAACTTCCTTTAATAAACCCGATTTCGAACAATAGCTTGAGCCCAACGTAAGATGTAAAATTTAAAATAATACAGGCCTCTATTTGGAATAAAAATGCCCCCCTTTTCGCATGCACAGCATTTCGGGGCTGTAGAGGTTGATGAGAAAGCACTTTAGTGTTTCGTAGGGAAGTTCTACAACCTTTTCCCAATTTTTCTTTTTCTTCAATAAGACGTTAACGCTTCGGTTCACTATATTAGGCATTTGCAGATAGGATCATGGAAATCAGTTCACAATGATATCGATCATGGAAATCAGTTCACAATGATATCGATCATGCTCATGTTGCGTTAAAATTCAAGGATATATTTATATCTTTTTCTATATTTATTTCTTACCTATCGTGATGTAAATATGCCCCTCATTTAATGGGATCATCACAACTAAAAATAGATTAATGCCATTTATTCTAGAAATAGAATTAGAACATTACTCCCCGGTCTAGTTAACATACGCCATATTTTCTAGCTCTTTCTCTTTTTATACATATAATTTTTTTTTGTCTCTAAAGGAAATTGAAGAGGAATATAGGTTAACAGAATATTGTGGAAAAGAAATAATTTGAGATTTATAATCAAACTGGTCGAGAAAATTGTTTTTTTTTAATTTTTTTTTATTTTGGTGAAAATATAATTTTGTTTATGTGAATATTTTTCATCTGTAAATGTGTAACTTTTGTATGTAGATGTAAAAGTTCATTGGAAAATTTATTAAGACCTATGTTAAAATTATTTTGTTATTTGTATACAATGTTATAAATAATGTACAATTTTTCTTTATGAGAGAAATGAATAAAAACCTATGAAAACAAAAAATATTAGAACAAAATATATCAGACTGTGTGCGAAAATTTACATAATGAAGGATCCATTTACACCACGCAAAATATGAAGCATCCGTCCTTGCCCTTTATTCTTGCAGAATCTCCTTCACTGATTATACCTTTCATACACTATTCGGAGACACCGCTGATACGAAAAGTCAAACACAATGTTTCCCTTTTCCCCCACGGATTTTATTGTTTAATCATAAAACAGTGATATTTATTTCAATGATAGAAACTTAGTTTACAACGGAAACAATTGAAAAGTATGCCAAAAGAGCCCTTGAGTATCTATTATTAGAATAACATGTCGAAGAAATGAAATATGAACCAGTAATATAAACACAATATAAGTTTGAATTACTTTTCATTTGTATGTGAACAGGCTTGTAGTTTTTTTTTAGGATTGATTTAGTGCCCTCTAAATTGACGTAAACATTAGAGTGTCTTTAACTTTTACCCCTTCCAAAAACAGACGTAAAGCATATTGTAATACATGATGCAAACAAGTTGGGTATTGCTGGTTATTTTGCTAATAGCACAATTCCCTTATTCATTCTTGTAACCTATTTCAAATGTCTAAACTGATTTTCCAATTGATTTATCTATATGCCACCAGCCTGATCAAGGAGAATGGAGTCTGGTATCCCAAAACTTAAAAAACAAATATATCATTCATAGTGCGATGGCTTGGGAGATTGTTTGCTTCAGGGTTTGAATGATGATTATATTAAGCGGTTGATTGGCTGATTGATGGACCGGTTGATTGGTTGAGGGATTGATTGGTGAGTTCAGTAAGTGATTGGATGATCAGTTGATTGATTGATCGATTGTCGTTTTCTTGATTGGATGGGTGATTGATATTTCGTTGATTGGTAGATTCGTCGGGCGACATGTTTTTTAATCGGTTGGATGGTTGGTTCATTGGTTCAGTGATTGGTTATCCGATTGAAAATAAATTGGTTGCTTGGTTACATGTCTTTGGGACATTTAACTGTTTGGTAACTTGATTGGTTAATTGATTGATTGATTGATTGATTATTTTTAATCAGTTGTGTGGTTTGTTAGTGATTCATCAATCTGTTATTAATGATTTAAGGTCTTGGTTTTCTATATAAAGTAATATAAATCCTATCTTGTCTTAAAGTTGGAGTTAATCTTTTCATCTAATTTTTTTCAAGCGAAATTCAGTTATTCTTACTAAACCTCTTAACCTATACTACATTCTAATGAAAACGGAAAATAAAAATCTTATAGAAAGTTAAACTATAGCTCAATGTTTTCTAATCTTAGCTACGATGACAACCATTGTGTTATTTCCTAGTTACTATACTGTATGATACTTGATAATAATAAAGAAATAATAAAGACAGTGATATAGCTTAGAGGTTCTATCGTTAAAATGATACTAGAGAAAATAATACAACATCAATAATACGTTAGTCACACCTACAGCAGACCGGAGAAAGTTACATTACCTCGAAGGACCAAGAATTGGCCGGTCGTGAGACGGTGTTGAGTCAGATTGGTGGTGTGACTAATGTAGTACATTTGCAATTATATAACTTCAACTGCTTTTTAGGTCTAAGGATTTTCAAGAAGTAAGGAAAAACTAAAGAAACTATTAAACAATGCCAGTGACTTATCAATAATAATTAAAAAAAAACGCAATAAAGAATCCAGTGCGAAAGAAAATTAAAAAATGCAATTGTTTATTATTCATTACAGTTATTTTAGAACTTGACAGAAACCTTTAACCCAGTGATCTTATATATTTAAAAAAAAACGAAAGCAAAATAAAGTGAATTTTTTAACAACAAAACATTATGTAAATGATTTGTTGTTATAAGCTTGCATTTTAGGTAAAATGATATCATAAAGTGCAACTCCTGATATTCATGTTCAGGAATTCAAGTAGCACAGCTTGCTTGAATCCTACGATAATACATTGACAACAAAGGTGTACACGACTTCATGAGATCTCTAGTCTTGATTAAAATGCATGTTTTATACTTATTCGGATAGCTATGATTAACAAGGTGTCATCATGGACATCGGTTAAGGATTTATCTTTCATAATCATGAAAGTGAGTTCATTAAACTGGACACTGATCAATACTATGACCATATAATGTCTCATTCAATAAATGTAAGAGTTCTACAATATTTATTTTCTCTTCTTTATTCAAAGAGAATAATCAATAAAGAATCACTCGCTTAAGGGAACTAATGCGTGAAAATTTAAACCGGTTTGATAATATTCCTCTTAAAATGTGATATTCTTATGAAAGCTGACTAATCCTTTTAATTTCAATGTATTTCTTAGATTACATAACTACTTAATCCCCCCCCAGTATCCTTGAAACCTGAACTTTACTTTTATTCACCCCATTCGAGGTAAGAAAACAAAAAATAGCGTTTAACCCAACACAGGATCGTAAGTAAATGAGCAAATATTTGATTACAATGAAAACATAAATTCCTACGGCTATATTCTTTCAGGAATACGTTTGTTGTCAATGTAGTATAGAACATCGTTGCTGGTCAGTTCGGTTCGTGCTTACAACTGGGTCTTCTGCAGTTCATCGTTCGATTGCGGCCATGGGTTCTCATAGCTGTTCACAGCAGACACGCCACCACTAAAAAGAACAGAAAAGAACAAATATATAATCATGAAAGTTTACATGCTTCGCAGTTACATGTGGCGTCATAATCTGATACAAATCTTTTATTTTGCATTTTACTTCCATGACCTTCAGTTAGGTTTTATTTCATTTCAACTAATGTGTACTGGACGTCATATGTGTTCAATAATTGCTGGCCACGATTAACTATATTAATATTAAGGTGCATTTGGGGCATGATAACGTAGGCCTATATGTATGAGTAACATCTGAGCGATATGAGAGCAGGCTAGTATGGTGGTTAAGAACAGTAAAGGAAATATTAATCCGATGAAATTAAAGTAGAAAATCAATGATTTATCTTTGTTTGTCATAAAGATTACTTGTAAGCTCTCTTTAAGCCTATAACATGTTTAAAGATACATTGCACATCACGAATTTAATATCAGCTTACATTCTACCGCTTTGTAAATATTATCAATCCTCAGCCCATTTTAATGCTGATTTAACATTAGGAGGTATTAGCATCCGTAATGATCAGCGTGCTTACCCGGCGGATGGAGGAATAGGACCGTAGTCATTCTCTCGAATCCCTGGCGGTTCAGCATTGGCCAAGATGGCCAACTCGGCACGAGACTGCGAAGGGTATTCTCCCATGCGGGCCTTTTCTGTATCATACAGATCACTGCAGATGGGGGGGGGGGGGGGGGGGGAGGGGGAATACAAAACATGGAGAGGATTAAGAATTATACATACGTTAACATATAAAATCATGTAAATATCACAAATTTCCATCACCGACAATAAAAATCTAACATGTCATTGATAAAATTCACCCTTGCAGATTACCTCGAAGATTGTTCGAGTTTGATAGTCCCACTAATATCAATTAAAATAATAAAGTCATCTCAATTTTTGTTTGGCTTTAAATAAGACTGCTATGAATGAGATCAATTAAGTATATTGAAAGACAGTATCTTAACAATGTAAACAACTATTTGCACAGGTAAAGTTAGCGATTTGAGGCTTGTGGAAATATGTAAATGCAGTGATATTATGATAAAGGCACGGGGGAGGGAGGGAGTAGATGCCACTCAGTAAATTCTGAATGAAATGTCAATATATGAGAGGACATTGATAGACGAAATGTAAATATATGTATTGCTACTCACGCTTTAGTCCGGCAGCAGTTGGCGATAAGGAAGAGAAGGAGGAAGAAAATGGCAAACAATGCTAGAGCCACGATAAGAAGGATGAAATATGGGTCCAGACTGATGCGAGTGCCTTTGAAAGTACTTTGCTCCGCAGGAACGGTATTCACTGTTGAGATAAAGTAAACGAATACAGTTGTAGAAAATATAATAATTGGTAAAAAAAGTATCACGAGAATCTGATTCATATATGGATGATATGATTAATACAAACACCCCAGCATGACTAGATGTTTACATTATAATTATGGAGATTACAATGATAACTGTTGTTGTTATTATTTTCATTATCAATACCATCATTGTTATCATCATCATCACTAATATCATTATAAGTATTGTTGTTGGTGCTGTTATTACTACTTAAATATTATTATCAAGTATTTATCGACATCTGTGTCTTAGAAGGAAAAGGGAAACTCCACCACTGTAACCATGGTAACCATCGGGGTCTCTCCTACCGATGACTTTAGCTGCAACCCGATGTGAAATAATTTACACAATGATACCAGAAAGCTGTACTGATATTACTTTGATTTCATGCTGCTGTTAAGCAAACTTCTGTTAAATGAGTTTTCGGTCGTGGTACTCTGACGTTTGCTTTGTCAACCAACGCCCGGGTTTCATTTCGTCCAAAGCATATAGGGTTAGGGCTAGGCTTAGGGTTGCAAGTGGGTTTTAGGTTAGGATTGGGGTAAGGGTGGGGGTTGGGAATTAGGTAAGTGTAGGAAGTTATCGCGGATGAATTGACAAAAGAGTTGTGTCGAACAACACGTGGTTGTGTAGGTGACTATGATTCCTTATCGACTAAGCTCTCACGAACCGCTAAACCGAATCTAGACCGACGGATTGATGGCAATTTGGGGGCTAATGTTGTCGATCTGGTGTCGGTCTCATTGGTGTGACAGGGGTATTACTTACACTGCTCTGGGCTGCAGACGGGCTCGATGAAATTACCCGTACAGACACAGGTGTATCCGTTCTCCCCGTCCACGCAGACCCCTCCATTCAAGCAGGGTTTCGATGCACATTCGTCAATATCTACATGAAAATGAAGAATTTTAAATGAGCATTCCACTGATAAGTCACTATGCGGTGAAATAGATGCTCCTTTAAAGGTACTATGTCCTATTTGCAGGACAAAAAATGAAAAGGATAAATTCCAACGGCATTTGAAAGATAATACTGATTTAGAACTTCCTTCACAACGAAAGGGCTTGAAGATGTCTTTTAGTGGGAAAATAATGACCATTAGTTGTCGAATCGACTTTAGTGATTGCAATAATTTTAGTAATAGTTTGATTTTCAGACCCTTGTACCGAATGGTCGTACGTTTTGCGCTGCGCAAAGATTCAATCAATTTAATTTTGGCCATTACAAGTAGTGGGTTAATGATGTCGACAAATGCCCATGTACCCTTTAAAATCAAAATTTCAATGCCATCTTCACAAAAATAACGGCAAATTGATCGCATTATATATAGAGTATTTCTATCAATAGTGATATGTCATCTAAGAGACATGAAAAAAAAAAAAAGCTATTAAATATCACATCTCTTTTTTCATGTCGGATAAAAGAATTGTATTTCATCAATACCATACCTATTTGGCACAGGTCACCCATGTACCCGCTTCGGCACACACACACAAAGCCGTCGATTCCATCTTGGCACACGCCATACCCGCTACAATCCTCATTCAGACAGTCATCAATATCTGCAAAGGAAAGGTCAATTTGGTAAGTACTTCATGAGTCATCAGTTTATATTTTCAAACTTTGTTCCATTTCTGAAACTATGCATATCATTTAAGTGTTATAACGGAACAGCTGGTAAAAGAACCAGATTTTGCATCGATTAGTGTCTTATCTCAACTCTTATCTACAATATTATTTACAACATTTAGTCTGTATGAATTAATATATACAGCATTCAATTTCTTCCAATTAAATTGTATTGATAATAAGCTATTTCTATTTGTACGTTGTTGTTGAGATTAATGTAGTCCAATTTTACTCCATTTATTGAATTTTTTCATGGATGTTTAAAAGAATGTATACATTTTATTTTTAAAAGTGATACCTTTGTCAATGGTGATAAATGTACGTGATATTTGGAATGCCAAATTCAAACCAGATTCTGTGAAGTATGATGTCAAAACAATGTCCAGCTTTATTGGAAAAGTAAGACATGAATATTAGTAGACAATGGTTAGGATTATTAGGCTTACTTTCTGAGCAGTACTCTCCCTCGTATCCGGCTGGACAGTCACACGAATAGTTGCCACCTTGAACCAGACAGGCCGCTCCATTTTGACAGGGGTTCGCATTTACGCATTCGGTAGTATCTGTTAAGTAATAATAAATATAATACTAGTACATCAAATATGAACTCCTCATCTCATCCACTTATTCATTCATTCATGCAAGCATTCATATAATTTGGTTTGCAAATCGTCCTCATGTTACAAGGTTTATGAAGTAGATGGGACGTGTTTAACAAAATGGTTAGAATCATACAGAGGTATCTTACTAGTGATAGAAAACCCCAAATTATTAACCCGTATTATGTCCATTGATTACCATGCCCACTGCCAGCCAATTATTCCGGAAGTGAACAAAAAAATTTAGGCCTGAATGTTCTCTCCAAATGATGTAATCAAACGTGTAACTTATGTTATCACGATTCATAACGAAAGAACGGCGTTTGTATTTATCCTCGAGAATCACACATCTGTGCAATAGGCCAATTCAATTCAATACGATTGAGTGGCTACATGATCCTGGTTACATTATCGAGGCTGTGCAAATTAAATAAACAAACTGAAAAGTAACTTTTCAAGCATTAACGTAATACATATTGGTTTCATCTCATGAGATGGAATCCTGTACGTTACCTTCGATGTCACACTGAGTTCCCATGTAACCTTCCATGCACGTGCACAGGTAGCTGTCTTCAACAGTGGAACATGCACCAAAGTCGCAAGGGTTGAAGCGGCACTTGTCAGTATCTGCAGTCAGAGAGAAAAACAAACATAAGGAAATATATGAAATTCTATTTGCAAGGAGAGGCAACATGTATTTTTGGCGATATAAGGGACAAGTCTCTACTTTCTATCACTAGGTGCTTACCACCTGGTTTGCAAACACAAACACTTGTCAGTCATTTTGTGTAACAGAGTGTCTGTACTTAAAGAGACTATGCCTATTGCATGGGCTCTGTGCCGAAGCTGCTCCACAGCCAGAGACTATTGAAGCCAGAGACTGCTGAAGACTTTATGGAATTGTGTTTAAGTGTCAATCTGAATTCTATATCTGCAGACTACTTTCAACCCCTCTCCTACATCACGGAGAATTCCATGGAAGAACAGTATTCTTACTTGTAAACACAGATCAAACTGATTACAGATTTCTACATCATACATCGAGCATTCTTAATGATATGTCACAATTAAACAGATGTGAATACCCAATTCTAATTACCGTTTTGGCAGTAGTCTCCGGCATACCCATCTTCGCACGAGCACTGGTAGGCACCACCGGCGAAGGAACAGCCTCCTTCATTCTCGCATAGGTTCACAATGCATGCCGCAGAAGATGGAGCTGTAAAGTGGGGATAAAAAAGAGGAGAAGAGGGGATTCTGCCATTAGTTTTAGGCAGGCGTTGTGCTGCGTTGTGTACGAAACACTTCATGAAATATAGACTCTGAATATGTTCATGCATTCTCACTTTATCCTAAAAATCAAGTTGGCTCTTGTTTTGAGTGCAGTGCTTTCATATATTTCGATTTTAGATATACCTCGCAATAACACTCATCGCTATGGACAGTTTCTTTTATTGACTATTGTAGAACTGGATGTTTAAGGATGCACCGTAACGCGACGGATCGGAGGTACTATCTGCATGTGGGCAGATAAAGGTCATTTTGTACGACTTTAATCGAGACGAATACTGAGTACATGTGAATGAAAAGTTATGTAATAATTACTCATGTATGCATTAATAGAACATTATATGATATGAAAGGTGCTCGAGAAGCACTTCCATCAGTTTGGCAATGATATGCACAAAATAGGGTTTCGCTATGTATGAAAGATTTGTGGATATTTGGGGTCATTTATACATTTGCTATGTGTCTATACACCCATTCAATGTCACATTATTTTGATCACAATCGGAGGTTAGAACTCACACAATTAAATTGATTAATGAAACCTATACGTACCGACGTCACAGTTGCGTCCAGAGTAGCATGACTGACAGACGCACACATAGGCATTGATGAGATTGTAACATTCACCGCCATTTTGACATGGGTTCCCAGCGCATTCATCGATGTCTGCAAAATAAAATCAGAACAATTATAAGAATCAATAGGCGGTGGCCTAAGAGCATTTTCTAGTGGCGTATCCAGGATAGGCTGGAGCTTGCCTACCCCTCTCCTCTCCTTGCCTTGTTTCCCCCTTTAAAAACCCATTTTAATAAGTAACTGAAGGAAAAGAGATATAGTTACCATGATGTTTCAGATCAACCATGCCCCGTAATCCTTACACTGGTGTGCATTTGCACTTGTAAGAGCATTTATGATTCCATTTCTCTGTTTATCGATGCCTAGATCCTCCTTGTTATGCGTCCTATGCTCTCACTATTCTCGATGCAAGGAGTATAAAAAGACCATGTCCACAAACCTTGGATTTCTTTTGTGACGTCACTATGGCATACCCCCAAAATATCTTAAGAAATATGTTATTATACCGTTTGAATATATTCTGATTTTGTGACGGAGTTGGTCAGGATTGGTGAAACGCTTAAACAAGGTGAATTTCGTGAAAAAAGAAGAACATTTTTGCCGTCATGCAGACATCTTTGTAAATTTTTTTGAAATACAAGAAAACAGTGTTGTGTCGAAATAGAGAAGAGAAGGCCTACCTAAGCAGTACGATGAGCGTACAAATATTCAAATAGTGAAGGAGAAATAAACATTACGAAGATGTTGTACTTACCATCTGTGCAGTTCTTTCCAGTGAAACCGCCTGGACAGAGGCATGTGTAATCCACTCCAATATTCATGCATTCAGCTCCGTTTGTACAGGGATTCAGTCCACACTTATTCATCACTGGAGATGATCAACAAAGACAAAATTGAGTTTAATAAAATCATTGACTTATGATCAAGAGTTGAATAATTCATATTCAATCAGATTCAGATTATTACTCAACGATCCGTATTACAAAAACATAGCAAATTGGCCTCCAATTGCATAACAACTGCTTTGTTTACAAGGTATGAAATTTGATCGCGGGAAGAAGTGTATTCATACATAATGCAACCAACTTTCAAATGGGCACATAGTATAATAATAATAAGGTCTCACCCATGATGGCCCCATAAGTTTAAATCATTATCCCTTCATAATCATGTAAATCATTGAATACACCTGGATCAAGAAAGATACATGGACGAATCAAGCCCTCGATATTTTGTATGAGAGTCAAAAGACTCCACCCATGAAACGCAGTGTTCTAACATTCTTAAAGTGACTCTGTAACATTGCCTCAGATTCTGAAACAAATCCTGGATTTAGCTCATGCTGCAATCATAATTATAAATCTTAGGTCAGTTAGTAATCACATTATTTTTACAAGCCGATCGCCTGTCTGATTATCAAGATATTTATGATTGGTAATCGAAATTTCATTTATCGTTTTCCTAACGGATTTTATGACACTACAGTCAATTGGGGACAAATGCCAATAGACGTATTAAAGTAGGCCTTTTAGTTATCACCCTAATATTACAAAGTGCTCATTTAATACACATGGGACAATGAGGACAAATCAAGGGCCTAACACAGGCTAGTAAATCTTCCATTAGAGTCCAGACCCTATACCAATGTAACATACTGCTCCAAACTTCTAAAGTCTAAGGAGACCAAATTGATAGGTTCCGTCAGGTAATAAAGGAGGCCTGTGATGGGGGGGGGGGGGGGGGGGGGGGGGGGGGGGTTGAAACATTTATTACCTGAGGGTGTCTGGCAATTTGGTCCTGTCCACAAGGCGGTGCATTGACACTGGAACTGAATGGTTCCGACATTAGTGCAGGTACCTTCATTGATACATGGCTTTGCGTCGCAAGGCGTCAGAACTAAATGCAACATAGAAATAGAAAATGTAAAAGTAAGCTTAAACGTACGAAGGAACTGAAGGGAGGGTTTACTATTGGGTAAAATCTCACTGTTATATTTCAAGTATCGCGACGTTATTGAAATTAATTTTGAACGTCTTTGTAATCGATCGTGTTAAAGACATATTGTGATAAAAGATATATACAAATTAAATTCTTATACGATATGGTGTTAGGGATATGGAATCGGATATGTGGGATTCGTAAATGAAACAATCCAAGTATGACGAGTGAAATAAAAGTGGAAGACGAGTCAGATTAATGGCTACATTGATAGTAAATGAAACCATCAATAATCATAATTTGTTTCCTCACCATACACAAAGATAACTAAATAACTATAACAGTGATATTTCCACATTCAGTCACCCCTATATGTACTGTCACAAAATTCTACCGAGAAACCCTTCTCTGTCTTATGGCGAAAATTATCCAACGACGATGGAAAATGCCATACAAACCAACAACAACGACACGAAACAATCCATACTATTAGCTTCACAACAAATAGGAAGTAAATTGGTTTAGAGTGGAGACAGCGTTCTCAGCACTCTGTCTATGCCGAAACACTCTCTATGAAGCTCTTGGCCAATTATAGGCCTTGTTTTTTGATGAATTCTTAATTTCTTGGACGTGTATCAAATTCCTTTAATCTTTTACAATCGAAATTACATCCGGACTATTAATCGACAAAAATCAACAACGGTTATTGATAACGGGTGGTATGAACATGATGAATGGAAACCCTTGGCTAAGAAAAGAAGTCAGTTCTCCAATAGAAATGAATGTAAATATAGTCACCTCTGTAAGCACTGTCACGGAATTCTACCGAGAAACCCCTCTCTGTCTTTTCGTTGTCGGTCTGGAACCGGACCCAGATAGTGTTGGCCGTCAGTGTGGTGTCACCTGGCATGATAGGACCAGCGAAACCCATCCGCTGGCTGCCAATATTGGGGTCAGACCCGACTCCAATCTGTTTGGGATTGTGACAGATATTGTGGTAATTGCACTGACAAGAGAGGCATTCATAGATATCTCTGGTAGATTAAAATACTTTATCCCAGGTCATCATATCAGAGTTTACTCTTATTGAGTTGTAACAGTGATTTAGTTTATGGTATTGGCAGTGGCGAGAAGAATACCCAGTAATTTATATACATAAATACATATAATATATATCTTGATAATAACGTACTGTACGTCGAAATTTTTTAACCTAATAAAAACTGTTAGATTTAAAGCACGACGCCTCTGTTCTTTATCATGTAGTGCTTAATCTTATGCCAACACGTAGACTTATTATCTGATATATTATATATCCACGTCATTCCTCCGTAATATGGCTTCAAAGATGTCACGTATTCCATTGCTTGCAAACAGCAATCAACATGATATCTTTTCGAATCCATGGCGAGTATTTACATAGAGCCTTGTTAACACTATGTTGTAGAGATTGAGTTTGAAATGCCTTTTACAATTTGTAATGCGGTATGGGCCTTTTCCTTTCAAGAATTAATCATTCAATATCAATCCGTTGGTACTATGCGCGATCTATGCAAAAATAAAGAAGAAGAAAGATATGACGTGCGTAAAAAGATTCATACCTGGAAATTGTCATATCTGTTTTCTGTGATGAAGTCCTTAAAGTCGATGTTGACGTCACGACCGTCGATACCAGTGATAAACCACAGACAGTCTTCACCGTTTCCATAATTGGATGGGTAGTTGGGCGAGTTGATAATGACCTTCTCACCAACGCCTAGTGTGTAGTCCACTCTGCACCCAATGGCTGGAAAGGAAATAGGAAAACATGTTATCCTCAATAGCTAGATAATTTAAATATATGTGTATTATTTTTTTAATCTCTCTCTTTCACTTATGTGTACCGGTAATAATTTATTCACTCTCACTCTGTGCCTTTACAATAGTAAACTAGATAAATGGCGCATTTTTTTTTGGCTTAATTATTAAATTAAATATTATTCTTATATTTATTTGTGCAACGTCGTGCAATTATAAATTTTTACCTGACTATCTGACTATCTAACCCACCAACGCAGTGAAATGTAATGGAACTTAAGTGATTATTATGCAAGCATTTATTACATTGGTCAATTGATCTCAATCGTTGCCATAGATTTTCTTTTCTATAAAAAGGGTCGTCACCACATTTGATAAAATGAACCACTAACGAAGTATAGGAACATCGGAATGCAGATCATCTTTTTACGTTACATATTCATTTTTAAAGCAAAATATGCTTATACCCTCATAAGAAATATATCTATGTTGCACACTTAAAACGATGCCACTACTCTTTAACTCAACCGGAATGGCTTGTATTTTTACACTTTTATTCCAGATACTCACATATCTCACAACGAATGCCTGTCCATCCCTGTGAACAGGTGCAGGTAAAGTCGTTGATTCCATCAAAACAGATACCGTTATTCAAGCAAGGTAGAGCTGCACAATCATCGATATCTAAGAGGGGGAAGAAGATGTAGGGAGATCATCAATTTGCTTCCAAAACATATATACACAGTCATGTAAATATGACATTGTTCCATGCGATAATGTGAAAGTTCGCTAAATGTTCATAGTTCTATCATTCAGTTTTTAACTAGGGATAAAATTCAACATCTTATCTATAATCTGCAAAGTGGAATGGTTATATGTAGATGATATTTGTGAAAGACTGTCCTTCGATGTCACTTTCCGATTTAAAAAAAAAAAATCCATATGTGATCGATCCCGTACTCTAATACAATTACATGTGTTCATTAACCACACACACACATACATTGGATAAAGATAGCGTATTTCGTAATAGCAGTGGTTATTTTGGGTATTTCTTGTTTATTATAAAATGAAACGGTATATCACAGCACAAAGAGCACCTTTAAGGAGCAACCTTGAAGAAATTATACGTTACATGTGGTCTTTAAAAAAGCTAGTTGATTGAACCCCTTGTAGGTTAGTGGCCTGTACCACCAGTCGTTGAAGGAGGCTGCACTACCAATCATTCGGCAGACACGCTCACATTTTATTGTAAATAATGTGAAAATGCTATTATTTACTCAATCTAACACTTTAATACCCGCGGCATATCATCATCGTCGGATAGCTTCTATATGAGCTACTCAAAGTGATTATCATTTCAAGGTTCAAGGTTCAAGGTTCAAGTTTGTAATGTCATATCAAACTTACTTATTTCACAGTGAGTGCCGGTGAAGCCTGGTGCACACTGACAGTCGTAACCATGCTCTTGGGCACGATTCATGCAAGCTCCTGCGTTCTGGCATGGGTTGCTTTCACATTCGTTTTCATCTAAAATTCAAATTCAAAGACAGAATTTAAAATTCAAATTCAAAGACAGAATTTAGTCAATATTTTGAGTGTCTACTGCGCTAATGGTGGAGGCTGAACAGTAACAGTTTTATATCGAATAAAACGCCAATGCTGTTTGTTTATAATTTCATCTGGACTTCAAATACCTTTTTAGGAAGTTGTAGTTTTGTGGCGAGTTTTGTATTGGTGAAGTGAATGCTCTTTGTTACCAAACTAGGATATAATCGACTCTGGCAGTCCATGTGTTAATGACAAGTGTTCCTATACATTTGTATTGACATTTTGAACACGATTACAAACAAATAAAAATAAAATAAAAATAAGAAAACAATCCAAGACAATTTCAACAGGCTTGTGTGTCATTTACTGAAAAGTTCAAACATATTACCTATTCCGAATAGAAATTGATTTCCTGAAATTCTATGCGATCTCGTTTTGATTATAATGTAAGACAATACACTTACTTGTTTCGCAGTTGTCTCCAGAATACCCTTGTGGACATGCACAGAGATATCCTCCGATCCTATCCAGGCAGATGCCTCCATTTAGGCAAGGTTCAGCAGAGCAGTCATTGATGTTTAAACTGCAGGTGGTCCCGGCGAATCCAGGGGGACACACGCACCGGAATGCGTTGATTTCATCCTCGCAGGTTCCTCCATTTTCACAGGGGTTAGACTCACATTCATTGATGTCTGTGAGGGGATAAATAAAATAAAAAAAATAAAAAAAATCAAATTCAAACACGTCGTCATATTTCGGACTAATCTATATAATGCATCCACCCATCAACCACAAGCCATTGGCCTTTACGTGAGTTAGATACTCTCCACTTCTATATAAATGAATATATACTCGCGTGATTTCATGAGATATTTATGTGGAATTGAATTGAATTTTTGGCGTAGATAAAGTTCAAAGGCCTTTGATTAGTCTTAATATTAAAGCCTGAACCCCACACGACAGAAAATGCCAAATGATACTATTTACTCCATGAAATATCAAGAAACAGCAAATAATAAGATAGTTTTCCAAACGAGCTTCATTTATAAATATATTACATATTCATAGTATCGCAAACAGCTCAAATGCATAATTTGAAAATGATATACATTAAATTGAATATCAAACTTTTGGATTTATCATCATAGACTTATCCTAAATCTGATCGCAGACTCAATATTTGACAGATCTTTACATTACAACTCTTTAGGGTGCCAAAGTCACCGTTAACTTACCTATTTCGCATCGATCTCCAGTATAACCGGGTTGACATGCACATCTATAAGCCAGGTTGTTGGGAGTGTTAAAGCAGAGGCCACCGTTCACACATGGATCGCTTGCACACTCATCGATATCTAAAATCAGTAAGAAAATACATGTAGGAGTTAAAGGGAATTCTTCGGAACACAAACTAGTTTTACTGGAGGAAAATAGAAGAAATCACTTTACTTCAGAATGCATTTGTTTATCTACAAGTTATTGTCATAAATTAGCCGACAGGTCTTAAAGATGGTCCCAATTATTATGCCTCATTATTCTATGTGGCAATCTTAGAACCATGTCCTATTGCCAATTTGCAATTTTGCTCCGAAATGATTTAGAGACTTTTGAACTGCTCATGTTTAAGGTAATGCTTTTGATTCTTGAATTTTGATTTGATCATGGATCATGATCAGGAAATCATGGCGACTGCTTGAATCAATGTTTAGACTAACAACCGGGAATTCAATCCTTATGATTTAACTCAATATGGAAACTGGCTTTGATTAAGAGCCCATGTCTTAAAAGCCAGTCAGTGCCTGATGCATTTTACCAAATCTCTTTACTAAATCTCCTGGATGGAACTAATAGCCGTATTATGTCCACAGACTCGTTATGTATTAGCATGTATTTGCTTTCTCAGCAGTCTAATACCCATCGACATTGAAAACTACAACTTTTACTTTACCAATTTCACAAATCAGTCCTGTGAATCCAGTAGTGCATGTACAGGTAAACATATTCTGCAAGTTGTTGCAAGATCCACCGTTCTGGCACGGCTCACTGGCACACTCGTTTATATCTGAAATGAAAAGAAAAAAGGAATAGAAAATCAAGGAAAAAGAATTTGTTAAAAGTTATATGCATGTATTCTACCAAAAAAGTTAACCACGATGACGGGCTTAAGCTTTCGTTCTTATCGGGTTAAATAAAGGAACTTAGTCTGAGGTCTAAATTTTCGTTTGTTAAAGTGACTTAAGACCTGGAGTCTGGTGTAACTTAATCATTGGAATATGAACCTATTTTTTCTTAGTGGATCTTAGTAAGACTGAAATATTGCTAATTTTGAAATTACATTACCTACCGAAGAAACCAAAGAACTGGAAGTTCTCTTCGTTAATATTGTGATGTAAATAGAAGAAATGATACAGTTATTTGTCTCGAATTTATAAAGTAATAGCCCTTATTTAAACTTTGTAAACCTAAACGTTATCACTGATTATACAATTAATGAGGGAAGGAACACACCTGCAAACTAATTCAACCCCCTAACTCTGCCCATTTTATCATAATTTCATTTAAACAAAAAATGGATTTGTTAAGATAACCATCAATGAATTGAGACATGATAACTATTCAAAAGATCATACATCGAGAATTAGAAGGTGCGTTTATCAGTATGTAGAAAGATCCATCAAAACTGAGACACAATATAGTGTGGACCTTTTAATTTTGTTTACAGTATCGAATGTTTTACCATCTTCACATGTGTTTCCAGTCCAGCCCGGTGCGCAGTTACACCTGAAGCTGTTTACCCCATCAATACACGAGCCTCCATTGAAACACGGGTCAGTATCGCAGTCATCAATGTCTGAAACAAGAAACGGGAATTAATTTTGGTATGTCAGAAGAACTGCAACTGTTGTGGTTGTTATCATGGGTTTATTTCTGGCAGCCTGTCAGAGTTGAGTATTTTTTGCCACAAATATTCAATCAAATATTTTGAAGAAAAACTCGCTAAACTCACTTATTTTTCTTACCAGAATTAACAAACAAAAACAAGATAATAATAACACCCCATCTTAAAACGGCACTTCACACGGTTCCTATCTTTTTATCACCTTCCCACCGATTGATCAAGGACTAGATGGCCTTAAAATCGTGTACAATTTGAGAGTCATGATCAGGGGATGTAGTCGAGGCCGGCAGCTCCGAGTCACGAAGCAACCAAAGATATAACTTTCCATAAGTTCTGTTCACATGGCTGGGTCTGAAGCCAAGGCCAGGGCCCCTAAAATTTGGCCTCGGGGCCAGACTCGAATACGACACTCTTTATGATATTACTCGTAACGCATATTTTATGAAAATATACTGGATCATTACATAAACCTTCCAATCGGATATGCTCACAGGGGACTCATGAACAAAATTAAGTAGAAAGATCATCTTTTCAAAAATGCTCAATTACATACATTTTTAATACTTCCAGCTTAATACAGTCATTCTATTTACAAGCATACTGTATCTAAACTGGTTATTTTAACAGGTAAAAGATGTTGCTTCCTAAAATTGGATTCTTACTGAAGCTGCATAATTCTCCAGTCCAGCCTACGTCGCACACACATCTGAAGGCGTTGACTTCATCTACGCATATGCCCCTCACACATGGATTGCTGCTGCATTCATTGATTGCTAGAAGTGAAAAAAATTAAAGAATTTAATATCGACTGAAAAACATAACAATGTTTGATTTGATAACTTAGTATGAAATATATACTCAAGTCAATAATCATTATTCATCAATGCAAGTATTCCTAATGTCATTATATTCAGCATTTTGTAATTTCATTCAAAAAAGTGCAAAAGAAAAGTTAATGAAGGTTATTACTACCGATTCATTCCTGGATTAGATACATCTAATTTATAACAGTTTTATTCAATTACATGTGTGTTATTCGTTAACCTGTCTGAAACCGCGTAGTAAGTGGATGATTCATAGATTCATGCGGACGATATCAAACGTTACATTTAAATCATCCTACATTTTGTCAAACTTCATTTCATCTTGCAAATAACTATGAAGGTACAGCAAACGATGTACACCCATGCCATATGGTGGGCACACCAATTGTTACAACAGTATTTAACATTGAATTTTACAGGTCGCAACTTTTGTAAAAACTTTATTTTATCATGCGATTACATATAAAAGTACACCAAACACTAATACTCACGTCTCTCGCAGTGTACACCAGTAAAACCACCGATACAAGTACAGGTGTAGCGGTTGATCAGGTCATTGCAGACACCTCCGTTCTGGCAAGGGTTACTCGCGCATTCGTCAACCTCTGTTGTTACAAAGAGAAAAATGGCATTTAATGGACAATCGAACAGGTGCTACGAGAAATATTCATATTTAAGGTACAATTAAGTAATGACTCGACTAAGATGAACTGTCATCAAGAGCAATATAGGAGGGGGAAGGGGGCGTTTTGGGGGAATATTTCATGTTAATTTGTTATTCAAGTACTTTTGACATCCCGCGCCCTCCATGTTAATGGTTTAAATAACTCTGTTTAGAGTGGATTCCACTCCGGATTACCACTCAACAGCATAATGAGCCCTGAAATAACGCATAAAGAGTGAATTTCCACTCTAGCGTATAGTGGTAATAAATGCATGGTAAAAGTACCTCAGTCATACCACCAGACCGACTCCACACCGACTTAAAACCGACAGATTTTTGGCCATTCGGTGAAATGTAATATTGTGTTTGGTATAGTATCAGTCTCGTTTGGTGTGACCGAGGTGTGTTACTCACCGATTTCACAATTGGTTCCGGTCCAGGCCGATGTACATGTACACGTGTATCTGTTCTGGAAGTTTGTGCAAGATCCGCCATTCAAGCATGGAGCTGGTGCACATTCGTCGATATCTGATTCACAAAGTAAAACAGTAAAGAATAGATAAATACATGACAATTTTATATTAAAGGCGGACAGTTTACATTTTTTTTGTAGGCCTATATCCATATTGGGTCACTATCAAAAGGACTCTTTATTTTTGTTATTATCCCGCCACTGTTGTACGTCTTCGTTTTGTTTTTATGCTTCTCAATAAAGGTGAATAATTTGAAGAAAAAAATAGGTTAAAATTTGTCTTGCCGTATTCGAATATTCAAACAATTTCTAATAACTGATCGTATAGTTGCTTTAATTCCAGTAGCCTAATTTACTACCGGATTTTTTGTAGATACGTTCAAAATAGGAATAGTACATTAGAAATCGAACATAAAGAGGTGTCGTGGCACAGTGGTTCATTCACTTGAAACTTAATCCAAGGATTGAGGGTTCGAATCTTAGCCTGGTACTAAGGTCGTTTATAGAAAGGACTTAAATTACATTTGCTACTCTCCACCCAGGTGTAAATGGGTTTCCGACAATCGCTGAAGTAAACGATAATTGCATAGCTTTAAGGAAGAACAACATTGATGCTGATGAGGCTTCCATTGGCAACAAAACAAAGGCAAACTTATTGCCGTATCTACCTATGTCGCATCTGGCTCCCGTCCATCCAGCAGTGCATGTGCATGAATATGCATCGAGAAGATTGTTGCATCTGGCTCCATTTTGACAAGGGTTGCTACCACATTCATTTAAGTCTAAACGAAAAGAATAAATTGGGGGAAAAAAAATACTAATTAGAATTTTAAAAAAATACACGTTTATACCAACTCTGTTTTGGCATGGGCTGCTATCACATTCGTTGAAGTAAGAACAATACGAATAAGGATCAGTAAAAAAAGAAATATTAATTTAAAAAAAATGTTATTGATGATTATTATGATGATAATGATGGTAATATTATTAATGATAGTAAACATTTACAGTGGCTCCTTTTGCACAGGGGCTCCTAAATTCGTTCAAGTGTTACCACAATGTGAAAACCCTGTGCACCAAAATCGCATGTCTACACGTCAATAACTCTGTAATCAACTATATACTTTTTCCTTCTGTGATACATAGGAGTTGAAATGAAACACAATAGCATTACCGTCTTCACAATTGTATCCAGTCCAACCCGATACGCATCGACACGAGTAGCTGTTGACGGCATTGATGCACTCTCCTCCATTTTGACACGGGTTGCTGTCGCATTCATTGATGTCTATGGGAACAAAAAGAGAACATCATTCAGTAATGACACGCCATTGGCAGCAATCTTCTGCTTGAAAATTTGCCACCAATAAAACTTCTTGGCTTTGCTATATTTCCTCCTGAAATATACACGCAATATACACTTAATCCACACCCAGCAATAACATAAACTCAGTATTGTTCATCTACACCGTGGATAAATGAATTAAATTTTGATATATATATCAAAGTAAAAAAATTCAATAATCTTCCAAAACAATCAAGTTTTGAACCTTCACGTTTGTAAAGGCACATTAATTTAAACATTGGGTAGTCTGATTAAGAAAATAGCAAAAATGGAGCAAGTTTGTGATATGTAATAAATCGATGCATTTGTAAGACATTATTGTTTACAATAAAAACAAAGATTGAGAAACATTAGGGAGGATTGAGCTCTGGATGTCGGCTGTATTCTTAAGACTGCATGGTTTTGACAAGCCCGGTCAAGATGCCTATCTGACAGGGAAGTCTAGAAAGTAATTGGGTTTCATTGCATAAATTGAATATTAGAACACCGTACTACTAACGTTTGAGTTACACAGATAGGACATACGTGATATTTTCATAATCCCGGCAAAGTTCTACAGAATTTGATGGTGGCTGCAAATGGGACATACTACCTTTAAAGAGGGTTAATTTACGTTTATTTCAATATATGAAAAATAGTCCCCAAGAAGAGCAGTTCTTAATTTCATGTGGCTACCCTCGTTAAATATGACTATTTATTATCTTTTAAATCAATACTCACCCATATTGCATCTCGGCCCGGTCCATCCAGAGTTACAGAAACAAGTAAACGAATTGATTCCATCTGCACAGTCGCCGTTCACGCATGGGTTGCTCGCACATTCATCGATATCTGTTTAGAAATGGGAAACATGTTGAAGTTTTGAATTGATGTAAACGGAACAATTATATATCTTGTTTATTCACTAAGAAATAATTATATATCTTTTCTGCTAAAACTAAATTGTTTATCAAAACATTTACCGAGAAATGAAATGAGATTTAAAAAATATTATTTGCAAATCAATGGATGAAAATATTTAGATTTGTGTACATAACACAAACTAAAGGTTATTTTGTTATTTTGTCAAATTTTTGCACTGAATTAAATATTTGATATATTGAAAACTATACATAAAGTTTGAGTGATCCGTAAATACTTCTTGATTGTAATTTCACAATATAAAAATAAGATTAATAATTGAATCGAATACAGGAGACAGCTTCACGGAACCATCAAAGTCTAAGAACAGTTCGTGGACAAACTAAATGTAACACATGCTTCTACGAGATGTCCAAGAACTTAGATTCATGACGGTTTTGTTAAACTGGCCCATTCGTTGTGGGTTACGTGAATCAAAGGTGCGGAAATAGCTCTTGATTTATTCCTACTTTCATTATTTTAAATTACATGACTGGTTTACCAAATTTTGCTTACAGTACTTCAACGATTTTTACAAGCCTGAAACACGGAAAGGAAACTTACTTACTCAGTACAATAAATAATAGCCAAAGTCCTTTGAAAGTGCATTGAGAGGTTACATAATAATGTGATATGCGCTATACAAGACCGGCACATCTATAGCTCCAATTAGTAAAAGAAAAATATGTGAGTTTACTTACTTATTTCACACCTTGCACTTGTCCATCCATCAGCGCAGTTACAGGAATAGCTGTTCACACTGTCTACACACGCCCCTCCATTCTGGCATGGGTTACTTGCACACTCGTTGATGTCTAGATAAAAATAGAATTAGCAATAATCATTATAATGGTAATGATAGTGCAATTAAGTAGTAATATTCATACTGATACAAACGATAACAACAATATAAAAACCACCGCCGACTCCTACAACTACAAATGTAAGACAATAAATAGCGAAGGATTGAGAATTATACTTGCATTTCATTATTTCTTCGTTATCTTTATTTTGTGCCATTTCATTCATGTCAAGTCACATGAATTGGAAAAAGAAGACCTTCACGGTAAAGTTATTTGATTAATAGTTTTCTTGTCCCAAGTATCCATTGTTTTTTCTTCTTCTATGCCGATTAAAATATACTACTACTACTACTACTACTACTACAGCTATTATTAATACTATTACTACTACTACTACTTCTACTACTTCTACTACTACTACTATTACTACTACTATTAATAATAACAATAATTATTATTATTATCATCATTATTATTTTATTTATTATTATCACTATTATTATGCAAAATAATTTTACTATCATGATCGTAATAATTATAAATACAAAAATCATAATAAGAATGATAAATATTTGATTGTTAAATTGACGTACTTGTTTCACAGCGAACCCCTTCAAATCCACTGACACACTCGCACGAGAAGTAATCAATAGCGTCAGAGCAAACACCATTGTTCATACACGGGGAGCTGCTACATTCGTCCACGTCCAACTCGCAATTAGTACCCTCGTATCCAGGCAGACATCTGCAGCTGTAGGCGTCGAAAAGATCGGTGCAAGATCCTCCATTCACACAGGGTCTACTTGCGCACTCATTCGTGTCTGCAGAAAGAAATGCCGTTGTATGAATACTTGATAGTTGTGTTTTCCCTTATGTTATTATATATTTTAAAAACATTTATTTGGTGTATAAAGAGTGACCAGTAGCTCAGGCTTAGACGGTATTAACTTTAGAAAGTAATAACAGATTTACAAAGTAATTTTACATCATGTAAAGAGTGTAAAAAATGTATGAGAAATACATCGTCCTTGTTTTCACGAAGTGACGGTAGTGAGGAAAATCGTAACGCAAAGTGAATACAATGTTTTTTTCACTACCGTCACTTCGTGAAAACAGCGACGACATTATACACCGTCGCAAATTTTTTTGTTATAAACATTATAATAAATATTAAGTACTCATCTTGCAACTTTTTTTGTCAAAGTTATTACGTATCACATAATTCATCATGAAATTCCGGTAATGCTTGTTAATAAATAAATTTGAAAATCGCCAGTTTCAGATGCAGAAAATATCACCCTATCCCAGCACGTAGATAATATATTTCATCTAAGATTTTCGCTAAATCACTAAAACAGCGGACTCTATTTGATTGTTATAAAGTGGTATCTTGGCTTTAACGGGGGAGCCGATCCTATCCATATTAAGTAATTCCCATTCTCTTGGATTCGATCTGTTGGAAGATGTTTTATCACTTTTATGTGCTCTATTAACGGGGAAGAAAGCAAGTTTGTTCGTATTGCAAAGTGAAAAGATAAAGCATATCTTCGACCACATTATGTCTGTTTAATTTCCATCAGAAATCATGTTGGGATTAAATTATACGTCACTGCTATGTCCGCATATTTTAATAGGTGATGCACAAAGCTATTGAAATTGCCTTGTGTTGATATGCGAAAGTAGTTTCTTTCGTGTTAATTACGATACCACCATATATTCTGTTCGCCTTTCTCATAATATACCACAATTCTTTGTATGAATTTTTTTTAAAACGAGTTTTGAATACATTTCTGAACAGGCCTTTAGATGATTTCAGACTTACCAAGTTCACATCGGACACCTTCTCGTCCTGACGGACAATCACACTCAAAACCGTCTACCAGATCCCTACAAGTCCCGCCGGATAGGCAAGGACTGCTGGCACACTCGTCAATGTCTGCAGTGTGTCAATGAACAACAATATATATTTCTCAAGATTAACTTACATGGTCAGAATTATTTCATGAAAAAGTTTAGAAAATGTATTCTTACTTTACGTGTAACAGTGTAATGAGAATGCAAACTGGCCATGATCGCTATTTAGTTGTGGCTACGAAAGTTTAAACTTGTACCAGGTTTTGAAGTCAAGCTTTTTATCAGTCTCATATGTATACCCACATTTGAGTTCAGTGTTTTCGTTAGGTTAACATTTTCCTCCTGAGAAGGAATGAGATGCCTTACAGGAGAGTACGTTCTTACAATGGTGCAACATTTAAAAACGAGAACCCATACTAGTTTTAATTCTTGTTCAATAATGCTGTCAAACCTGTGTATTAAGGCCACCCGAGGGAAACGTGGAGGGAGGCTAAATACATGGCAACTTTTGACAGGTGATAATTATAAAGAGTAGCCATTAAGACAGGTTTTACTGTATTAAAAAGCAACAATCAAAGCAGGAACACTTAGGAATTGTTTGCATGATTTACTTTTGAAAGTCATTTATTCAAAAACAATGATTCGGAATGACCCAAACAAAAACCAACCTGTTGAACAAATAACGTCTGCGTATCCACTGGGACACTCGCAACTGTAGGAGTCTACGTTGTCGATGCAAGTTCCACCATTCAGGCACGGTCCGCTGGCGCATTCATCAATTTCTACAATAAAATTCAACAGGATTCGGAAAAAATGAATTCGATCATAGCTATTAAAATATTGGAAATTCATATAAACACCAAGGTCCATAGTAGGCTAATTAAGTTAAACCTTACCCGGGCTCTAAGATTACTTTCTTAATATCTTTCATTATTTAGTTCTTTATTTAAACGCGATTTTTGACAACAATTCGGTCCGGCATCGGGTTTGAATTCTACTAGAACATGGGTTAATTGTACAGATAAACAGGAGAAAAAAAAATCACTTCATCATGCGTGATGTAAAACAGGATTAATTATCAATCAGTTGTGCACCGATTCTAAGAAGACCGATTATTTGCCGTAGCTTAATTTATGGCTCAATGTACTGTCGGTCTCATGTCGTCTCGTCTCCGTATTCTAATCTTTTGTTTTAATTCAACAGTGAAACGAACAGAATAATTTACGAAATGACACGCAGAAATGTGTTACCGTAGTATAGTAGTAGAAATACGGGTATTCAATATTGAAAGATACACAGTCTTCTTCTTTCGTATGATGTTTGGCAGCTAGAATGTCAGATAAAGGTTGGAGAGCCACATAAGGTTGTCATCTGACACAAGACACAGTTCTCTCATGAGTCCTGGAAATCTTGTCAACATGCAGTTACTGATAGAGTGCAATATAATAAATACCTATTTGGCAATTGGTTCCGGTGTATCCAGAGATACATGTACAAGTGTAAGAATTAATGGCATCATCACACGCTCCACCATTCCTGCACGGTGAGCTGGAGCATTCGTCGATATCTGACGAAAAAAAGAAACATTCATGCTAAACTTTAATCACACTTTAAATCAAAATAGGATAGGATAGTAAGATAAAATAAATCATACACAACGACCTGTAACCAACTTGTAGAAAGATGTATCATGCACATTCTAGCCTCACGCTTATGAGCCTGGGTAATCACGCAATATAGCAATGCGTACCCATAGACCATTGCTTATTCATGTTGTAGGGAATGTGATTTTTGTATACTCCCCCAACAAAAAAAGTGTCCAAAGCACGTGAATAATAGTAAAGGAGAATCAATAGGTAAGTATAGAAACTCATTCATAAACCCTCTGCGTGCTTCGGCAAAGTTAATGCACAAGCAGAGCTATGAATGAATTATCTGTCCACTTCGATCATATAAAAAAAACCCTCCAGCATATTTAATTAGGCGAGCGGAAGCCCTCTCTGACACTTTCCGAATATCTTATAAATCATTGTCTAGTATGAAACTAAATTGATACTCATCAACACATGAACCCCTATTTAAACCTGCCTGCTCCGAATCTGGACCTAGTTGAATTAAACTTACCATTGATGGTTTAATCGATGTTACCTTCCAAGGCAACATCAATGAACAACCAATGTAAAGCCGATCCAATCAAGGTTTACATGGAAGTGACCATGAATGGGCAGTTGAAACATGGATCACACGCTTTGCCCACCCCCCTCTTGAAAATATTTACTGAATACGCCTCTGACTGAGGGCCATAACTTACCGATTTCGCAATTGATGCCAGTGTATCCATCTGGACAACTACACATGTATGCATTAATGGAGTGTGAGCAAACGCCGCCGTTTTTGCAGGGGGTGCTGCTACATTCGTCGAAATCTATATCAAAAACAGCAATACAGATATAGTTTAGAGTTTAGACAGTATTTCTATTTGATTTTGAAACAAACTATTTGCATATCGTTTGTTCAGAGCCAGAAGTAATAACTCTGTGTTGGTTATTCTTTTGGAAAAAATATGTAATATTATGACAGAATAGTTGATTTCGTGAACATGGTAATTATGTTTCAACAAATAAATGTAGGCCCTCTAAGGGTGCCGTTTCGGTCATAGTCACCTCAGAAAACGGAGACACAAAATAGGACCGTGTCAAAAACTTTCCTCAGCGGACAAACATACAATATATTATACAGACATGTAAGTGACCTCTTTCTCTCAGCTTTATACTGGAATTCGATACAGACAATCCTGTTTCTCTTAACCGTCAACTCACACAGGTTGAATAAATGCTCTATTAAAAGAAGGTGACGTCACGATATATCTGAATAACTTTTAACATCATAATTCACCCATGCATTCCCATTTGTACGTGAGATAATGTCCGTAATCGGATGCGCTTAACATTCACCATATACGCAACGAGGAGCCACAATTTCATAATCTTTTTTGTTATTTCTTAGAAGGGATAACAATAATATTTTCGTTAACAAAAGGCTTCCTGTTTTGCTACATGTTAGAATCCATTGCAATGTAGCAAAAGTGACTTGCTACGGCAATAGCAAAAAGCACTTACCGGTTTCGCAGTTGACCCCAATATATCCAGCTGCGCAGGTACACACATATGACGCTATTCTGTCATCGCAGGTGCCTCCATTCTGGCAGGGGCTGGAACCACATTCGTTTATATCTGAATGTAATCAAAATACGTACGGGTATGTGGTATGATGAACTCTAGCAATTGAAGTATATATCAAGACATACGGATATTCACACAGCAAGAAATAATCATCTCATGTAGTAAGATATCACTACTGTTCTTCTCATAGTCAATCAAGTATTATATTGGATATGTTGCATTGAAAGAAATGACGTTAAGACCGATTCATTTATAGATTATTTTTTATGGCTTAAAATCTTTGGATTACCAATATGATATAACTTTCCACGTTATCATGAAATTCTTTCTTTCTATTTAGCTTAGATGAAAAATTAATATACATATAGAAATAACATTCCACTTACCGAATTGACAGATAAGCCCATTATAACCATCTACGCAATCACACGTGTACCCGTTGATTCCATCAATGCAGTTTCCTCCGTTAAGACAAGGACCGCTACTGCATTCATTAATATCTTAAAAGAAAAAGAAAGTCATAGAAGTTAGTATCATAAAGTCTTGTTTTCGTGAGATCGACAGTTTAAAACACTTCAAATCATGTCTCAAAACTTACCCATTTCAGCAAATGTGGAAAAATGAATAAATTGTAGAAACTTGCGCCTTTGAATGTTCATTATTAAAACAGTTATATGGCGCCATAGAAAAGCTGTAAAACATCATCATCCCTTTCTATATAAAGAACAAGAATAACAAAAAGACTTTACTAGGCATTGTATCGGAATATAACATGAATAGCTGCACAACACAAGTGCCACTGTCCCGTTTGGAAATTAATCAACTCCTTCAAATGAATGCATTCCCTACCATGCTCAATATTTTATCAATTATACTTCAAATTGTGATACTTACTTGTTTCACATCGTGTTCCTGTATATCCTGGCATACATCTGCACTGGTATCCATTCACCTGTTCGATGCATGTTCCTTCGTTAAGACATGGGTTGCTCAGGCATTCGCGACGATCTAGTGAAATGATATACAGTTGAAAGGGAAAAATAAATATACTTGCCACGGGTAAATTTACCACTAAGCTTCGTTTTCATAGTTTGTATACATTATTTGTAGCAATGTCAATACAAATTTGTATATGTGTACGTCAGAGCAACAATCGATACCATTTCAGTTTTTGTGTATATAATTAACGCAAAATCACCAGTAATTCAATATAAAAATACAGTCCTTAGTTATGACATTGATGTCAGGAATGGTTCAGTCGATGTACTTTAGCAACGAACTACTTAATGGGGCCTTGTCCGGGTTGAGGGAGGGAGTGGCAGAAATGACAAAAGCCTCATTTTTCGAATAGTTTATGTATCGTGGACACAAATATTTATTCAGGTAAAAAAATCCTTTTAACATATCTAAATTTGCAAATTCTCTTCATTTAAAGAAATATTTGAAGCTCATATCTTGAGTAAAGTAAAACGACGAGGAACCCCTAAAAAAAAGAGCGAAACTTAATTTTGATGATTGGTACTAAACATCACCCTGTACGAGGTCACATTTAGACCTAGCAGTGTCATTAGCACTTTAAATTGATCTTCATGTTTCATATTATATATGGGTTATTGCGTTACGTACCTAATTCACAATTGGTGCCGCTCCAAGCAGGTGGGCATTGGCAGATGTAGATGTTAGTTCCATGGGTGCACGTTCCACCATTTATACACGGAGTGCTGGCACACTCATTTACATCTATTAGAAATTGAGGGTGATGCGAAGAACGTAGGGTGAATGGTCTTGTGCATGAACAACAAACTGAACTTGTGGAAGATTAGCCTTGCGCTAAACAAGTTGTCTAATAAAGTGTATACTACTCTACTACCACTATACTACTATTACTATTACTACTGCTACTACTACTACTACTCTTTTACTTCTACTCTTACTACTACAACTACTACTACTACTACTACTACTCTTTTACTACTACTACTCTTTTATTACTACTACTTCTTCTACTACTACTACTTCTACTAATACTACTACAACTTTATTATATTTGTCAGCCATATACATTCTATGACTGATATTTTTTCTGTAGATCTTCTTACTGTATGTGCAATTCATTAACTTTGTAATCCATTCTCAGTGCAAGGAATATTCATAAATTACAGCTTAAAGAATTTCTTTAGGTGAAACAAATTGTAATTTTAACCCATGTCTTATACCCTCTATCAGGTATGAATCGAAACGAGTCGAGGTCTGTTGGTATCTAGTTAGTTGAGAATTTTTAGAACGACAATGAAAAACACAACTTATTACAAAGTCACTGTAGTACCGCCATCAGTTTGTCATAAAACCATACAGATATGTATATTTTGTAAAATAAAAAAGGTCGTTGTTCTCCTCACCCTCGGAACATGTTACACCTTCCCAACCGGCTTGACATTGACAGGTGAAAGCGTTGTTTCCGTCTACACATGTACCACCGTTCTGACAAGGCTGACTTGTGCAGTCATTGATTGCTGCAGAGGAGCAATTAACAGGTTAATGGATATTATTGTGAACTTGATGATTACAGAAACAAACATCGAAGGCTGGTTGCATAACCAATTCCTATGATACTAAATAGTTCAACACGAACACACCAAACATAAAGAAAAATAAGAAGATATATTTTCAGACACAAATTATTTCAGCCTATCTTACTACCCTGGGTGGATATGACCCAATTACATTTGTAATACTTGTATTGTTCTTACCAATGTTACAGGTAAGACCTTCGAAGCCGACAGGGCACACACAGGTATACTGATTGATTTCATCGTCACAGGTCCCACCGTTTACACATGGGGAGGATGCGCATTCGTTGATGTCTGCAAAGTTGGAAGGAAAATACAAACTTTTACCCCAAGAAATCCTGCATGTCAATACATTTAGTAATTTCGTGTTGTTTGATGTTTTCGAATCCAGAATTTTTTTTAAGATGACAATTTTTTTCTTCTTCTTCTCATGACTGTATCAAAAACTTCCAAAAAAAGTATTTTGGAGATCAAGAAAATTTGGCAAGATAAATGTATATTCATGAAAAAAACATTCATAGTTTGACAGTTATTCCTAATCAAATTATTTGTAGGGCGACAAAACACACGTTTTTAGAAGGATAACACATCGTCCGTACCCGTTTCACAACGTGTTCCAGTCCAGCCAGGTGAACAGTCACACTGGAATCTGTTTTGTAGATTGATGCACATTCCGTTGTTATTACAAGGGTTGGGAGTCAGTAGACACTCGTTAATATCTAATTAGGGAAAAGAATGAACAATACATGATGTTAATCTTTAACCTCCCGCTCAAAGACCTATTTACGCCTATTTGGCCCAAAAGTTCCTGCACCTCTTTAGGAAACCTAGAAGATGAATTACAATGCGAAATAATACCAAGTATTAAAGTTCAGACAAACCAGAATAATTGCCCAAATATAGGGTGCCACGTCTGGTACAAAGAAGTGTTTATCATGTACATGAAGAACATTTTGTCAAGAGTAAAACGAAGGAAAAATTGTGGTGTGCCATCTTTAACTTGCCAACAAACCAAGGATATGAATAACAGATCGCATACCAGATCTCATTAAAAGTTGACTTACAATCCTAAAAATGTTTAATGTAACAGCACGGAATTTATCGTACCGATGTACTGTATTTGTGAAATGGTTTCACAAACAACTGCCAATAGGGATTTCGAAGTAGTGATTGATAATTGGTACTTCTTGATTTTTATCTTGATTTGTATTTATTATGTTTGTTTTGCTTTGTAAATTGAACAATGTCAGCCCTTGGGCTGCATGATAAATGTTTTATAACAATAAACAGATTAAACCAATCAAACAATCAGTCTACCTATATCTTTGGATATAATTGAGACTTATCTGATTTAATCTGTTTTTTTTTTTTTTACCTGATTGGCAATTGACGTCAGTCCAACCAGGCGCACAATTGCATGTATAACCATTTACTTCATCCTGGCAAGTCCCTCCATTGAAGCAAGGATCACTTGCACATTCGTCGATATCTGAAACAGATCAGATAACAGCTTATTACAAAACTCAATGTCAAGTCGACACATATATTGAATATACCTAAACATTTTTCGTCGGCCAGGAAAGGCCAACAAAACTTTCGTGCCATAAAATCTGTTAATCTTGTTTCTCCAAAATCTGTTAGATTATAATTTCTAAAATGCTTTATGTTGTTATATTTAATGAATAACTTATGCGACAATTACAAAAATTACACAAGATAAATTTAATGATTTCAATTGCACCAATCGTGTTTGACAGGCGTCATTTTTTCCTTCTAAATTTTACGACATTTAACGAAAAAAAAAGTTGTGATAGAAATAATTTCTACTGCCTTACACGTTAAAAGTGAAAACAAGATAACCTTCACATTAAGAGATAAACTTAAGATTAGATGTCAAAACTAGTTTAGATTGGTTGTAAAGTGGGATGGTCGACCCGTTTGATAACATAAGTAATAACAGTTACATTTTTAAAGGAACTATGTTGGTTTTATTTTATTTAAGCAGGATTGAATTATGCATTACAATCATTCTTACTATAACTCAGCAAAGTTGGAAAGTTATAAATAACGCGTTTAATCCCCTTTCTTGTGCATATAGTTTGACCCCATTACGGAAACGGGTCAAACCTTTTAAAATAAAAAACAAATAGTAATACAAAAAAATGAAAATAGTTAGAACCTACCCATGTTGCAATTGGTGCCGGTGTAACCAGCATTACAGGTGCAGAAGTAGAAGGCAGTTCCATGTCCACATACACCGAAGACGCAAGGGTTGCTGAGGCACTCGTTCACGTCTTGATCGCATATGCGGCCAGTCCAACCAGCCTCGCACATACAGCTGTAGTCGTTTATGAGATCTACGCATTGGGCTCCATTTTGGCAAGGGAAGCTGAGGCACTCGTTGATATCTGGAAAACGAATATGTTTGAGAAATGTTCAAATCATAATGAAAGAGATACCATGACCCGCCCCCTCTATTCATTGTTTGTTTTTTACCCCATACGACCATAGGTCTCATACGACCCCTTCTATTCCCCTCTTTCTCTCCTCTAGTCAACCCCCTGTTAATATCTGAATTCTAGAACAAAATAAAATTACAAAGACAGCGTTTCGGGAGTTCAAAGCCGATGAAATCACATTTTCTCATGTCATGTGCTGTAGTTGAAAGATGAAATGAAACTTTTCGTACGCAAATAGTTTGAAAATTTCAATTTCATTTCAACATTTGTTTACATCAAACGTAAAATCACAAGAGAACGACTCAATACACACAAATAAAAAAAAAATCAAAGATGGACACATAATATGAATATATTGCGGAAAATATTAATAGCTGGATGAATAAACAGTAAAAACAACAAACTCAATATGCAACATTATTTCAATATTGATATTTCATACTACCTCACCTCTCCCACTAGCAGACCGGTGTATATGGAAATAAAACACTATCTCAAAAATTGTCGGATGTAATTGAAAGCAATTTAACATGATTAACTATGTCCACTCCTTCAGAACCACGCGGTCGACCACATTATTCTTACAAAAGTAAAAAGTGAATTGTTAACCAAATCGATACATGAAATCAGGTTGACTGTAAAATCAGATTGAAAATTCTATTCGTGATTACAATTTAACCTATTCATTTTACTCAATTCTAGTAATTTGAACAAAATCATGATGTTGATGTTCGACTATCCATATTATCACCAATCCCACCTAGCAGGGTATAAACCTGACCAAAGAGATGTCATGGTGTAGTGGTTCATTCACCAGATCTGCAATTCAAGGGTTAAGGGTTCGAATCACATTCCCACAATAACGTCCTTTGGTAAGACTTTAATCCACATTTGCCACGCTCCCTCTAAATGTTATGGGTACATGCCATTTGCTGGAGGAAAAATAATTGCAGGGCTATCAAGAAAAACAGCACCGATGCTTATGAGGCTTCCCTGGGTAAACAAAATTATGATTATATTTATACTTAAAAGAATTTTCAAACTAACCGTTTTGGCAGTTGGTTCCAGCATATCCCGGGACGCAATCACACAAATATCCATTGATACGATCATTACAGGTGCCACCATTTTGACATGGTGTGCTCGCACATTCGTTGATATCTATTACCAAAAGAAAAGGAGGAAAACACAAGTGTTGACGCAAGTTTGTGAATACGCTTAACACAAACAAAATGAAGACATTTAAGTATCAATTATACTGCACCAAAAGAATGTTGCGGTCCCGTTAGGTTGTAAATTTGCTAAAACAAATGAAGAAATTTAAGTATCGATTCGGTTGAGTTTTAATTTCATCACAGGTGTCAATAAATATAATAATACATCTGAATCAATTATGTAGAGTTCTGTGATGTTTTTCTCTAAATAGTTTCATTTTATCTCGTCATTTGAATAGATGGGTATGTGGACATCAAACGAATGAATGTTTTACAAGGTACTTTTATAAATACTAGCAATTGTATATAGGTATAAAATGGCACGAGTCATTAACTACCGATGGCACAAGAAGGTAGACCAATATTTGAAATGTGTGATGGTCAATGTAAAGTGGAAAATATTAAAGACACTTTGACAATACTTCAAGGCGACTTTGATTTACAACTTGCATCGGTCCCAGAAAACAAAAGGAAAGTGAAATGAGCACTCATGAGCCTTGAAGAATGAAGAAAAAACGCTTTTGAATCCGACACGAGTGGTTATAATATCTAAGCTCCATTGGTGGACAGCTCTACGACAAGACACAGAACAGATGATCGAGACAGAAGGCTCACTTAAAGCCAATATGTTGCTCTTCAATCAACTTACCAATTTGGCAATCAACTCCTGCGTAACCGGGTTGGCAGTCACATGTGTACCGGGCGATGAGATTATCGCATATACCACCATTCTGGCATGGATTAGAGGCACACTCGTTGATATCTGATGAATAATGATAATAATAATAATAATAATAATAATAATAATAATAATAATAATAATAATAATAATAATAAATAATATTTATTATTATTCTAATAATAATAATAATTATAATGATGGTACTATATGAAACATATTAAATATTTAGACTGACAAGACACATCTCGACATTTGCCACTCCCCACCCGGGCGTAGATGCTACCCGGTAACTCCTGGGGTGATGATAATTTCAAAAATTAAAACAAAAATTATTATTAAGTTTATTAAATTATAAACTACTATCCTTGTGTGTATATGGATTTTTACAGACCCGTTTCAATCAGATATGGTTATTTACGTCTGGGGACCGACCTTTAACGTCATCATCCGAAAGACGTAAATTGAATGTTGAGGAATCTATTAATACTTACCCACGTTACAGAATGTACCAGTGTATCCAGGAGCACAGGTACACGTGAAGATATCCACTCCCTCGGTACATGTTCCACCGTTCTGGCACGGCATGCTGTCACATTCATTTATATCTACAGTTAAGTATTGGAACAAAGATAAGAAATACTGAATCAATGAACATGTGTCACATGTCAATGTTAATGTTGATAAGCGTGAATATGCAAGTCAATTCCAACATCCCTCTAACTCACTCCAACATACATTTCACCCGCATTGATTTTGACAAATTAAATGAATTGTCACTCATCAGTCAACGTAATTACCATTGTACATTGATATATTTTAGTTTACATGTCAACGTACAGTACAAATAAACTAACTTTATGAATCTGTAAAACTCAGTTATGATGGGGTATTAATTGTGGAGCGTATACAAAGCTCTGAATTTTTAATGAAAACAGAAAGATCACAATACAAACTTTTAAATCTGTGAGGCATACTGTAATTTCTCAGTGAGGAATCATAATTATTCATTTTCTACGCTATACTCACCTCCATTACAGGTTGATCCCGAGAAGCCTGGCAGACAGGCACAAGAAAACGAATTGACACCGTCTGTACATATTCCACCATTCATACAGGGGTTTGGATCACATTCATTGGTGTCTGTAAAAAAACAAAAACAACATGAAAATGGTTTTGAGGGCGGTAACTACTAGGGTAGTTCATAATGTAAACTTGTCATAAACCGTTATAGGGTAACGAGAACGATTATTTGCCTTTCCGTGTTCAGTGTTCAATAAATTGTTATATGCATTTTCTGTAAGCATTTTAAAAATTACTATATAGGTCTTATGCTATATAATATTATAGCATGTTAAAGCGATTCATTCGTATAATCTCAGTACACTATGAAGGGGTGCATTACCTGTACACGGTAAGCGTTGGCAGGATATAAGACTAGCAGGGGATACCTCGGAGAGGGTGAAGGCTGGATTGGAGCTTGGATGCTTACTAAGCCTCACACAAACGAATGGTAAATTGGCGCAATCCATATTGCGCAGATTGAGGGTTGTAGCAACGTCTTCTAATGTATAAGAAAGACCAGCAGTCAAAGATTGACCGTTTTCCGAAGCCGGAATGGACGTAAGCTGAGAAAGCGTAGTTGTTCCTTGGCCATCTATCTGGGAGTTCAGGAAGAGCTCGACCTGTTTTCAAAATTCAATGGAAACAAACGTTCAGGAGCTACATTTACAAACAAAAAGGTGATATTGAAAACTCATGGGCGGATAGAAAAGGTCATTAGAGGATGCCATCACGCATACCCAAGTTTTAGATGGGATGGGAATACAGAGCACTTTGCTTGTAAAGGGTATTTGCATTCTGGCTTTAACCAATTCAGTTTACAAAAGTGTCGGCATAGTAATTCAAGAAATTAGGAGATTTATGGTAAAGGCAATTCTTCAAATGAAGTGAATGTTATGACTCCCATAAGTTTTATAATAATCTATTTATTTATTCATTCATGAATTCTTTCAACAGGGTAGTTTGATTCAGCCCCACTGGTAGCCAGTGGACCTGCCTTTCAAGAAAATTCTGTTTCATGTACTTCATTCCTTTAACAAGTGATATCAAAAATCATAACCTTCATCAGACCTAGCACATATCACTAATCCTGTTGCAATTTCTGACCGCTTTGTTAACAAATTGCAGATAACATGCCTGCCAGAGATTTGATCCTGAGACGCCTGCTCCACCAGCATCAGTGATGATATTCAGATCCAGGGCTATATCGTTACTATCGGAACCGGCTTGGAGCGGTGCACCAGAGACTAGGTTGAAATTGACATCAGTAACTTCGACACCTAATAGTTAAACAAATAAATGGGACAATAACATTAAGTCTTACAACGCAGCTAGATGTATGAAAAATTCTCCTAGTTTCCTATTCTTTAAACAAAAAATTATCTTGGAATCTCGACGCCCTGGATCAACATTTGAAGTCAATAACATAATATTCGTATCCTTCTTCAACCCTGAATGTTGAGCACATTATAAGCTTGTTGATGTATGAAATCAGGGAAAAGTAAATCATCTTAGGTATTACTGAAATATGGTACCAGTGCTTACCAGTGCATGTAGCTGGTACGCAAGACGTCAGAATGTTGCTGTTTGGTTGAGGATCAAATGTGAAGGTAGGGTTTGAAGACGGGTTTTGCTGTAAGATTACACAGATTCCTGCAAGTCCTGTACATAACGTGTTTTCCAAGTTGAGATTGGCGGTCACCGACATGATGTTGGCCCTCGTTCCAGCGTTGATTCCAGTGCCGCTCTGACTGGGGGTTAAGGTGACACTGACCGGGTTGATGACGCTTCCACCTGTTGTGCCGCTTCCCGTTGCATATGCTCTCACCTGCCACAGATTGGTACCGGACACACTGCCACCTGCCGCGTCGGAATCCACCAGAATATCAAAGGTGATTTGATGCGCAGAATCCCCCTCGACCAGCTCATTTCCAGATCCAACTTGCAGACTCGTACCTGTAACTTCCACTCCTAAATAGGAATTGCAAGAGAATGAATAAGGTTATCGTTTAAAAAAAAACAGTACTTGGTAAGAAAAAAAAAGCACATCCAATATAGATCTCGTGGTAAATGAAAGATAGAAAAAAACATACAAGAACATTCAACAAATGCATGTTTTAACATTTTTTAAAGCAGATGTTTCTGCATTGAAAAACCTTATACAAAATATTCAGTTAACAATAATAATTTATTAAAATTATTGATTTACATAATTGGGAGAACCCACATAAAAACTTGAAAGTTGAAAACAAAAATTGCTCACTACCTCCCCGTTGAGCGGGACTTTTTCATAAACCGGGAGATTACGGGAGAGCGGGAGGAAGGGCGTGGTGGCGGGAGTCTCCCGCTACGAGCTGGTGGGGCGGCGGGAGAATGAGCATGGTAGCGTGAGACTCCCTCCAAATGCGGGAGGGTTGACAGCCCTGAACATAACAAAATTGTATGTGGTATACAATCTCTGTTTAATGTGAAGTGAAGTGAAAATTCGCCTTTACACTGACCTCTGCAATCCAATGGCTGGCAAGCACGTAGCACGCTGTCACTGGACACAGTGAGGGTAAAGTCAGGAATTGATGCCGAATTCTTCGACGCCTCAAAGCAAATAAACTGCACATCTTCACAAGTAGTACCCGCATTCATGTCCCACGCGATGGCCATGGAATTAAAGACAGTATCCACACCCGCCGCGAGCAATGTGTCGTAATGAGCGGTCGTGGGCGAGACGGACTGCGCCACCCTGTCTCCGCTCCCATCTGCATTCATACTGCCGAACACGACAAAGTTCCACAAGTTGGTGCCGCTTACGCTTCCTGCGAGTTGGTCCGATTCCAAGGTGAAGTCCAGAGTCAAAGTCTGCCCAGCCACACCTTCACGGACCTCCCCAGAAATAAGGTTCACTTCCGCGTTGGTGATTTCAACACCTAGATTTGAACATTAGGGTAAAAATTGTTATAAGTAGTTTTTAAGAATTAAACAAAATATTATATAAAATATGGATCTTACATTTGCAGCATATTCAATTAACTTTACATGTCTTCGAATATATTTGGAGAATAGCTGTAGACCTGTAACAGTTAAATTTACCCGAGTACTGAAATATCGAGTATATCTAAAAGTGACATGATATTTAACGTTTGTTAACATGACATTGCTATATATATATATATATAATTTCTGTATTATTTCAATTTCTGGCTGATCCATACATAATCTTTCCGCGTTTTATTATTATTTGTTTTAACCAAAGAGCACGGAAAAAACACAATAGGGTTTCATAAAAAAAAATGATCGATGAATATCCTACCTCTGCATGTCACCGGCATACAATCTATAAGGTCCGCTGGTAAACTGTCAAGTTGGAATGCTGGGTTAGGTGTCGGACCCTGCAAAACTTGGACACACACGTGCTGGAATTCGGAGCAAGTTGTGCCGCCGACCAGGTCAAGTTGGTAAACGAGCGAAGATAGTTGAACAGGACTTCCTGCGGTTATATCCAATCCTGACTGAGCGGCGGTGAGTGTGATGTCGTTCTCTTGAAGTCGCGAGCCAGTGCCATCTGCGTTAGCACTCAGGAAGGCGAGTACGCGCCACAGGTCGTCACCGTTAACACTGCCGGCCAGGACGTTGGACACTAAAGAGATCGTCAGGTCCAAATCGTTGGCTGTTCCTTCCAAAACTTCTGGGCTTCCAACAGTCACCGTGGTTTGTGTTATGTCGACCCCTATTCAAGTGAAATTATAACGGAAAATAGAGCCAGGATATGATAGAAATGGAAATAAGATCTTGATTCTCATGTTTAAAAAAAACACAACAGAAATCCAAACCATTACAAAGGAAAATTCGATGATATTGTTTACGAGTGTCTCCCAGACTAGGTATAAATCTAAGAAATATTTTAGGAGAGGCAGACAAAAGTATTTTAATCTTCAGTGTTTTAACACGAGCTCAAATTCTGCTCATGTGACAGGATAAGCGTCCTGATGAGCATTAGCAATACTGATGATTAATGAGGCTTCGGTACTTGGTGTTTTTAATGGAAGTTTCTCGATGAAAAGGTCGAATATATATTAGGTTTTTATTACTCCCCAACAATGTTTGGCAAAAGTTTCGGTTTTTACGTATAATATTGTTTTAAAGCCCCACTGCACTACTTATAGCTACTTGCGCCCTCTATATAGCAAACAATTCCTTATCGGTGACCATTGGTACCCCATGGTCCCCTTTTTCTTATGTTCATTAAGAGCTGATTTGATGAGTTAACCACCTGTCAGTGACCATACAGGGAGGTTTAATCCCTCCTAGCCAAACATATTGCTCCGATTGTCTCATTTTCGCTCGCGTGAACATTGCCAGCACAAAACACTGACCTCTACCTCCTGGACGGATCATCGCCCATTCCCATTCACTATACGTTACGTACTAAAAGGCTGTATTGTCTGACCGTTCATGAATATTCATGTTTTTGCTAAACTCGGCAAAATGTTTGCTTTTACTAAATGGAAAAATTACGGTAGGGGGGGGGGGGGAGTTGGATGAAATGGACATAATGAACATAGCAGAAGTGATAATTGATAATTCATGCTTCTTTTCCTTCGTGTGCTTGACCTATAATCTTACAATCACTTGGCAGACTGAGTCCAAAGTTCGACTTGTTTCACATGTGTATTATAGGCAATGGCGAGCTTGCAACCTATTTTGAAAAATTACGGTGGGTGAACTTTCAAAAGTCAATGAGACATGAGGGCTCCAATGAAAGAGCTAGTGATAACGTACGTCGGGTGGATGTGCTTTTCGTTTAAACAAAAAATAAATTTTTAACAATTAAAAAAAAAAAAACGTCCATAGGCTAACATGTATGGCTGCTGACTCTGACAATAGGGGGCGTTGTGAAATGAGACTAAACGGAGCAATATGCTAGTGCAGATAGGCTTTAACATTAACGAGTTGCTCACCCCTACACGTCACTGGTAAACAGCTTGTCAGAACAGAATCGTCTGGAGTACCAGAGAACGCAAAATCAAGACTGGAAGATGGGTTCTTCTCAACCTGGGCACAGAGGTAGCCAAATTCCGAACACAATGGACCATTTTCGAGGTCCCAAGTGAACGCGAGTCCTGAAATGACTGCAGGGATTCCTGCAGAGATGGCGGTTCTTCCTTGCACCGTAGTGAGAGAAACGACCTCTGGCGCCACACGAGGTCCTAGTCCGTTGGCATCTTGACTCCCAAAGACGGTGACTCCCCATAGATTGTTACCGATTACACTGCCCCCCGCCGCATCAGATACAAGGTTAAAGTCGAATTGCACATTCTGGCTTGTACCCTCCTGTATATCACCCGATCTAAGACCGAGACTTGTTGAACTGATCATAACACCTGTAGGGAGAACATTAGAACACTCAACGTACACATACAAAAATCACTCACCGATATACCCGTCTCAATTAAGAGTCGGGTGCGGAAAAGTCTACAATGTAATATGTCGTCTCTGATGTTGTCTTTGGATATGACTGGGTAGATGCATGGCGTGAATTCAACATAGAAATTGCGAGTCATCATTTGTTTACTTGAAATACTTTTGAAGAGTTGTTTCGAATTATCTTATAGTGACTATACAGAGAGTAAAGTGTTCTTGAGTTAGCGGATCACCGAATTGGTAAGAAATAGTACTCTAAAAGAGAAAAAAATTGACAATATGGAAAAAAGAAGAGACGGTTGCGAGGATAATAATGAATGTTACTCCGCCTTACATACAGCATAGAAGTAGTCAATATTTTCACATTGTTGGGATTCCAGAAGCTAAGGGATTGAATTGGGGAAAAAACGCACATATTGTAGATGGATTACATTCCTTGCCAACGGGAATCAGGTGGACCCTGTATCAAGATCAACGAAAAACATTAAAGTAGACATTCAAGTTAAAGGAGCACGTCTTGATAGGAAACATCATCTCGAACTTACTGCCTTGTTAGAAGAACCTGATCATGAAATATGCAAATCTTGAAGGAAAGCCTGCATTTAACCTGCGTGATTCAACAAACTATTCACTTACCTGTACAAGTGACTTCTTGACATCCAATGAATACAGAATCGTCAGGTGATCCGGTTAGACCGAAGTTAGGATTGGCAACTGTACTCTTCCTCAGTCTCACACATACGTAGCTGAACTGAGAGCAGGTAGGTCCAGTTTGGAGATTCAACATAGCATCCAAGCCACTAATTACTGTCGGAACTCCCGGAGTTACCAGGGAATTTGCTTGAGTTGGACTTAGAAGAATGCTTTGTTCGCTGATTGGGTTGGAACCCAATTGGTCATCACTAAGGAAGATAGACAGATCCCAGAGGTTGGTTCCTGTAACACCACCTCCATTTTGGTCAGTGTTGATGGTATAGGCAAAAGAAAGGGTCTGTGCGGCACCTTCAAGAAGTGATGCAGATGCAAGACCAACTACCGTACCCGTGACTTCAACATCTTCAACAAGATAGATAGAGAGAGAGGAGGATAATTAAACTTTAAGGATAGAGACATTGGTCTAAAATATACAAACGTTTTTAAGGTTTTAGAATGCTCGCTTAAATAAAGAAATAAAGAACAAACAGATACTTTTGTCATTGACGTAAATAAAGGGTGCAAGGGCCTCATTGACTCGTGAAATTGTTGGGGGGGGGGGGGAGACAAAAGAGAGAAGGCGAAATGGGTTTGAGAGCAAGACTATCGGGTGAACATTATACGGGAATCTGCTCATGAAACCGAGAGCATTATATTGTTGTATTATCAGTTGCCTTTGGTAAATGCATGACATGTATTTATTCCACGTATTGATTTACCTCTGCACTGGAGTTGCGCGCAATCTGTAAATACTTCATTTGTTGGTGTGCCGGTGACTTGGAAATCCGGATTAGCAAGGTTTCCTTTCTGGACACGAACACACATGTAACTCGCCTGTGTGCACAGTGGACCGGTAGACAAGTCCCATTCTGCTGACACACCATTTATGATGGCCGTATTCACTCCTGACACTATGGGAGTTCCACTCTGTACCAGAGTTAGAGGAATGGACTGCTCAAGGTACCTTGTCGAGGCACCGTCAGGATCTGTCGATATCCATGCAGTGATATCCCATAAGTTAGACCCACTGACACTTCCACCATCAGGGTTGGAGAGGAGAGAAACATCGAAGAGGATTGTGCTGGATGAAACTCCTTCTTGCAGATAGCCATTCTGTATGTCGAGTACCGTATCTGTGATCTCAACCCCTGGTAATAAAAAAAGATTATGAAGTATGATTTGCAACTGTATGTTGGTTATTTGCTTTTGGGTCATATTTCTCTGGTTGTGGTTAAGTTAAGCGCTACCATGATTTAACATTATTTTTAACCATGTAAAGCCTTTGCATATGGGTGTGTGAATATATTGATCTATGCTTATAGTATGGAGATTACACAAGCTCGATCTGCTTCGATTGTGTGATAATGTATGTACAAATACAATTATGGAATTCTAGTATTCTGAATTATACAATGAATGAAAGAAAATTACCGCCACAAGGTGTCGGTGTGCACCCAATTAGTGAATTTCCATCCGGCACACCAGTGAGAGAGAAGAAAGGATTTGAGGTTGTGCCTCTGTCCACCTGCACACAGAGAAATTGGAACTGCGCACATGTGATGCTTGAACTAAGCATGAAGTCCGCGCTGAGTCCAGCCAAGGAGGTGACCTGACCGGCAAGAACCATGGCGTTTGCGGCTGCAGTTGGGAGGCCGACAGGGGTCGTCAAGTAACGAGTGCCTGAGCCATCGTTGGATGAACTTCCAAATGCAGATACCTGCCACAGATTAGTTCCTGCCACGTTTCCCCCAACCGCTTGTGTTGTTAAAGCAACAGTGAAGGAAAGAGTGGACATACTGCCTTCGATGATCTCGCCTCCGCCGATGGTTACAATTGTGCTCGTAACCTCCACACCTGTCGTAATGAATAAAGTGGTACAAAAATTCAATAATAAAGCTATCGAAGAACTACGGAGCAAAAATATGAAGTATTTGAAGAAAAATAGATCGAAAACATAAATGCTGTTAACGTTACTGCATGATTTATCAAGCTGTTTTCTTTCACGTGGTATTAACCAGTTTCAACTTCAGGAGTGTAGCTTAAGGATCGGTGAGATAGAGTGTGCTAAAAAAAAACTGCGGCATCTCATATAAAGAATATCATCTAGTTTGTTTATCTAATGGAAATCAGTAGAATGGATTTACCTCTACAGCTTATTGCCTGACAAGAGGTTAAAGACTCAGGACCAGGAATCCCGCTAAGGAGGAACTGGGGGTCTGCCAAGGAGTTTCTATCTACACTGACACAGAAGAATCCAAACTGTGAACATGACGGCCCGCTGGTCAGATCGGCAGGAACGCTGACGCCACTGATTATAGTAGGACTGCCAGCAATGAGAGGTGCATTGCCCTGGAACGTGCTCAGCACTGCATTGGGGAAGTTCTGGACACTCCCAGACGCGTCCGATCTAGAGCTGAGGAAAGGGGTTATCCGCCACAGGTCAGAACCACTCACGCTACCAGCCGCTCCGTCAGAGTTGAGTGTGACATCAAAGTTGACAGACTGACTCGCGCCTTCCCTAATGTCGCCAGATGTAACTGATACTTGTGTCTGGGTTATTTCCACACCTAACATCATGACAGAAAAAACAGAATTATCAAACACACATCTCTAAATTGGTGATGTTTTATAGCTATCGATAACTGTTCTTTTCTAATTCTTTGGTCTATCGATGTGAGGTACATTAATAATCGAATATTGTTTTGTGAGTCCAACACGTCAGTCAGAAAAAACTTTACTTTTGTTTATACATAATCCAAGCTGTACATGAGAACTATCAACTACACACAATTACCAGATATAAATTAAAATCTTAGACCTGGTTCGGAAGGTATGGGACACAACTGCATGGATTACTGACTCAAAGTAGAATGTGCGCATTTATAGGCTAGATTTACCTCTGCATGTTATTTGGCGACATCCGATGAGAACTGCCTGAGAAGGAATTCCTGATAGTTGAAAATCGATTGAAGGCGAGGCCCCTTTTTGAATTTCTACACAGACATAATTGAAATCAGAACACGTTGGTCCGTCTCTGAGATCGATGTTGACTGCAAGGTTAGATATGCCAGCAGGGTCGCCAGCAGTTATTCCTGTAAATCCATGAACACTCGAGACAGGAGAGGTGAAGGTGTCAAAACGGTTCCCGGAGCCGTCGGAGTTGCTGCTGAGGAAGGAACGCACGTCAATGAGACCAGAGCCGCTTACGCTACCAGCTCCCGCAATAGACAATAGAGTGATGTCTAACATCACCGGCTGAAGCCTTCCTTCCAAGACATCCCCTGGAGTTACAGCTACTGATGTACTTGAAATCTCCACTCCTACAACCGACGAAATTAAAAAGGAGATTACAAAAGTATCAAACATTGAAAAGATTATAGTGTACTCCGATACATGCTCCGGCAATATTTGTCATGCGCATTAGGTATTCTGCCATATGTATAGGGTTTGATTATGAGTTACAAGTGGGTTCTAGATTAGGTTTAAGGGTAGGGTTTTTGTCAGGTCCAGTGTCGGGTCCTGATTAAAGTTATGAATTTGGTTAGCATATGATACTTATCGCCAAAGCATGCAATATGCAACTGGAAATATCATTGGTGTATTGTACGAAAGTTTCGTAGTCAACACAAAGTGATTTATTATGTAGCCTATAGAAAAATTGCAGAGAAAAATTTGTTTGTTAATGGTATGTAAACATTGGAAAAAACATTTTATTCTTATATAACTGCACTCCGAATACCACATGTAAGGTAATACAATGATATTGGATTAAGAAATAAATAAATAATCAATCATTTAATGAAAACAAACTACCGCATCTTTTTCTAAAAATAGTTAGATATTTTTGATAAAAACCTATTTATTTCCAAGAGTCGTTTTAAGTCAAAGAAAATCAAATAATGGTTGGCCGCCATCCTTATCTTGCATTTAAATAAACATCAATGCAAAATTGTTACCATAGGCCCACCTCCCTAGTTCACTCTTCTTTTAGTTCAATATTTTCAGTTAACAATTTAAACTGCATGAAAGGTATTTGAAACATGGTACTTATTTTCTGTTCTGGTATTGAACAATATAATTTACGTTTGTTAGTACCATTTATATTTCGGTAAACATTATAAAATATAAACATGTGAAATTTGAAACAATAACCTGAAACTGAAATTATTTTTGCTCATACCTCTGCATGATATCGGCGTGCATGCTATCAAAACACTGGCAGAGGGTACTCCTATCAACTCAAAGTCTGTATTTGTGCCCTTGGCAACTTCTACGCAAAAATGACTAATCTCTGAACAGGTTGGACCGTCCATCAAGTTCCAGGAAGCCGTTACACTTTCGAGCCTTGCAGAAGCTCCAGCTCTGAGGGTAGTTCCAGATTGGGCTGTACTTAGTACAGTCGTGGTCTCTTCCAGGCGGGTACCTAAACCGTTTGCGACTACACTGCCAAAAGTTGTTATCCGCCATAGGTTAGCCCCTTCAGCGGTTCCACCGGTGCTTTCTGATGTCAGATCAACATGGAAGACTATATCCTGACTCTTTCCCTCCAGTAGAGCACCGGATAACACGCTGACAAGTGTTTGTGTTATCTCGACACCTATCGATAACGTGAACACAAATTAAAAATATGGTCATTGGAGATGATTGTGTTGGTAAATTAACTTGCTGCAGTTTTGAATATCAGCTGTACGTAGACAAATACGGTAGTGATTGTTCGAATTGAGACAAATTAATAAAATGGTTGGTATCCGTAATCAGTTTACCGATTATTATCATATCCTAGTTCCTGTTCATTTCCGTCTCTTTGGAAATACATACCAAAGAATCATAATAATAATAATAGCTAGTTTTTATATAGCGCTTTTCAGGACCGAAGGCCCTCTCAAAGCGCTTTACAGAAATATATATATATTATTACCCCGGTCATCGGATTCAGGCTTACCCGCACACAATGTATGCATATTCTCCACTCCCTGGGGAGCATTCCATACATTTTCGTTACTTTATTTCTCACCTCTGCATGTAACTGCCTGGCAGGTGACGAGATTAGAACCACCGGAAAGACCGAAGTTAGGGATAGCTAGGCTACTCTTTGACACTTCTATGCAGATGAACGGGTAGTCATCACATGTCGCAAAGCCACTGCCAAGGTTCACTTCAAAAGAGAGATCGGAAATGGTACTCCGTGTTCCGGCGTCTATTCCTACTGTCCCTTGTGTGCCGCTTGTGGTCACAACGGTCTGTTGAAATCTGCTGCCAGTCCCAAACGAGTTGTCGCTACCGAAGGCGGTGATGCTCCATAAATTGGAACCGCTGACGCTTCCAGCACTAGGCTCGGAGTCCAGCTGCACATCGAAAGAGACTGTCTGTCCAGATTCCCCTGCTTGAAGGTCTCCAGATGAAATCTGCACAGTCGTATCTGTTATTTCCACACCTGTAAAGAAATAAAAATAAAAATTCTTAAAGCCAGAACATGTTAGTACAAATAAGATTTCAGGCAGACAGCTGTTAACTTTCATAGGGATAAAGCTGCTTCTAATTTCACCTGTATTGGTCTAAATGTTCATTAACCGGAAATGTTTTGTTTCTATTGAAGCTCGTTCAGATATGACCCTGGAAAATCGCGTTGTCTTTGTTTAATATATACGTAAAGTGCAATACGCTTTACATTGCTGAATCATATAACATATAAAACAGCTCAGAAAATGACAATGACATTTAATTCTCATGAGCGTCAGAACATGACGGATACCGGCGATATATAAATAACCATATTATTATTACTATGTCACTTACATTGAGGTATTGGAGAAGTTTACAATCAGTACTTTGTTGCGCGCACTTGTTCCGTCATTTACTTTTTAAAAATTCGGTTGCGGCCGTTTTGTGGTGGTTTACTATCTCATATCTGAACAAGCCTTTATGGTGTAGATGAACTTGACGAAATCGTTACTGCGCGAAAGGAAGTTGAATGATGAATTGATCTACGCTTGTTTGATCATAACGATCGCAAGTAGATGTTTAGGCAATATAATTCCTCCTTTATTACGTAGTGTAATTGCTTCCCAAGAATAATACGTCATCGGTGCAGTGCCATTTGTATGCTTGTATACTTTCCATCAATGTTCGGGATTAAAAACAAAACAAAATCAAGTGAATTCCAGGAGAATGAAACAAACGACGGTTTTGTTTGTAGATATTACATCTCCATAAAAGGACGGGGAATATATTCAACGCAGGTTTTTACTTTTCAATTTATTAAATTAAAGAGGAAAAAACAGGTGTACCTTACAATTCACTTCCAATCTTACCTCTACAACTTATGGAGACACAACCTTGGAAGGAGTCTGGGTTACTAGCTGTGAGTTGGAAAAAAGGTGATGAACCGGTATTTCTACCAATGATAGCACAAAAGAATTCCATATCAGAGCAGACTACACCTCCAGGCACTGACACTTGAAGAGCATTTAGACCAGAGATGGTGGTTGACGCCGGAGGTTGCCAAAGAGTGATTTCCTGCGCAGTATTCAGTAGAATTCGTCGATTAGACGTTGTGGGACCAGCGTCGGGGTCAGACGTAAAGAAGGCATCGACAGTCCATAGCTGCGATGTACCAGCCCCACCCACAGAATACGTTGCCAAGGAGGATGGTGCAAAAGTCAAATCGAAGATCACCGCAGGAGTAAACGACCCCTCATAGACTCCATTCGACACAGATACAGTTGTTGAGTCCACGATAACAATTCCTGTAAAGAAAAAAGAAAAGAAAATGCGGTCAGATAAAAACTAACTTCGCTCATAAACAAATACTAAACATACATGTTTTATGTCTTATTTACATAGACAGCGCATGGGAAAGTAGATAAATGATGCGAAAATATCGTTCGATTTTGTTTATCTATCTTAGACAGTTTCTAAATTAGAATGGTTTCCAATTATCACATGATAAGACTTCATCCATTGATTGTTAGATTCTATTTCGGTAACAATAATTTAACAAGTAAAAAAGTAATACATGAAGGTAAATCACAAATGTATTTAAATATGGTATAGAGATCAAACTTAAAAGGAATGCATTTTTGCCAACTGTGTCATTTTTCCAAGTTTCTTTGGGGCCCCCCTCCCTTAGGGACGACAACGCCTGTGTGTGATCATAACATGTTACAATAACATTATCATCTTTAAAGCGAGCTGAATCTTCGTGTTACCAAAACATAAATATGATAGCCCATTTCAATATCAGTTACTATGTCTTTAAATCTCACTTTTCCTCGTTGTGGTCTTATGAACCTATACAATCAGAAAATGTAATATTAGTGTAATGAAAGGATATTCGATCATGAAAACATAATCAAATATATTGATACAAACGAAATATACAAAGACTAAGATCTTTAAAGCGAGCTGAATCTTCGTGTTACCAAAACATAAATATGATGAATAGCCCATTTCAATATCAGTTACTATGTCTTAAATCTCACTTTTCCTCGTTGTGGTCTTATGAACCTATACAATCAGAAAATGTAATATTAGTGTAATGAAACGACATTCGATCATGAAAACATAATCAAATATATTGATACAAACGAAATATACAAAGACTAACAAACCATTAACAAGGAGAAGGAAATATCTACAATTGCAACAAAAGAGAAAGAGAAGCTTTTTTGTTTTTTTTCACATGCGTTTTAACTCTCTCTGTAAAGTTTCGTCTTTTATAAGTTAGGCTTTTCTTTAACTCTTTCTATCTCTCTCATGAATGTACAAAGAGATTATATGAAAATGGAATGTTTATTTGTTTAAATGTCAAATATATTATTTACCTAAAAATATTTATTAAAAGGTCATGTGTATGAACCATATTGCATTTCCAAATTAGAAATCTAATACCATGTTCACTTAGGCCATTATTGATTATACCAACAAATTGTTAATATTTAAACTTATTTGATGAAAACACAACCTATGAATATATCGGACCCTGCCTTTCAGGATATATTTTTTCTGTTACTAATGTTTATAAATTCTAAGACCATTAATTTCACTCTAAACACATATTCATAAGCACATCAGTCAACATCATTGGAATTTGAATTGGAACATGGAAAACCGGTCAAAGGAAATACTAACCTGTCTCACAGTTAGTACCAGTATAACTGTCAGTGCAATCGCAAGAATACCTGTTCTCTCCGTCCACACATGTCCCACCATTCATGCAGGGACCACTTCGACATTCATCGGTGTCTGAAGTTAGATGGGGAGAAATATCATTGGGAGAGATCAAGTTACACATTTCAAAAATAAAAAATAAAATAACAAATCAAAATTTGACTTTAGTTGACGTTTCATGTAATATTTGAACAAAAATTAGAAAAATAAGGTTTAGGAAACACACAGATCGTGCGTGCTAAAGATACATTCAAAGTTATGTAGTCATGAATGTCCACAAAGATGAAATAGTCTGCAGTGAACGGGAAATGTGTAGATATGTTCGGCGGTAACCAAAGAAGACATGGAAGCCATAATGGTTTTCCTACCTAGCAACAACAATAATGTATACATTTCTCATTCTGACTTTTAAAATACAATTATTCGTAACAGGTGGATGAAATAATTGTTAACGAATATTTGTACATTACGAAAATGTTCTATTCAAGAAATACTTTAGGTTAAACCCATACAAGGGTGTCCTTTTGTCCAATGGACGGGCTTTCGTTAAACTTTAATCTATGCTTACTTTAGTTCAGTAGAGATTTAAACCGTGGCTGAGACCGTGGGTAAAATAGAACTTTTATTTTTCAATTAGGCCCATTCATCTTCTTGAGAATTATTTAAATTTATTTAAAGATTTTAATTTTAATTGTTGTTGCACAGTCTACCCGACTTTTAATACTAGATGCAAATATGCTTACCCTCCTGGCAGTTTATACCAGCGTAGCCTGGTGCACAGATGCACCTATAGTCTCGGATAAGGTCAATACATGTAGCACCATTCATACAAGGAATTGAGTAGCAGTCATCACGGTCTGTGGACACATTAAATGAATGGTAAATATTAAATATATCATTTGTTTTAAACAAAAGGATAATTATGTTTATCAGGAACATTAGTTGTTTCATCACAACAGACAAACGTGTTTTGACTTGTGAATTCAGTTGGTGGTGCTCTCCGTCTTAACTGTTTGATTACAATTTAACATCGACTATCAAATAATGAAGTGTGGTCTACTCGAGCAAATGCGTTGACATTTCGATGCATATCATTTTAATTCCGAAGATATACGGTCACTAATGGGTGTCCGGTATTAAGACGCGTCCATTATTAGTTTAAGTGACCATACAAGGGATTCTGCTCTCTGTATGTGGTGTCCAGAAACGTCTTGTTCATGACGAAAACATAGGTTTTGTTCTATATTTGTATTGACCTTGGTGTCATTATATTAAGATTTCATTATTCCCAAATATAATAATGATGATGATGATAATAATATTAATATTAACAATAATACAAATAATACTACTACTAATAATGAAATAATAATGGATCGTTTTATAGCGCACATATCGACCACGCCAGGTGCTCAAGGCGCTCCAATATTCCCCCAGCTCTGCTACGCTACCCTCACATCATTCAAGGAAATCTTTCCTACCGGTACCAATTTAACACTTGGTTGGAGAGTGGTGAATGTAGATTGATTTCTGGCCGCAGGACATTAGTGACGCTGCGGGACTCGGAACGCGAACCATTGGTCAACAGTCCAACGACGTATCCACTAGACCATGACACTTCTACGTCGTCGTGTGTAAGAACCAAATAAACAAACTTCACCTTGATCAAAATATAACAGGGGGGACCCAAGGTGTTACCCGAACAGTGAGAGCCAATAAAACGTCAAAGAAATTTCAACATAGTCATAATTATGTAGTTGTAGTTCTACTTTGATCATAGTCCAGAATCTGGCCTGTTCTGTTCTCTACAGTATATCCCCTACACACTTGATTCAAGCCGCCGAAGATGGCGTTATCAACGAACTCAAAATTATGCTCACGAGCCCAGCCTGAGTCTAGTTCGAGGATTACGCCATCTTCGGCTGGTGGGGCAGGTCGCATTGCCGATGTGGTGGAGGTCAAATTGAATAGGCCAGATTCTGGACTTCTGTGATCAGCAGGATTGTTTTGTGCGGGGGAAAGGGGGGGGGGGGGGGGTGATGAACTTACCAGCACTGATCTCGAGAGTGAAACCACCACTAAGGATTGTCTTATCTGTGAAGATCTCTATCCAGTAGTTTGAACCAGCATCTTCAAAAGTTAAAGTAGGCTCTGTCAATCTGTCGGAATCGAACGCTCCTGCGTCACTGGAACTGTCAGCAACGACTCCCGCTTCCAACCAGAATGCATCCTTGTTTGGTTCGATATCATGCGACACGAAAGTAAAGTTGACCTCGGTAGCACCTGGAAATCTGAAGTTAGCTTGACATTCAAATCTGTTTGGTAGTTGATTTGTGGTAAAGGTCCTCACATACTCGTAGGTGTGGCCAAACGGGCACAACTCTGTAAAATTGGGAAGAACAAAGATGACAAGTCACAAATAATGTCACGGTCGATCACGCAGTGTAGATAATAAAACAACAAACATCGTTTCCATAAATAGTTCTGCTTGTGTACAATGAAGTGGTACATGCATGTAGATGCATTTAGAGAAGAATATTAAGTTAACATATAAAGTGCTTTATTACTTCATTCTAATGTATAGAATGTGTGATTCTTAACCTAAAAATGCCTATTTCAAAGAATCCAAGGGTTATAGTCAACCGGAGTGTATCTGTTATCTTTGTTTTTCCTTGTTAAGAAATATGTAATTGAAGAGTGGAAGGGGGGGGGGGGGTGGTGGCTGCGTTTTTAACCTTAAAATTGTCCCCAAAATACCCTGCTTCTGAAAGCGTTGGCCTATAATTCGTTTTTTGTCCCCGAGTCCCAACGAAAGCTGCAAAGCCCTGCCCCCTTAGTTCTGTTAAAGGCGTCCAGGGTCTAGTCAGTTCACAAAACATGAATATTTTCATTTTTCATTCAAGAAATGGGTATCATCACGGCACTACTTCCACGCACGAATGAATGAGGATGATACAGGTTTTTAGGACCACTATTCTGTTGAATGTAGTAAGCGCATCTATTTTGATACATTTCTGCGATTTAACTGACAAAGAAATGAAGAACTGTATAATTTCACGTGTGTCTTCTTTTTTTAGTAATTTGATAATGCATAATGAAGAACTGATTTGATAGGTTGTGTTCGGTGGGGAAAAGATAGATATAGTAATGATATTAAGTATGAATGGAAACATAAAAAAAGTATTGTAGGAGGTAGAATACCAATACGAACTTAAGCCCTTGTGACAGGTAAAGTCATATTAATTTCAATAATTGACATAAAACCAAATGAAAGCAACTTGATTTTTTGATTTTTTTAAAACAAAAAGACGTCGTTAAATTAGTTGGTTCTGTGAAGAAAATTGAAGTACTGGTCCGTTAAGTACTTGTAGAAATTTAGGTGATTTTTTTTATCTCAGTGTCTCAACAAATGGAATACAATATCGGCCTAAGGAACTTGACTGGCCGGACTTGGTCGACACATAATATATTCGACCATTTTTCCCGTTTTTATATTGATACAGTTAACCCGTTGACGAATGGAATCGCAATTTACTTTTCTTAACTTCAAAACTTTCTTAAGTTTAATCTGATAATACTCAAGCTTTGAATAATTCGTTTCTTTCATCTTTTGATTTTTATTTAAAACCAACTTGATATTGCGATGGACTCGTTTAAAGGTTGTTTTTACCTGTTAAAAATAAGCGTCGATCAGATATATCGTGGCTTTTTATGATGACCTCAAGAGTAATACGCAGGGGCGGATCTAGCTTTTTGCCAAGGGGATGGGGGGGGGGGGGGGGTTTGACCCAGTGGCGGATCCGGGATTTTCCAAAAATCGCGCCGTTTTACTGTTTTACTTTTTCTTCTTTTTTCTTCTTTACTTGGCCGCCCAAGGGAGGGGGAGGGGGGGGGGGGGGTTTAAACCGCCGAAACCCCCTAGATCCGCCCCTGATTCACATTTCTGTATCTAATAACTTAGAGCTCACTGAAAATGCGCATGACCTTGTCGTGCGCACATGCCATTCATACTCATGAAGAAAAAAAACGCAGCCGGCTGCCTACCCCATCATATCTGAACAATCCTTAATTACACAATCATACTCAATATCTATGTGTATAATTATACGCAAAAGTATCAACTCACGGACATCTAGTGGTACTTCACAGTTTCTTCCTTGGAAAGCTCCAACACACAGGCACGTGTATGCATCTGCGTACTGATCGCCACAGGTAGCTCCGTTCATACAGGGTCCGGAATCGCATTCTAAAACAGAACAAACAAACAAACATTAGCAAACTTGTTATTGTGCACATGTCAAGGCATCCACAAAGGAATATTATTACCATGGCTTTAGCCCAACTGCACTAAAGCGCTAAAATGCGCTTAACTACACCTTGGTGGAGAGTGGGAAATGTATAATTAATATCTTGCCAAAGGACACTAGTGCCGTAGCGGGACTTGAACCGCAAACCATGTAATCCACAGTACGGTGGAGTTATCCACTAGACCACGCCACTGCTACAATGGCGCTATTAAATTTTTCCTCCTCTATCTTCTTTCATCCTATCATTTTGCTTGTAGATTATTCTGGAAATTGAACATACATGTACTAAAGCAAGAGGGTATAACCCAAGCAAAATATGAACAAAAGCACCTAGAACTTAATTATGTACTTTTAAACTGTTTTGAAGTTAAGGAGAGTAACCACAACCTTCTTCTTAATTTAGACTATCAATCATAATTATTATAGGAAAATACCTTCTGTGATTATTCTACGAGCCCTTTGTTAAAGTTTTCCAAGGTTACTTGTAACTGCATACCATTGACTTTAACAATAAGGGTTATAATGTTGTTCAATTGCTTTCTTTTAAGGCACAAGAGGCAATTGCTATTGGTGGTGGTGGGGGGGGGGGGTATGCAGTGTATATGTTGGTAGAATCTCGTGAGCTTACACAAAAAATGGATGAGGCCACAAATAAACAAGTTCGATGAATGAATCAATTCATGACATTTAACAAAAAAAAAAAAAACTGACCGAGAGCAGACAAACTATACTGTAAGGAGATCATAAGCCTTCCCGTGTTCTATTATCGTGAACTAATTTGAGAAATATAAGGGATGATGCCCCAAGGTAACATATACTATGTATATGAAACCACTGGGATGTAAAGTTGTAGAGCACACATCTTTTTCATTTTGCATCTTATATCTTTCTTATGTTCATGGTACTTAATTTGCGGGTTTATGGTACATCTCAGTTATTGATGCAGGGCTGTACGGTGATAGATAGTGACACATGACGTTAGAAAGTTAAATGCTCTATCATCACAGAAACTACCCATCTAAATAACACAAAGTTCATTGCAGTTAAAATACTGGAGTATATAATAATGTTTCAGATTTGGGTAACGTTATTTACTGTGCCACTTTGTATATCGTATCAAACAACGATCATCATAAATAAGTATAGATACACCGGAATGTACATATCTACAGCATGGACCAAAAGAAAACTCAATATCATGTGACAATCAGAACTATTGAATAGCATACCTGAAGAGATTGGAACAAAAACAATTCATTTCGTACCCTTTATTCCTTACAAAAAGGTACCAACATGTAAGGCTATATCAAACTAAATTCTATGAAAATTTAAGATACAGTAGTCTCTTGCTACTTCGTTCAAAATACAATATACACTTTTCTGAGTGTATGAGATTTCTCTCCATTTCACTTCAATTCTAACACCTAAATTTCTTTTATAGATTCAAGTTTCAATTGTTCATCTATCGCATTAACATACATTGCATTTGAACTGAATATGAAATACAGAATAGGCCTGCATTGGTGACTTTTTATGTCATTACAACAAAGAAACACTTTTTGTTGAAGTTGTAATTGTCAATGGTGAATTCATGCACTGCTATATAGTTAGAAGGATCAACGGGAAACATATTAAATAATGTAATTGAGCCACGAGCATTTGAGGGACGATTACAGGGAGCACTTTTAATACCAATAATAGTCACGAGACCCACACCAGACCAACAACACACCGACCAAGAATTTACATTACGAGGAATGGCTAAAAATCAGTCAGTTTTGTGTCCGTTTGGCGGTGTGACTGGTGTATTAATCAATCAAAAAGATCCTTCGAAAATACATACCGCCAACAGCAGTGACTTCTGTCAAGAGTAAAGTGGACAAGATGAAGAAGAGAAGGACCGGCATCTTGAGAGACGTCTTCATGGTCACAGATGGTTATCTGCTACCCTTTTGACCACTGGTATTCTTCAATAATCTGTCTAAAAAAGCCTTTAACAATAAATTGAGTTTGTTTTGTACACTGCCAACACCTAAATAAAAATTGAAATCCTGTTCCGCTTATCTCGTTTAGGGTTCCGTATCGCTTAAAAGACCCTCACGTTAATAACTTCAATTTCATAAGCTGATAGCTGCGACGCAATCGGGAGTTGAGTTCATCGCGACAACACCCATTTGCCCCAAATATCTAGCCAATCAAATACCCCCATTTCATGCGTCACCGGGCCGGGGTATGATTTTTTGCTATTGCGGGGGTGCATTGTTATTAATTTCTATATGAATTATTCGATCAGCATACCTGCAAGCCGCTCCCAGGCTGTCATCTATTGTGTCTTGCCAACTTTCAATAGAGGGATATACGGTCTGTTGACCCTCTAAAGAAATCAGTTCGCGAGAGGGTTCACCCATAAAAAGTGGTAATAATAGGCAAAAAGTGTTTATTTCAATATGTTTATTTGCTATATGCACCCTGTGATAGTTCTTTTGGCTGTATACTTTATGACCCTATCTGTCCTTGATCGTCACCCTGAACTATTGACGTGGGCACTAGTTTCGCAAGAGAAGCATAAATTGTGCCTTTGTTAAACATGTTCATCCCTAACATTCACATACAAACTATTAGTCAAACTCTCTGTGCTTTTGCCTGATGTATTCATCCCTAACATTCATATATAAACCATTAGTCAAACTCTCTGTGCTTTTGCTTGATAAGTTCATCCCTAACATTCATATATAAACTATTAGTCAGACTCTCTGTGATTTTGATGAATACGGTCATCCCTAGCATTTATATATAAAACTATCAGTCAGACTATCTGTGCTTTTGCTAAATACGTTCATCCCTAGCCTTTATATTTTAACCATTAGTCAAACTCACTGTGCTTGTGCTATAGTACGTTCATCTCTAGCATTTATATATTGACCATAGTCAAACTCTCTGTGCTTTTGCTTGATAAGTTCATCCCTCCTAGTATTCACCCCTCCTAGTATTCACATAAACTGTTTGTCAGACTCTCTCTATTCTTTGTCTATTTATCATTGTGTGAACTTGGGCGATTGAGACAAGATAGTTGACAGTTTAAAAGTTGGGCACATTTTCTTCTCTGGAAATTACCATCCCTGACGAGTAGGCTATAACATCTTTTCCTCATCATCATACATGCTTAACTAGTCTATTTATAACCTTTTTGAATAGCCCAGTCCATGATGCATTTCAGTAGAGTTTATCTGTAGGAGACGGTATTAACCAACCTATGTTATCTTTAAGATTCATTTTTATTGTTATGTTCTGTATCATAACTCAGCTTTGATAAGTAATGTCGACTAATGATACTCAAAATTTGAGGTAAGACAACCTGTTTGCAACAGTCTAGACCTACTACTACGACTGTTTCTTTCCTGTTGATTTTCTTTCCAAATAGATCTTTATTTTAAGGCGGATTCCATCTCTATTCGCAGTAAACGCTGCTTCAATTAAAGCAGAGGAAAGCTAAGTTTAGAAGTTGTAATGTGTTTAGGGTTGGATTGCTATCATATTCGGAATGGGACACTTTCATGTGCATTGGTGTCCAAATGATCCGGAATTCGTACCAGTACTTGCTTCATGTACCAATAATGTATAAGCCGAACCCTTATTTCTGGTCGCGTTGTAAGGTACACATAATATTTTCTAATCAAAGGCGTTCCGGATGAAAAACCATCATAATACAATCTGATACGTGACTGGTACCAACATCATGAAAAGAAAACGACCTGGCACGTTCACAACCGTACTTTTATATATAGGGTGTCTAAAAAAAAGTACAACGAAGAAACTTACTTTCAGGAAGCAATAACCATGTTTTTAGATACTCAAATCGCCACGACATCGACGTTGATTTTGAGTCAAATAACTTTACGTGACTTAATGTACTTCATATCTCGTGGTAAATTAATGCGGGATCATAATTCTGTACATTTGTGATGTTCACCTTAGGTTTTCATTAAGTGGAGCTTTTACAGTGTGATTCAGAAAAAGGACAATTTTGTTCGAAGAGTACATGTACTTCACAAGCTTTACTGCTACCATATTATGTTAGGGAACCTAAATTACAAGCTATGCTTTTCCTGGGTTTCCTCCACAATACAGCAAGCAATTGTCGTCTGAGACTCAATTGTTTAAACATATTTGTGGCTTACACCCAGTAAATAAGATCAATTGAACGATCTGTAATTGAAAAACAAGTCAGAAAAAATCTTGGAACCAGCGGGATTTGAACCTGCCATCTACTGCTTGCCGGGCAGCGACTCTACCACCAAGCCATCACTGGTCCATGGCACAGTCACGATGAACTAGAAACAAATACCCAAGCTCTCCTGATTCATTCTGACTTATTAATAGTTATTGTCCTATGGCGGACTAATAAATGGCGGACTAATGGACCAGTGATGGCCTGGTGGTAGAGTCGCTGCCCGGCAAGCAGTAGATGGCATGTTCAAATCCCGCTGGTTCCAAGATTTTTTCTGACTTGTTTTTCAATTACAGATCGATCAATCGATCTTATTTACTGGGTGTAAGCCACAAATATGTTTAAACTATTGAAATTTCTCCCAGGAAGCATTACATTTATAGACTCAATTGTATACTTTTACTGCATTGCATGTACCTTATTATGTATATTTTTTGTTTGTTAATATTTTAATTGGAATGAATTTTAAAACAAAAAACTTTGTAAATTTGCTGTCATTGTGGATAAATGAAATCAAATGAAATAAAATATTAATTGGATGCTTTTAAATGGTTGGCTGTACATGGGTCATTTACGGGATGTAGGTCAAAACCCACTCGTGGCAACTCCAAACTAGAGTCGATACAATTTGTAAGCACTGCTTTTCACGCCGTATGCATATGACGAAAACAAAATATTTCTTGCACACTCTCCCTGCAAGCGATGATCTGTATCGCATGATCTATATCTACGGAGAATTATAAACCATATTGTCAAGATCAAAAGTAAAAAAAAAAGTCAGTCCAACTTTTTGGTCAACAGTGTATGTAAGCACAATAACTTTGGGGGAGGAGTGGAGGTGCGTGGGACAGACCAGACAAGTTAGCTTGATAAGTTTTCAGGTACTAATCATTCCACTCCTTAATTTGAAAAAATGATTGATATGTCAGCACAGAAAAAAGTCAGTGGTTTGGATGTACCTGATTTAAACAAATAAATATAATATGTCTGTATTGTCATAAGCCAATCTAACCTCATAGTATGTCAACAAAATATGAAGTTATGCTCCCACATAATTATTGATAATTATGTCCTAAACATCTGGTGTTCAGCTTATACATTACATAAACTACTTGGAACAGTTTTAAGCAAACTATAAAAGCCATGTTATCTGCAGATGGCGTGTAAGTGAACTTTTGGGGGTGTTTTCGTGCGAAGCTAACCAATTTTTCCTATTTGCAAAATTATTAAATTTGGTTGACATGGTTAACGTTTATTTCATACATCTAATGTATCCTTTGTTGAGCTATCTTGTAAACAACCACAACCTAAGTGTATTAATTAAGAGCAATTGAATGTTTGTTTGTTTGTTTATTTTATTATAGCACGGTGTCATACTTCAGCCAATGCCAATGCCGATGTAAATATGTATGTTAAAATGGTATCCCGTGTGTTAAGCTATAAGAGATTATAAAAATGTACGTTTTCAATCGTTTGTTTTCTTTATTTTAAATACGTTGTTATCATCTGTTCTTTATTTTATTTTCATTTTCTTTAATGTATTTTCTATTGATATTGAAAATAATTACATTTACATATTTCTTTGTAAATGATCACGGATAATTCTTGAATGATCAGTTATTTCATGAGGATTAATTTGTATTTTACCTGTTTATATGCTTATGTATTTATCTATTTTGTTTTTGCTGCTGTTCCTCTTTTTATTCTTACCAAACAGGGCCTCATGGAAGACCATCGAATTGGTGATATCTCCCACACTGTATAAATATCAGAAATAAATAATTTGCATACATTGTATCTCTTTCTAATATATTACTTAACTCCTTAATCAAGAAAGTATTCATCATCCTACAGTAAATCGTCATCATAATGTAGGTATTCATCATCGTATCTGCCCCTGCCCTTGTCATATCTCATATCAGTGTTGTGGGTGTTGGGTTTTCGATTTCTAAGTTTCATGCAAAATAAATAGAATATTTCCATTATCCCCAACCAGTATTGAATGAACAGAACAAATATGCTTTTGGGAGCGTCGGGAATTGCATAGAAAAGATTCGATCGTGTCTCATGAATATACTTTTGTTCTGCTCTTCTTGCGGTAATTTTTTTTATTTGCCCCCGCACTGCTTTTTCTTTCGTGCAAATTCAAAGGATTTGCTCGGAATGTAGATATATTCGATTGTTCTCGAGCAGAACTCAGACGTCATTCATCAAATATTTGCCGGTCATTGTTGAAATCACAATTCACATATTACTAAATGCGGCGTCGACAAAAGTTCATGGAAGATTAGTTATTCAAGTTTAATGTATGTCTGTGGTGTACTGCCTTCAGTGATCTTGAGCATTTCGGGTTTTTTTCTAAGGAAGAAGAAAATCCACAGAGCGAAGGAAAACGAAGGCAACTTAAGACGATCGCAACTATTTTCAAAAAATCAAAGTAACTTCAAAAGTCCTGTCTTTTCACTTTTCTCTTCACTTCATATCGTGTTTTCTGTCGTAATGCAATATTTACAAAAAACAAAGGTTGTAGGAGGGAATGTAGGAGTAAAATCACAACGAAGATGACAAAAAGTCGTGGTATGTGTCGAAGTAATAGGGAATGATATCAGGTCAGTCACTTATCATTCGGAGATAAATGAGCCAGTTCGTAGATACTATCTGCGCATGGGCAGACAAAGGTCATTCGTACCAAAATTGAAAATTAACCGCGATAAATACTGGATAAGTGCATGATCATGAAAGTGAAGTAATCATTATTCATTTATGAACTGACGGTATATTTTATGGAACACAGGTGGAAGTATTCTGCTCAAGAAGGCAAACAAAAAGTATATATAAAGCTCATCCATGACTATGATTGTTCTAGAATGCACAAAGTGGAACTACTACATGTGTAAAATATCTGTGGATATTTGGGATCATTTTAAGTATTGTGGGATGGCTTAGCGAAATTATAGTGACAGGACGGACGAAAGCATGAAATAGGCCATTTTCGTTATGTAATCAAATTTAAAGCACAAATCTTTGCTAAGTGCCTCGTTACAAATTATTTCATTCACCTGTTACAAATTATTTTATGTCAAGAGTCAGAATGTGAATAGCATACACTAATTGTTGCTAGGTAGGAAACGGATGCTTGTCCTACCTAACAACACGTAATTTATGCAATATAAACTATTCGCTACTCTCTTCGACTGCAAAGAGCATCTTCTCTTTCGTTATTTTACTTCCGCTTTCGTAGTTAGCACGTAACATAAGTAACCCCGTACCTTCACAGATCTTTTGAACATAAATAGATATGCCACTTTGTGTGTTTGTAGTATAACTTCTCACATAATAATAATATTAGTAAAGATTTATAATGCGCCATGTCTGTCAAAAATGACACTCCTGGCGTAGTTGTGTGGCAATTGTATAATTGTGGGCATACGAACATCAAGTGATTCAAGAAAGAAAGTAAAATACACATAAGTTAAAGTAATAAAGGTGCTTCATGAATTTTGTTTGTTTCCTCCTTGGAAATAAATGTTCCACCCCTCCCCTCTGTGTCGTGGAATAAACAAGCGGTGCATAAACGAGTGATGATTGCATAACTTTCATGAACATGTAAATAGTATGTGTCTCAGTACGGTTTAATTAATAGTCCTCTTTACCAATGTATTTTAATGTATGCATGTTTCTCTCCAGAACCCCTAGTCACTTATTTAGTTTATACGCCTGTGCACAACAATGTATCTATAGATGAAATTCACTTTGCACACATTAGTGCTTTTTGGTTAGTCCTTATGGTTGTCAAAAGAGACTTTTATTTCAGAAGATTTCACAAATTGGTAAACAAGTCGATTTGATACAGATGAGCATTCCTGGTTACTTTGCTGATAGTACCTACAAACTGGCTTATTTGAAAGATGTAAAGAATTTTTGTTGGCATTGTCATCCTTTGAACAGATGTATGGTGCATTTAATTAAGTACAAGTGCGGTGATGAACACTGATGAATGATCATCTGCGCTAAGTGAATATCGGGAGTTATCTTTTAATGCCTTTCCTGTTTTTCTTCAGATGGAAAAAGAAGAAAATCTCTTCATAGTAAACCAGTTCATAGCTGCAGTCGGAGCATGAGCAGATAAAGTAATTGCAGACCAAATTGTGAAATACACGGAGACAAAATACTGGATGCGTACTCATAAAAGTTGGGTAATCATTATTCATTTATGCACAAGCAGTGCACTCATTATACACAGGTGGAGGTAATCTTTGAAAAGGGGGAAATAAAGGCTATTTATGTAGCACATCCATCGCTGTAGGAGTGATAATTACAAAATGTACAAAGTGGGACCTGTTCATGTTTTGAGATCTGTGGATATTCGGGGTCATTTGGGGCATGTGCTAACCGTGAACTGGTCTATTGTATTACGACTCTATTCCCGTCGTGCCCAAATGTTGGGGACTTGGTTTCTATGGTTTCACTATCAATATTTAAGGAGGGATTTATGTATGAGAAAAACAAATACAGAGGTGAGTTCTCTTTCTTTGTCTACGTTATTTTCTCCGGGGCAATACGTACTCCCGCAAACACACAAAAGCTCCCAATCTATACTTTGCAGAACAACAATGATGTCATAATGTGATTCATAATCCTTAAACCTTTGCCGTATGCGCGGCAGATTGGGGAAATAAGTAGTGCGTTCTACTATCGCATTCAGTTGTGTATATGGCCCATTGTTATGTGTTATGTGATGGCATTCAATGAATAGGACCAAAATATGATAACAACGAATATGATCAATCGATAAAATGGGGGTGCATCAACAGCGAGGCGTTCTCTACTCCTGCATGAGTAAGGTTCGTTTTGTCGAACAAAGGTAGGGAGTGTCCGTGGTCGAATATTTTGCAGCACTAAACCTAGCCTTAACGGCTTGGTGATTTCATAAATTGACAACCTCTTAAGGCTAGCGAAATACACTCATCCAATGTACAAGGTTTTATATGACCTCCTACTCCTCAAGCAAAATGATTATGCTGACATTTGCTGCCCTATACTGCTCTCCTTTAATACGCCAACATCAGTAAACAAGTGCAGTTTCCAACAAGATGGCTGCACAAATGGAATGGTCATTATGTCCTACCTAAAGAAGGGAGAAAAAAAAACGAAAATTAATCATAATTGAATTGTTTGCAGTTAAATGTAAATCATGAAAAGGTTTTATAATGTTTCTATCTGACAGCGTAGACGACGTTATCAATGTTAACTGAGACTCTGGAAAGTACTAAACTACAATCATTGACTGATATTTGATATGTAGCCAATTTTGTTCATTGTTACAGATCCCGATATTTTGAAATCATTAATTTAAGTTTCGAAAGTCAGTTGTAGTTTATGACATCGACTATTTTAGTTTTTCTGATGTTTATAATAAGATGATTTAACTGTCACTTTGGCTTGAGGTAATATTCATTCATTTATTGCAACCATGAGTTGGATTTCATACAATAAAGAAGACAGGCATAAAAATGGTTCACAATATACTTTGTACCATAAAACTGTATAAATTGACACTTTAAATACATAGATATGAAAAGAAAAAGAAAAAGAAATACTAAAGAGCAATCGCATTTAAACATAATTATAAGGTACATGGGTTTTCACTGGACCAATAATGATATATAAACTGACATCAACGTATTATTCAACAATTAAAATTGAGAAAGATATTGAAAGAAAGAGAGAGACAGTAAACCCAAATTGAGTGGTGGTATAATGCATTATTCCTAAAAATATATCCAGTCAAAATCAATTGATATTAAAAGATTATTTCATTTTAAATTATTTTGAAATTCATATAATAAGCAAATGTGTATTTTAAGTAAAACGCTTACACGGCATTTTAATTCAATATAATATTGGCAATAATTATTAATATCAAGTCAAATTATTCTTTCAGTGTTAAATTATGTTCAGAAATTTATTTGACCACTGCAACATTTCACAACCCTGAATCTGATCGAGATAATAGGGACTTTTAGATTTGCGTGGACTGATACGTGGTACTTCCATTCACGGCAGTGCTTTAACAGGACGTCGATCGTAGCATAGACCTATTGTCTTCGTGCGAATCTAAAAGTCCCTAATAATAGACCAGTTCACGGTTAGCACATTACTGCAATGACCCCGATTATCCACAGATCTTCGAAACATGAAGAGGTCACACTTTGTACATTTTGAAAAAATCACTCTTACAGCGATGGAGGTGCTATATAATGGCCTTTGTTTTCCCTTTTCAAAGAATCCTTTACGAAGAATACTTCCACCGGTGTATTATGGAGTGCACTGAAAGTGCATGAATGAATAATGTTACATAACTTTCATGAGCACGTATCCAGTATTTCGTCTCCGTGTATTTCAAAATTTGTTCTGCAATGACCTTTATCTGCTCATGCTCAGACTGCAACCGTGAACTGGCTTATTAAAGTGACGAGCGACAGAATCAAATGGGTTAGTAAATGATCAGATCTTGCTCGAATGCTTTTTATCACATTAGACCCATTTACATAGCATAAAACACGATTGAAATACCATTTACACGCTCGGAAAACCCCATGAAAACAGTCGCCACTTGTCGATACATCATGCTCTGCTAGTCCACAATCTGGCCGATTTAATTTTGATCTCAGTGCGACCTCCCCTACTTATTCACTGCCACCAGAAGAGGGCGTGATTCTTTTCAAAATGAGGACGCCCGGAGGCGGCGAAGAAAACAAATTGTTGATAACGCCACCTTGGGACGCTTGAATTAAGTGTAGGAAATATACACTTCTATTGTATACAACCGGTTAGATTCTGGACTAATGCTCTGCATGACCAAAACGTGAGCAAAAACCGGAATAGTTAACAGTTTTTTCTTCAGCACGAGCATTTACACTGAAATGGAATTATTTATGGTAGTTATCTAACAAATTCCGACTAAACTACAGAATGTGGAAAAACCAACGGTTTTTGCTTACAGTGTGATGTGTGATCTTGTTTAAAAAAAAAATATATATATATTTTTATTTCTGCGTTCAAAAACTTACAAATTCATATTCAAAGTACAAACATTCGAACGATAATAAATACAATGAATAAAATGTTTACAAAAGTAATCAAATAGAAAATCATGTACAATTATATCATGAAATAAACATATACGAAGCATACAAATAAGATAAGAAATATATAATAGTTTGAACATATTTGTGGCTTACACCCAGTAAATAAGATCGATTGATCGATCTGTAATTGAAAAACAAAATCTTGGAACCAGCGGGATTTGAACCTGCCATCCACTGCTTGCCGGGCAGCGACTCTACCACCAGGCCATCACTGGTCTATGGCACAGTCACGATGAACTAGAAACAAATACCCAAGCCCTCCTGATTCATTCTGACTCATTAATATTCATCAGTCCGCCATAGGACAATAACTTTATTAACGTAATGCTTCCTGGGAGAAATTTTAATAGTTTGAACATATTTGTGGCTTACACCCAGTAAATAAGATCGATTGATCGATCTGTAATTGAAAAACAATTTTTGTTTTTTTTTCTGACTTGTTTTTCAATTACAGATCGATCAATCGATCTTATTTACTGGTGTAAGCCACAAATTTGTTCAAACTATTGAAATTTCTCCCAGGAAGCATTACGTTTATAAAGAAATATAAAGTAAATATTTTCCAAAAAATTAGAGAGGTACTTTAGAACGCATGAGACCACGATCGTGAGCGGTTAGGCTCGACATATAAACACAAAGCCCCGAATTCACAAAGGAGGTTTGTCGACAAGCCTCCTTTGTGTTTTCGAGCCAAAGAGTATAAGGAAAAGTGAAATAGAAATAGATCGTTCAATTATGGAATAGGGGACTTTTGGCTTTATTGGTTTATGTGCTTGCAATAAGCAATTCCTTCAACTCAACCCCTCTCTAACAAAACAGGTTTACTATCTTCATTTGATACAGTAGCAAGATGTGCACCATAGCATTTCTCACCTCGTACAATGAATTCAATTTGACTAGAAATGTTGCCTTCATAACGTTTACCTCTCTTAGCTAAAATCCTTATCACGTGTATCTGACACTTGCACGTCAGCCTCTGTTATTACAGTTTTTGAGCACAATGATTCCCATGAACTTTGCTTGCCTTACAGTACCTCTTGGCAAAACATTGCTCCAAGACGGATCTCACACCATTCGACGGTTGTCCGATGCCAATTATTTTCATTTCTTAGACAAGGAGAATGGGTTGTTGTTTTGATACCACCCTTGAGTGTCGTTGTGTTCCAAATATACATGTCTTTATGTACATTAAAATATATTTACAAAAATAAAAATAAAAAAACCCAGAGTTTGTCAAATGAGGAACTTACCTATGCACACACCTCATCGAAAAAGTTGGTTCCATATGTTGAGGCATATAAGTGCTGATGTGAAGTTTCACTGTTGTGACATGCCGTGTATCGGTACTATTTGATGGAGACGTTTATATTTTGATTGGCAAATGAACCAGCAATGCAATTATGGGATTAAAGTGGATGTCACTTGGGTCATTCTTAATTGTCTTCCTTCTATGCAAATGCGTTGTTTCTCAGGGTACGTATACAATTCAATTTCCGTGAATTCCTTTTAGATATAAATTGTGAGATAGTTGAATTATATCTTTATAACACGCTTGAGACTGCTTAAATGATCTTAGCGTAGGCTTATAGAGAGTTAGAACCAAAAAATAGGTGTCTATTTTTACTGCAAATATTTGTGTTGCCCTATTCATGTCTACTCTTGGGTTCATACCACCTGGACTGCTGTTTATTGCAAATTTATGCAAATTTAAACAGGTAATTTGTATGCGAGTCATTCGAATTGTGACAGATCCCGTTAATGTGAAAACGTTAATTGAAGGCCGAAGTCACATGTAGTTTATGATATCGATGGTTTTAGTATACCTGGGCCCCGTATTATAAAGAGTAATGATTGATCCAAATCAATCATAAGTCCTCCAATCAATCGCAAGTTTGCAGTCTCCTATCACTTATGTAAATAGTTGCGAATGATATCAACTCTTTTTAAGACGGGGACCTGTTGTTTGTAATAAGATGATTTAATTGTTACTTTGGCCAAACGAAATATCAAGTAAAATGATACTTTTAATGTTAAATTTTGTTTAGATTTTGATCTGACCAATGTGAAAATTTCGCAACCTTGACTTTGATCGTGATCTATGTGTTAGAAGATAATATTCAAAGTGACGAGCGACATATTCAAGTGGGTTAATACATGATCAGATCATGCTCAAATGCTTTAGGTCTAGCTAGGCCCATTTACATAGCAGAAAACACTGCGAACCTCAAATAATTAGCTCTTATAAAGAGGGGGAGACAAATCCTAATCGCATTTTAAGCACAACCTCATCATGAAAGACTGAAAGAACCTTTAATAAGTTCCATACTTACATCAACTATAAATGCGAGCGAAGTCAAGAAAAGGTTGCTTCAAATTAGGGGCACATGTTATGGAGAAAGGAAAAAGGGGGTACTTATCAGGAGGGAAAAGGACATTTATTAGAAAAGTAAAGGACTACGTGCCAGAGTAAAAAGAGCTATGATCATATGTGAAAAGGGGCAATTATCGTACCTGAAAACGGTAACTCATGAGACTGGAAAAGGGGCATAGATTACAGAGGAAAGGGGGAAATTTATGAGAAGGAAATGGCGTTTTTATTAAAATAAAAAAGGGATATTTATGAGAAGGGGGGGGGGGGGTCACTCTTAATAAAAAGGAAAAGGGGCACTAATCCGAGGTAAAAAAAAGGGCACTCATAAGTGATGAAAAGAGAATTTTATTACAAAGGAAAAGGGGCACTTATCTAAGTTAAAGGAGCCCCCGTCAGATCTGAATATGGGCACTCACCAGAGATGAAAAGGGACACTGAAGGAGAAAGGGCACCTTATAAACTAAAAGGGGCACCTCTCAGACTTGAAAAGGGGCAGTCATCAGCTAGGGTTAGGGGGCTATTATCAGAGGTAGTTTAGGGACACTTCTTGTACCTGAAAAGAAGCAGTTTCTTTAGCTAAATAGGGGCACTTGATAATAGAAAAGGGGCTTTTAAAACGAAGAATATTGGGCAGATGTCAAAGGGGCACCTAACAGCTTCTGATAGAGGCATTTATCGGTGGCGTCAAAGGGGCATTAATCTTGAGGTAAAAGGGCACTTATTAGACACGAAAAGGGGCACGAGTCAAAATGAATGGGGGCACTTATTGGTAGTGAAAAGCGGCACTCATCGAAGCTAAAAGAAAAAGGGCAATCATCAAAAGGGGAAGGAGCATTTATTTAAAAGGGCCAAAACATCAGTCCAAAGACTGTTCTTCCATAAAGAAATAACATATATACATGTTAAAAGAAAGAAAGAAATAGAAACATCGTTGGAATGACAACTGCACCTAATCGTTCCTTCGCCACAAATCCGGGGTGCTTATATGCAACGAGATTGGTGATTATCAGGAAGAGCGTCGAAAGTTCTTTGTGTTTAATCTATTATCGTTTTATTTTAATTCACGAAGTGTTATGTGATCAATAGTATTGGTGAATATTTTTGATATTCAGTTATAACAATTTTATCTACTCGTTTATTTACCGTTTTATTTGAATGTTGGCCTTACATGATTTTACTACGACTGTAGCATTTTATTATTTCACTAGAAGACAGAAATGAGTTTAATTGCGACTTTGTGATTTCGTTATTTCACTTTACGCCTACGTGTTACGGACTTACTGAACAATAAAGTGAGTTTACACGTGATACATATAATCAGTCAAACGTTTACATTTATATTCCTCATCTAGCACCGACCGGGGTGTATTTTCAGGTTCACTTACTGAACTACATCACCGTATCATGGACAGCCCCGCTAAACCCGACTGGAGTGACTGGGTATGTTGTACAATATACAGCAGGGGGAGTGGATAGGACCGAGGTGATTGGAGACCCTACCGTTACAACAATAACCTTGCAAGACCCCAACCTAGCTGCTGGCGACCTGGGGAATGTGCTCGTGGCTTCTTTAATGGGTGAAGATGTCGATCCAGCCAACATCGTTCTAGCTGTCGCTCCTCCTCCAGCCGGTGAGTTTGATTTGGAGATTTAGATGAAAATATAATCAGAAAAAAACAAACTCAAATGGATCTTAGTTCCAATCTAGTTCAACCAAATCAAACAGAGCATGAAATGACCTTGATTTTAATATGAAAGAAATTGGAAAAAAATAAAAAGAGACAGTGAGAGCAAGAGAGAGAGAGATAGAGGGAGAGAGAGAAAGAGAGAGAAGGAGAGAAAATAAAGGGAATGGGGTAATAGGGAGCAGTGAGAGATAAAGAGAGAAAGAGAGATAGAGAGAGAGGGGGAGGGGTTTCAAGTTTCAAGTTTATTTGTTCCTCATTTTACAAAAATATATAGACAGACATATAAAATAAAAATAGTATATACAGTGCGTCCCAGAAAAATACGAAACCGAGAACTATTGATGTTTTATCATAACTTAATCACAATATAATTAATAAATGACAAACATTTGGAAAGCTTAGATCCTCTTCTTTCATTTGATGCAACTCATATAATGCATATTTCACAGTGTATATACAGTGCATCTCAGAAAAAAACGAAACCGAGAATTATCGATGTTTCATCATAACTGAATTACAATTATTATTAATAAATGATACATATTTGTAAAGCTTAGATCATCCTCTTTCATTTGATGCAAATCATTTGATGCATATTTCGTGCATGAGAGATTACAAACAATTTTGAAGAGAGGAAACCCAAAAGTCATCTGGCGGGTGGTATCTAAATTTCAAGGAGAAAATCACATTTCTAGAAAATTCAATTTCTGCCTTTTCATATGACACCTCAATCGGGAAAAAAGAGCCTGGAATAACAAAGTTCTGTTTGTTTAAAGTAATGCTTGCATTACAATAATTTGAATAAACTAGTTCGTTTTCACTGGCTGCCTGCCGTAGCAACAACCAGGGTTGACAAAAGATTTAACTCCGTTTCGTTGCAGATCAACCATGCACAAAGAAGATGAAAGACTAGATGCATGGCTGATCGTTAACGAAACGGAGTTAAGTCTTTTATCAACCCTGGTTGTTGCTACAGCAGACAGCCAGTGAAAACGAACTCGTTTAACCAAGTTATGGAAATCCAAGCATTATTTAAAACAAACGGAACTGTGTTATTCTTGGCTCATTGTTCGTGATTGAGGTGTCATATGAAAGGGCAGAAATTGAACTTCCTAGAAATGTGATTTTCTCCTTGAAATTCAGATACCGCCCGCCAAATGACTTTTTGATTTCATCTCCAATTTTTTTTTGTAATCACTCATGCGTGAAATATGCATCATATGAGTTGCATCAAATGAAAGAAGATGATCTAAGCTTGACAAATACGTGTCATTTATTCAATTTAATTGTGATTAAGTTATGATAAAACATCGATAATTCTCGGTTTCGTGTCTACTCAAATCTTATGATAGATTAGGCGGAATGTGAGGAAACTATTGAGAAATGGTGACAGGGTAAAACACCCACCAAGTCCCCCACCAGTATGCCTGTGACAGACACAGCAAATTAAGATAAGCAAAGATTGAAAAAGTAGGATTACACTGAAAAATATGACATTTGAGGGTTTTTTTCACATTTTCTACCCGAACAAAAATAAAGTTTATTTCTCGTTATTCAACTGAATTGTGGAAGAAATTGAAATAAAAGTGAATAACAGGTTGTATCAATAAGTTTGTATCATGAGGTTAGGAATCATCAAAATGGGCTCAGTCTTTCTGAAAATCACTGAACACATGTATCATAGACATTTGATCAAAAGTTTTAATCTATTTCTAGTCATATTTTGAGCATAGAGGAAGAAGCATTGCTTTAAAAAAAAAAATATTTCCCTGATAGGAATTAAATAATGAGAGAGATCACTAATATAATTAACCTAAAGCAGAATTCAACCTTCTCTTTATTAAAGAAGTTATCATTATTTTACAGCCATTTTTTAAAACTTTCTATTCTTGCATTCCAGCTATACCTCTTGCTCCAACAGGCGCTACCATACAACAGACATCCGATACAAGTTATACTATCTCCTGGGGTAACCCGGGAAACGTTGATGGATATGTCATCTCGTACGACCAGGGGCCTGTCTCTATAGAACTGCCAGTTGACAGGACGTCAGAACAGATCCTTGATCTCACACCGAACGTAGACTACGTTTTCAACCTGTACAGTCAACGGAATGGTATTAGAACTCAAGCACAACTCTCAGTCCTGCCTCCTGTAATACCTCCACCAGGTAATTCATAAAAGCATATTCATGCAAGCTTTCCAACTTTAATCCTTTTAAAGTTATAAAATCTTGTTAAAATGTGAACTACAGAAATCATAATAATAATAATACTAATAATAATAGCCTAATAGTCCACTCCAAATGTTATTAAACCGAAACGGAAATTCTTTTTGCCCAATTGATCGTGAGCCCGGCAGCCACTGAGCAGCGCCAGATCGACGTTGCTCTATACCTTATTGTTGAACGCCAAACAAGGTAGCAACAACTCCCATCTTTTAACGTCTTTTGGTATGACGCGGCCGGGGTTCGAACCCACGACCTCCCGGTTGTGAGGCGGACGCTCTACTTACTGAGCAAACACTCCGGTTAACATGTCAACATGAAGTAAATTTCTCACTTTTCTTTCATGATTTAACTCATTTCAACTTAAATATTGCTAAATAATTTATAATCCAACATTTAATTTTTAGGTTCCAGATAAGAAGTAAAAGGTGCATGCAAATGAGTTCATTATTATGATCTATTTGCATTTGAGTTGAGGCTGTATGCATCTATCAAACATAGCTGTCAGGCTGAGTACGATAGATGCATCATGCATAAATAGCCTCAACAAGAGCAGATATATCCTGTTATAAATCATGAAAGAATAATAACATGCTTCATTTGTTGTATACGACAAACTCCAAGATCGTTGTTATTTTATTGCAGAAGAAGTGTTTTTAAGATTGTTCAATGTCATTATTGATGGCAAATAAATCTCAAGTTTAGTAGACTTGTATTTTAGCGTGCAATGACACAAAATTGAGCGCATTTATTTCTACATGCATACACATGCTGGGATATGCAGGTTTTAGCCCACCTCATCGCTTACATCAGAATTGTCGAATAACGCGTGTTTTTCATTAAAAAAAATGTGTGATATCATTAATATAACATTAGATAAATCGCGCTCGACTGGGCTCAACCAGCCATTTGATTAAGATCTAGGAGTGCAGTTTTATAATAGTGTTTAGTCAAGAAAACAAATGTTCTATATTCCGTATCTCTTGTCTAAATGGGGCTACCTATTTCTGCAGGATATCAATCTCCTTTAATGTTTTATTGAATAAAATCAATTTATTTAAATTATAGATGATACTGGTATCACTATTGACGAACTGGGCGAGGACTTCATCAACTTTATCTGGGACCATGACTCGACACAGGGCATTATATCTTACGTCGTCACACTCTTTGCTTCTGATGGTACCACAACAGTGGTCAAAGCACAACCTCTTGTTCCCATGACAAGTATGACCCATCGATTCAATGGACTTACTCCAGGAACACAGTACGTCATTGATGTTGACATCATTACGAGTTCAAATCCAACTCCAAGTGATTTTGACAGAAAACCTCAATTTACACGTAAGCACAATAATTTTGTAAATACTGATTGTACCGTACATGTGAAAATATAGAGGTGTTGGGGTGATGTGGCGATTTCTTGCAATGGCACCTATTTTGTAATGTCTGTTGTCAAGACTTTGATCTACTTTTGCCTCTTTTGACCTTTCTGATAGGTTTGAGCTTAAGCTGGAAAGATAATGTCCGCATATTGTGGAAGCACAAAGAAACGTTATATCATATCATTCTCTCATCTTACTGCATTGTATTTATTTCCATGAGCTGTTTGACAAAGCTGATGCAGGGTTTTCCTTGCACCCTCTCCCCTTTCCTACGGCACGATTTTCTTAGATACAAAAGAGGGCTGCAAACAAATAAAGGTTCAGGTTTACATTGTAGCCCTCCTTTTTTGCTACATTATGTTTTCATATCATGTTTCGTATTGATCTAACATGTTAACGTTAGTTATTGTACTAGAAATATATAACCAACATTTGATTTATGTTGGGAGAAATAAATGTTTGAAACATGATAGAGAAACCACTACATTTATATATATATATATATAAACACCCAACACAAAAGGAAATTGGACATTATTTATTGTTGAGATTTCAACTAAATATTTGATATTATTAATTAAAATGAATATACAATATTCAGAAAACAATATAAATTCTTCAAAGCTCATAAAAGATTTTGTGCAATGTCATGTTCGCAATATGATACAAATCATATAACATTGGCAAAGGCATTGGGAAATCAAGTTTTTGGGGATAAAAAGAGAAATTAATGGGATTAAACTATATAAAGCAATTGATAAATAGTGAGGACGTGACGTCACAAACTGATAACCAAATTGGAAATGTGTGTTGTGATTTCCATTGTTCTATAATTTTACATACTTTTTCAAAAAATCACAACTTTCTTATTAGTTATCCGATTTTGCTCAAACCTTTTTTGATTGGTTTGTCTGATTTTTCTGCTTCTATTGAAAGTAAGTTGTTTTTTCAGTGGATTTGTACCCTAAGGACTCGTTGTTTTATGACTTTATTTTCAATCGTAGTGCATTCTAATCTGACATTGAATTTGGCGATGAATCCCTTATTTCCACCTATCTGTAGTTTATAAATTTCGCTGTCCATCTGGTAGTAATTGATCTAACTAAATTGGTGTAGCGTATGAAAAATTAAGGATCAAATATTACATTCCTCAATTTGTTTGTAGTGTGCATCAACTTTTTACATCTCATCATGTACATACACCTACCTTCTATTTTTTTTTAATACATTGTATATTTCTAATAATGTTTTAATTACACTTGATGGCAAAGAAAGTTAATAGATCCGTTTGAACATCATATTTTTTACAGGACCAAAGCCACCTACAAACGTCATCTTTTACCAGCTCAGTGATTCCGCCCAATTATTCAGATGGCAACCTCCGCTTCCGCCTAACAACTTCTTTATTGACTACTTGGTGTTAGCCGAAAATGCGAACACAGGGGTTGTCCTAGAGAACGTCCTACCCCAAGGAGCTTCGAGCAATGCTATACGTGGTCTTCAGTCAGGGGCTAATTATAACTTGGGCGTCTTTACTAATATCGAGCCTATTACGAGTGTCCTCGCCGATTTCACGGTTGTGCCATTAGGTAAGCGACTTGTCTATATTTTAAGTTCAAATAGAAATGTTAAGGATATATATTTATTAGTGAATTGGACACTACATTCAGGCCGAATAATTTATTAAGGAACAGCGAAGATCAAGAGAGAGTTGTGTATAAGTTGCAAATGAATGAAACAGTAGAACCAAAATAAATGGAACATTAGTTTTATCACGAGTTTTTATTCATAAAATCAATTTCCCTAAAACTATATACAGTCGGTACTGCAGGTGACGTGACCATTGGGGCAGTTACAGCTCGTGAACTGGTGGTTCTCTGGATGTCCCAGGGCATAGATGCTCAGTCCTTCGTAGTGCACCTGTTCAGTGAGGATGGCACACAGGAGTATTCGCAAACTTTCTCAGCTGGAACTTCATCTGCGATATTTGAGAAATTGACACCTGACACCCTGTACACCGCTGTCGTCGAGGCCATAACTACGGCTGGAGGCTCAACAACTGTTGGCTCTGACTCGGCAACAACCAGTAAGAAATGACAGAATCTTGTCAGCAATCCCACAAAAGAATACAAAGATAAAAGGATCAAGTAGATTAGTCTGTTGATTACAGCTACAAGCCTCATGTTAACTGGGTGGAACACACCAATGCTCCAATAGGGTCAATCAGTAGGCATTTTTACAGAATAGGACTTTTAAAAATATTTAATAACATTAATAATATTTGGTTCTTGTATAGCGCATATCACACATAAACGTCTGTAAGCTATTCCAAATTTGGAAAGTATTACATGTATATTTACTGTCTTTGAGGGGATATGAGACTATGCTGCCTAGGTGCTATTGTATTGCCTCTGTATTCAAGTCTAACAATTATGGTTATATTGAGAAAAGTAAAGTATAAGTTTGGAAAATCCTTAATACAACATTTGTTTGGAAAAACTTACAGAATGAATTGATACGGAAAGTGCTCAATATCTTATACTGTAATTTGTTAAACTTCCCGTTCTTTTAATTCTCGCTCTCTCAGGTCTCATTAATTTAAGTAGGAATTGTGACTTTAGACTCATAAGGCAGCAAAGAAGAATCTGAATATGTTGCTGATGTTTTGTTGATGAATATAAACCACGCAATTTTTAACAGCAGTAGATCAAATCACTCACTTCAGTCAGTTTCGAAAGTGCATTAGCAGGGAGAAGAATGTTCAACTATGCTATTGCCCTTATATAAGGGTAGTTTGAGCTGATGTTGGAGTGTATAACCCTATAGCTACCAGCCGGCATGCGTGATATATATAGCAAGATTATTTACTTTATAGCTTTTTTGTAACCGAGTAAACAAATATTTTTAGGTATTTGGCCTACTATTTATATGTTGAAATTTCATATAGCTTCCAGTAAAATGTTAGAAAAAGCAATTGCTAGCCTTTACTAGTTATTTTACGTTACAGTTCCAAGTGCTAGGAGATATTACAGTAAAGCATTCCTTTTTTGGTAGCAGAAAGATCTATTTTACGTATTACCATTGCAGGTCTACTTAATTTCTACTTACTGAATGGCAATGTTAATTATTGATCTCACAGATGTGGAAGAAACCAAGTTAGAAATAGTATTAAAGCGTATGTGTCTTATCTTGTCTAAAATACAAACTGAATTTCGCAGTATTGTGTAATGCTGATCGTAATAAGACTTAGGAAATCGTCAAGTCTTAACATAGCCCCATCATTTAGAAATAATGAACGAATCAGATACAGTTTTGGTCATTATGCAACGTAATACAAGTAAACAGATATCAAATTTTTACATTTCATGGTAATTTTACGCCGTGAATCTTTAATCAATGAATTGGTTTGATTTAACCGAATTCTGACTGTGTGTCATCTCGTATTGTTACAGATACTCTACCGGATTCTACTAGCGTAATTGTGGATAGCACAACTTCAACTTCAGCAGCATTGTCGTGGACCGCTGTTACGGCAGTCACAGGCTACATCATATCATACATCAGTCAAGATCGCTCGGATACAGGGACGTTTGTCTCAACTGGGCCCGGTACCATAGCCACCGTACCCGGTCTACAACCACAGACAACGTATACATTCTCTGTAGTAGGAACAGATGGAACTGATGTCGTAAATGTAGGAACAGCTGATGGAACAACAGGTAAGAAAGGATAAATGATGACCCCAAACCACAAAGAAAGCAAGACATGCAGTTAAATCCTATACTAAGTTGATCTTGGTATGTCATGTTACTAATTCATAATATTTGTGATAGCTCTTAACATGCCGTGTTCATCAGTAATTATTATCTCTATTTGTTAATCATGCTTTATTAAAAACATTGCTCACATTATTCCTACTTTAATGAAGCCTTGAATTAAACTCAAAGGTACTTTGATACATGTTCAAACTTGTAAATTTAATGGGGGAATACTTGCATGCCTTAAAAGTGTACAAACTACGGCAAAATGCGTTTATCAGCTCACAAGGCCGTTAACCATGGTCTGTACATGCCCATACAGGCGGTAAACATTCGACTTTGGCAATTCAAAGTTGTGTGTAATGCCGTTCAAATTCAAAACAAATTGACAAACTATACAAAACTTAAAACCTCTGTAACCTTAAAATGTGCTTTACATTTAGTTGTATTATATCGTCTGGTTATCCCTTATTCCCACCATTGCTCTAACAACTGACTGAGCACTAACGTTTACAATAAATGTACTGTTCAAAATGTCTTTTGTAGCGAAAGTGTCATTTTAAACGCAGGAATATACTGTAGTAAAATTTAGTGTCCTTGTCATGATGACATATCTTCGTTTCCGTCATATGCCTTGCTCAATGTAATAATGTCTCTGTTAAGTTATTAACAGTGGAGAAATCTTATTTTGGATACTATCTTTGTTACAAAAGTACACAGTCAACTACTTTGATACTTGTAGTATAATCACTTGTACTCTTCCTCGTGTTTCCCTGATCCTTGAAGTTAGTAAACCATTTATTTCATCGGCTTTTCGAGTTGGATGGAGACAAGATTGTGCATTTGACAAATAAGCAGATGTGGGGGATTTGTCGCAAGTAGGTATGATAAGACAAGAAGCTGAAAGGCTGTCCAAAGCGAATTTAGAGCCTTTGAATATAGGAGCAATCCCCTGTGAAAGCTAAAATGAATTACTTCAAACATGAATTATTACAGCGTAAATAATTTAAATCTATTTAACTAAATTCAGTTTGGTTTATCAAAAATACAGAATAATAGTCTATGAACTAATTGCTTAAAGTAATATCTTAAAGTATACAATCATAAGAAGTCCGAAATCACACTTTCATACAAGTATAACGTTTTGGAAACAAACCCTAATAATAATGCAAAATATAAGAAAAATCATTTGATGTATCATTATTATACAGAATTAACACAAGTATATGATAAAATAGTTAATTTCCAAAATACACAATTACGTGTGAATCAAAGACGTGATATCTATTGATTTAATGACCGATTGGTATTATTTTGGGAATCTATTACCTCAAGATAAAATCGTAAATATTAGAAAATTACCATTATGTATCAATTTAACATTATAAGATACAGATCATTTAAATCACAGGAGCAGGACATATCAATTTTACAACAATTGCATTGTTAAATAATAATAATAATAATAATTCTTAAACATATATAGAAACAAGGGGTATTATGTAATAAAAATGGTAATAGATGGCACTATGACTGGGCATTAATCAGTTTGAAAAGAGTGGGACACTTGATTCTTTATATCATTAAGTTCTTGGGGAATAAGACTTTAACCTTAAAATAATTTTACACTGAGACTAGCAAATTATGTTGTTGATCCGTAATCATTAGACTAGCTCCTAACTTGACACAAGGTGATTTTGACACAACGTTTAAAACTTCTGGTGCTCAGCAATCAATTGGAGAAAAGGTATGCTAAGGACAGAAACTTTACCGTAAAATGAGTTTCCAAAACTACAGGTGATATACCCCAATATAAAAGATGCTACCAAATCTAGACTTAGATTAACTTTGTTTGACTTTATGGCAATTAGATGTTATACCTACTTTTGCATGTCATTTTGTAAACATAACACTGATGACTATTTATAAACATAGAAATTTGAGCATATGTATCATTGCTTTAACATTTGTAAATGATTTATCCAGGCCCTAGATAGAAGCATGATTAAAAGTACATATGCAGTGCATTAGGTTTGTAATACATTGCTTTATAGATTCTTTTTCATTAAAAAAACGACATTTAAATGAATTATGAAATAATGATACCATTGACTCTGATCAAGTGTAGCATTATTTTAATGTATTGACAGCTTTACAGACGGGTGTACTAGTTGACTCAGTTACGGAGAACACCATCACGCTGTCCTGGACGAATGTAGATGGTAGTTTTTTCTACCAGATCTTTTATAGGCCTACTGGTTCAGCTGAGGCAGAACATATGGTGACTTCTAATGCTGGTACTACAGTAACAACGCTTACGGGACTAACACCGTCAACAATGTACGATCTTAGAGTGGTATCAGTCGCGGCTACTCAACTTCCACTCGGTAACACACAAGCAACAACAGGTTAGTGTTCTGTAGCCGCTAAGAACACAAAAAGTCTTCAGTATCAGTAAGGCTGACGGTTAATGACTTTTTGTTTTGTTTTGTGTATTTGTATGTGGTTAAATACTTAAATAGATGATAGCTAGGCCTCGCAGCAATTGCCTGTTGCACACAGGTGAGATTTGCTGACATATGAACACATACACACATACATCTACCCACCTCCCAAAAGGCACCTACACAGAAAAGAAAGCCTTTTCATTATGACCAATGCCCCTGCCTTATCAAAACCAGGTAATTTGTTCTTTTATATGCAAGACTTCTTTTGTCTGTGTTGTGTTACTTTTTATGTGGTAATAACATTCATTATCTTTTCGTCTTTTCATTCTTTGTTCCCGCTTTCAGTATACGTACGCCTTGCCTTGTTTTCCTATTCTCGTTCTCTCTTCTCTATGAACATGGGAAAAAAGAAAACCAAAACAGCCAACAGATGAAATGCTATATTGAGACAAAGACGCATGCCAGAGATAGATAAAGACATGACAGTAGTCTCCACTTTTTATTACAGACCTCTTGTCAGTAGTGAACCTGGACAGCATAACATCAGACACGGCGACATTGTCTTACACCGCTATACCAGGAGCTTTTCTCTACACAATTACATATTCAGATGGCTTGACTACAACTACTGCACAGTCTCTTACTAATTCGGTCATTATCCCTAACCTTAACCCTGGCACCACATATCAATTCTCGGTGACGAGTTCATCCATCAACGGACAGCTAGATCTCGGTTCTGTATCGGGAATAACAGGTATATTTTTGTTTGATTTCTCTCATAGAGTTCTTTCTTTTATTTGTTTTATTTTATTAGAAATGTTGCATTGGTACTATGTGTAATAGATAAACAAACACAAAATAACATACTTTGTGATCTGGTTTATATTAACAAATAATTACGATTAGATGAAAGTCTTCTGGATATGTGTTTTATTAGAGTGTTCAGGCAAGACATGGCTTTAAATTCAGACAGCAAATATTCTGAATCCAACGAATACAGTGAATGCATATATATATATATATATATATAATAAAAAGAATTAAGTAAAGTTTGAATCTGATAAGGATGAACAATTTGAACACTCTTGAATGCTAAATCAAGATAAATTGTTCTTCCAGGGTTGAGGGAGTTTCACCTTACATGTAAATGTCTTTCTGAGGGATTTTAACCGAGATAAATTAGGTCTACCTTTATGACAATCTTTAAGGCCTCATGAAAAGAATCAATCTGTTTTCAACTTTAACAGATTCAGATTCAAGACTGTTACAGATAATAGCAAATACACATCAACAACAAAAAGACATACAGTATGAAGAACTTTATATATAAAGATTTAATAGTTTTGAGTTTAAGAGCATACAACTGTAATCTTCTCACTCATATGATATTTCTGATTTACTTGTGAAATGATGATAAGAGCTTTATAAGTTTTGACACTCACCTAAACTTTGAAAGATAATTAAAACTTGGTGCAACCTCCCTGAGGTGATAACGTGAAGAAGAAAAAAAAACCCTCACCCCTTTTCATCCTGTAAGTGGCCATGCCCCACCCCATGTAACCCCTAATAGATGTCCTTCGTAACAGATAACGGGAACTATCGTCCTCTATAGGGGCATGAACTTCAGGTGAAAGGACAAACTAAGAGAAAATAATTTCAGATTTGAATTTACCATCAGTTTTAGGATCTATGAAATTGGAAAGAACATAAATAATAAACAGAGTGTCATAAATAAAGATTCACGTTGGTCATTACTAGTTTTTTGTTTTTGTTGCCAACATCATTGAAGTATTCTGACAAAACAGCTTTTTAACAATGACATGTGGGGCCGCACATACAGTCGGTTCGTCCAGACAAAATGTGTACATCTGGTTCCCCTGTATCTTCAAATCTCAGAATGATTGTGTTGCTTTCTTTGAAATATATATTACAGGTTTTAAACTAGCTTTGACTCTTACCTTGGGAAAATTTGTTTAATTAGTTTTCTTATTAAAGAAAGCAAACAATTCGAAAAAAAAGGGGGGGGGGGACTTAAAACTGCCTAATATTGATATTGTGGTGAGAAGAAGATTCACTGTTTGATTAAAGAAAGCAAACAATTCCTAAAAAAAAAAAAAAAAAGGGGGGGGGGGGGACTTACAACTGCCTAATATTGATATTGTGGTGAAAAGAAGATTCAGTGTTTGATAAATTGATTTTTTTTTTTTTTTTTTTAATATCTTACTTAATGACGACTTCAACAATATAACAAAATAAGTTATTTAAATTTTGTTCTATGGCAAAAGTGAAAATTTAAACTTAGCTTTTTGAAAACGCTATATTAGCAGCTCGTCACTATGGCTACTCTAATAGCACGTCACTACCCAGAAACACAGTCTGTAAAATCATACTGTTTAGTTTTATATACTGCTGCATATATATATGTTGCATTCAGTGAATTTTGAATGTTTGACCTAAAGGTTTACCTATGTATGGAAATGCTGGTAAATTGTTTCGTTCAAATAAATCATACCATTCAAATTCAAAAATATTGAGGATGCTTCTTTGCCATCCTAGTTGATACAGAAACTGATTTTTCTTGTTTATTTCATGTAGAATTTTTCCATTAATTTTCATTTATCATATTATTTCTGCCTCAGATATACTGACGGATGTCAATGTTGATAGTGTATCAACAACATCGGCAACGTTATCATGGACGCCTATTCCTGGAAGCTTTTTCTACCGGGTATTCTACACTGGGCCGGATGGAGTAGAACAGTCGGCGAATCCCGTTACTGCCACCACAGACACCATTATAGGTCTTACACCTGGAACTTTGTATACCTTCCGTGTGGAAGCAACTGATGGAGGGGGACAAAGAGTACTGGGCAATGTACCAGCCACTACAGGTATTTAAATGTTTCTAAGGTTTGAACTCGTGCAGGGAAGGAAAAATGACTTTTTGGTTTCCTCTCTTCAAATTTGTTTTAATCATATGAATCATATAAGTTGCTTCAAATGAAAGAAAAGGATCCAAGCTTTACAAATATGTGTCATTTATAAAACATCGATAATTATCGGTTTCGTTTTTTTCTGAGACGCACTGTATCAGGTTTTTGCAAAACGCTAAATGATATCTGCAGGCTTTGTTTTGGGGAACACTTGGAATTCGGGTAATACTTGGTAAGCAATCCCCAAACCCAACATCCCAATCAATACTTTACTTGGACAATAGCACTTTTGATTGCCAGCCTATACATGTATAATACGGATCACTAGGGGGGGGGGGGGGAAAGAAAAAACCCAACACCCCCCAAACTCTTAAAGGGGAAGGCTGTAAGTTTTCATCTGTGAAACACATATTGGCAACACTGACATATCTGACAATGTCCTCCCCAATTAGCTCAGTACAGAAAATGTCAAAAACTTTCATTTTCATAGTTTTTGATGAGGATAGGCATAAATGGCCTCATACAGGTGTTGTATTGAAACATATTTGCCATCATTATATCTTGGGTGCATGTATGATCGAAACTTTCTTTAGGGAAAATAGCAGCTATCTGATTTGTTATAGTACAGAATAAATGGGAGGGTACCTCACAAGATACGTCATACAGTTGCCAATATTTGTTTGATTGATCGCAACTTCAAACATTCATAACTTCCTTATTTTTCAGTTGCAGTGGATTGTATGATTGCTCCAACTATTGCTCCAACTTTTACTGACCGGCTCCTCTCCTACTTTGGTTCTCTTAAAACCAACTTGATATCAGGGTTGATGTTTCCCTTATGTCCTTCAAAGAGATATATACCCCTATACTGAATTAGAAGTAAATTTATTGATAATTCCCTGTGAGGCCTTCAAACATACACACAGTGTATTAGCCATTTTAGAGCAGTAATAACATCTTATAGAAGCTTCATTTATAGTTGTATGAATGAGTTTATTGATGAGTTTATAGATGAATTTATTGATGACATCGATTTAAGCCACTGCTTAAAAGAAAACATGGTGGTTTAAAATGTGATGATAAATTTTGCAGTTTAAAGAGAAGAATTTATTTCATGCCAACCTTGTCTGTATATTCCAATCGGTATTGACACATATCTGTAATTATCATGTCATTGAATTGCAATAAACCAGAAAAGGATGTTACGTTTAGCAGATATAATATTCCTCTGGATAAGGTTGAGTTCCGGTAAAGGTGAAAGTAATTTATAAGCTATCCTATTCTTAAAAGATGGGAAATGTAAGCAACAAACTAACATACCATGTGTTGTAGTCCCATACGCATATAATATCTGTGTGCAGTGCATTTGACCTTCGATAAGACTGAGTCAATTCTTCTATCATTTGGATGATTCCGAAACCTCAAAGAGTACATTAATGCTTAGTTGATACGTTATAAACTGTTTTCAAATGCTTCCATGTAGTTTCTTCCACGTTGCAATCAAATGATGAATACTCAACAATACCTTCGGATTTGTTATAGATGCTCTTCAGACTGAGGTACAAGTGGATTCGGTTACGCAAAACACGGCAGCCATCTCGTGGACATCTGTCCCTGGCAGCGTTTTGTATCGGATTTTTTACACTGGACCAGATGGAGTAGAGCAGCAGGCTACATCAACAAACCCTGCAACCACCCTTACCGGACTTACTCCTGCATCTCAGTATGCCATCAGAGTGCAGTCAATTTCCAGCACTGGACAACAATTAGACGTGGGCACTACTACAGCTACTACAGGTATATGCATGGACTGGGGGAGGGGCGCGGGACGTATAACCGTAATATTTATAGTTTTAAGCACATACATTTATATAATACAGTAAACTATTCCATATTTAACGAAGAACTAAAGGTGTTTACCCCGCTCATCATCCCTACTCCCATTCACCTATACCGGCACCCCCATCCCCATCCCCACCACCCTATGAGTAAGAAAAATCTAGCCTTTGACCTAGCGGCTTCGATTTTTGACCTAAATCGCTCGACGACGAACGCTCGATTAGGTCGGTGCCCGGACGGTGACCGCCCGGGCACCGAGCATACTTTGGACGGTGAATGAAAGTGAGCAGGCGCCGTCCGAATTTTAGCTCCGCGCTAAAACTTCAGCAACGACCGAGCGATTCCCTAAAAACAAGCGGTGCCCGGGCGGCCGCCGCTCGGTACCTGGGCGAAATTGGCTCAATACTCGCCGCCCGGCCGCCGAGCAGGCTACTTTTAGGTGATGTGACCCATATGGCTCCGTTTAGTCTCATTTCACGACGCCCCCTATCGTCAGAGCATGGTCAGCGTCAGCAGCCTAACATGTTAGCCTATGGACGTTTTTTAAAAAAATCGTTAAAAATTCATTTTTTGTTTAAACGAAAAGCACATCCACCCGACGTACGTTATCACTAGCTCTTTCATTTGAGCCCTCATGTCTCATTGACTTTTGAAAGTTCACCCACCGTAATTTTTCAAAATAGGTTGCAAGCTCGTCATTGCCTATTGCCTATGAATATTCATGAACGGTCAGACAATACAGCCTTTTAGTACGTAACGTATAGTGAATGGGAATGGGCGATGATCCGTTCAGGAGGTAGAGGTCAGTGGTTTGTGCTGGCAATGTTCACGCGAGCGAAAATGAGACAATCGGAGCAATATGATAGCTTTATGTAACCCCTGTAGAGCTCCTGCAATAATAGATGAAAGGAACTATCTTCCTCTGTAGGTGTGATAACTTCAGGCAAAAGAACAAATGAAGTGAAAAGAATTTTAGGATAAGAAGAACATAAATAATTAACAGAACATCTTGAAAATAGTTTCACGTTGGTTATTAAATTCAAACATCAAGGCTCAAAAAGTTTGTTTTTCTTTTCCTGCAGCATTTAAATATTCTGACAAAATATATTTTGAACAATTATATGAAGCGTCTAACGTAAAGGCGGGAGGGACTTACACACAGTGTTTATGTCAGACTCCCCTGTATCTTCAAAACACCATGTTTTTCATGGCCGTTGAGATGCCAGAGATAGATAGAGACATGACAGTAGTCTTTACTTTTTATTTCAGACCTCCTGTCACAAGTGACCCTGGACAGCATAACATCATACACGGCGACATTGTCTTACACCGCTATACCAGGTGCTTTTTCCTACACAATTACATATTCTGATGGCACGACTACGAACACTGCCCAGTCTTTTACAACTTCGGCTGTTATCCCAAATCTTAACCCTGGCACCGTATATCAATTCTTGGTAAGGAGTTCATCCATCAACGGGCAGCGGGATGTCGGTTCTGTATCTGGAACAACAGGTATATTGTTATTTTTCTATCATCGAGTTCTTTCTTTTCTTTGTTTCCTTTGTTAGAAATGTTTCTTTGGTACTATGTGTGCCAGATAAACAATCACAACATAGAATGCTTTGTGATCTAGTTTCTAAATAAAGTTATTAAGATCAAGTGAAAGTCTTTTGGGTATGTGTTTTATTAGATTGTTCATATTAGGCAAGAGGTGGATATAAATTCAGACAACAAATAATTTGAATCCAAAGAAAACTGAGTGAATTTATTGAAATGTTTTAAAGAATTAAGTTGTTTTTTTATACCTGAGTTTGGAGAATATATTCAAAATTTGGCAGGAAAGATGTAAAATGTTTTAGAACAAATCCCACGCACATAATATATCTGTGTGGATTGCATTTGTCCTTCGACAAGACTGATTCAGTTTCTTCTCATTTGGATGATTCCGAAACTTCAAAGAGTACATTAATGCTAAGTTGATACGTTATCAACGGTTGTCTAATGCTTCCATGCAGTTTCTTCCACGTTGCAATCACGTGATAAATACTGAACATACCTTTGAATTTGCTGTCATATATAGATGCACTTCAGACAGAGGTACGTGTGGATTCGGTCACCGAAAACACGGCAGTCATCTCGTGGACACCTGTTCCTGGCAGTGTCATTTATCAGATATTCTACACTGGACCAGATGGAGTAGAACGGTCGGTATCCTCAATAGACCCTACAACCACACTTACCGGACTTACTGCTGGAACTCAGTATGCCATCAGAGTGCGGTCAACTTCTAACACCGGACAACAATTAGAAGTGGGCACTACTACAGCTACTACAGGTATATGAAAGGTTAGGGGTGGGGTGGTATAACCCTAGGATTTATAGTTTTTAAGTATGTATACATGTCGTGGCCGAGTGGTTTAAGGCGCTTGACTGGAGATGCGAAGGTCGAGGGTTCGAATCCCGACAGGTGCAAACATACATGTACAACCGGCCATTTTGTAATTTGTGGTGAGAAGAAGATTTACTGTTCGATAAATTCATTAATTTCATATTCACATGTTATATCATACTTAATGAAATCTTATTATTCTTTTTTTTTCTATGGCAAAAACTTGAATTTGAAACTGGGATTTCTTTAAATGCTAAATTAGCCACTGGTTTCTATGGCTATCCCAATAGCTTGTATATACCCATAAACACAGTCTACAAAAGTATGTTGTTTAGTTTCATATACTGTTCAGTTTCATATAATGCAATGTTTTAGCTGTTTTAGCTGACACCCTATATGTTGCATTCAGTCAATTAAAAGATTTTGACCTAACGGTTTACGTGTTTGTGGAATTACGAAATATTAAGGATGCGTCTTTGCCATCCTCCTTGATACTAAAACTGATTTTTCTTGTTATTGCAAGTAGCATTTTCCTGTAAATTTTCATCCGTGGTATTATTTCTGCCTCAGATCTACAGACAAATGTCAATGTCGATAGTGTATCAACAACATCAGCAACATTGTCATGGACGCCTGTTCCTGGAAGCTTTTTCTACCGGGTATTCTACACTGGGCCGGATGGAGTAGAACAGCAGGGGAATCCCGTTACTGCCCCCACAGACACCATTACAGGTCTTACACCTGGAACGTTGTATAACTTCCGTGTGGAAGCAACTGATGGAGGGGGACAAAGAATATTGGGCAGTGTACCAGCCACTACAGGTATGTAATGTGTATAATATTTGAACTCATGCCGAATAGGCAAACAACACTAATGAGCAAATGAATCGTAAGACTTTCCGACTATTAAATTAAATGAAAAGGAAATATACATGTCACAAAAGAAAATGAAACTTACAAATGAATATTGTGGATGTATATGCATTACATCGCTATACATGGTAGCATATTTGTATGACTTCTCAACGAAGTAGCCGGAGGCATGATGTTTTCGGGTTGTCCGTCCGCCCGACCGTGCGTAAGTACGTCCTGTTCCCGTGATCGCGTTATTTCAAGAACCAAATGATAGATTCCCGCCAATTTAAAGCCATATATGTATCTCGCAAAGCCAATGAACTGATTAGATTGTGGAATCACAAGGTAAAATATAAAGTAAATAATCATGAACGATACAGAGTGTCCCAGAAAAAACGAAACCGAGAATTATCGATGTTTTTATCATAACTTAATCACAATTATAGTTAATAAATGACACATATTTGTAAAGCTTAGATCATCCTTTTCATTTGATGCCACTCATATGATGCATATTTCATGCATGCGTGATCAAAAACAATTTGAAGAGAGGGTACCAACAATTCATTTGGTGGACAGGTATCTGAATCCAAAAAGAAAATCATATTTTTATAAAGTTCATTTTCTGCTCTTTCATTTGACACCTCAATCAAAAAAAATGAGCCAGGAATAACAAAGTTCTGTTTGTTTAAATTAATGCTTGCATTTCCATAATTTGAATACACGAATTTTTGATACCCTCTCTTCAAATTGTTTTAAATCACTCATGCGTGAAATTTGATCATAGGAGTTGCATAAAATCTAAGCTTTACAAATATGTGTCATTTATTAATCATAGTTGTGATTAAGTTATGATAAAAAAGCGATAATCCCCAGTTACATTTTTTCCGGGATACACTGTATATTTATGACTAATGATTTATATAAAGAAGGATATATATATATATATATATATATATATAAACAGAGAGAGGAAGGTCATGATTGTTTACTCATTATTTGATTTAAAAAAAAAGGACCTGCCCCATATTTTCGATGAAAAAGTATCAATTCATCATGGGTATATTTATATTATTGTTTACAAATCACAGCAACCAAGTAAATCTCAATAACCTCTTAAGACCCCTTATCTAACAAATTCATAATATTCTAAACATCTTTTTTTCAATATATATATATCGATCAATTTGATTAATTCAAAAATTGCCATTTTCGCTTATGATATTATCATACTATATGGAAACAAATATTAAATAAAGAATACATCAATTAACTGTGACTTGACCAACGACATTTCAAGTTTTAATTAAAAAAAAACGCTGTATGAGATTTGGAGAAACACAGTCTATAAAACTATACTGACTAGTTTTATATACTGCAATGTTTTAGCTGTTAAATGACACCTATATGTTGCATTCAGTCAACTAAGAGATTTAGACCTAAAGGTTTACGTATTTGTGGAATTGCTCGGTAAATTATTTTGTGCAACTGAATCTGAAAAAAATAATTTTACTTTTTCGTCAAAGCTTGTGACAGGTCCTATATCTTATCAAATAATGTTCGAATAATCAGGACCAACATTTTTACACTGTCGCTCATAAAGTTGGAATATTTTTGTTTTACCCCAAATTATGGGAATATTTATGAAAAAATAAAAAAAATAATAGATCTAGATAAAAGTATACATTCTCTGATTTTATTGAATGACAATTTGACAATGTGTGTTTTGCGTTACTGCTAAAGCATGTGTATGCTATTATACTTATTAACTAGGGGACCTACGCCCTTAAGTCATAAATGACAGTAATGAGGATTAATGCCCCACAAAAGGGCACTAATATAGCACATCGACACGGTTTTGATCCTGGGGCCTCACAGTAACGGGGCCATTGCTTTGTCACTGAACCATGACTGTACGCAGCGGGGGCTGGGGTAGGGGGCAGTTTTCATAAATAAACAAAAATAAAGAAAATGCAATACATTTTCAACAATTTAATGCATTTTACCCAGGTTTCCAACATAACAAAATCCTCTGTGTGTCCATGCTTTGAGCCATAATGCATGGCCGTCCAGAGGATTTTTTTCATGTTGGGGGTTATTTATGGAAACTGTCCCCTACCCTAGCCCCCGCTGCGTACAGTCATGGTTCAGGGACAAAGCAATGGCCTCGTAACTGTGAGGCCCCAGGATCAAAACCGTGTCGATGCGCTATATAAGGGCCCTTTTGTGGGGGCATTAATCCTCATTACTGTCATTTATGACTTAAGGGCGTAGGTCCCCTAGTTGATAAGCATAATAGCATACACATGCTTCAGCAGTCACGCAAAACACACATTGTCAAATTGTCATTCAATAAAATCAGAGAATGTATACTTTTATCTAGATCTATTATTTTTTTATTTTTTCATAAATATTCCCATAATTTGGTGTAAAACAAAAATATTCCAACTTTATGAGCGACAGTGTAAAAATATTGGTCCTGATTATTCGAACATTATTTGATAAGATATAGGACCTGTCACAAGCTTTGACGAAAAAGTAACAATTCATGATGGGAATATATAATAATAATTTTAAACAATATATTACATAGGTCATTGAAATCAAAGCATTAAGGCTTGGAAAGGTTTATTACCTTTTTTCTTTTCCAACAGGATCATGGGTGTCGATCCCGGGGGGGGGGGGGATGGGGAGATATATCCCCCCAATATTTTAGGTGCGGGGGATGGCCTGTACAATCATCCCCCCCCCCAATAATTCACCATCAAAAAAAAAAAAAAATGAAGAGAAAAATTAATGATGATAGCCCGATGAGAGTAGTTAATATACACATTTTGCTATCTCATTTTCATAATACACACATATATACGAAGTAAATAAGACAACCGTATATGAGACAAGAATAAATTGAATTCCCGCTCATACGGCTTCATCAGGAATTGATGAATTTATTCAATTTGTTCAATCAACAGCATCATAGAAATGCAGTGCGCCAAATTCAAAGACGCAGCGTCAAAAAGCAACGAGCTAAATGTTAAGCGCGAAGCGCAAAAGTAACAATCTGCAATGCACATCAGACAATCCTGGACAGTGTAAACGTAGATGAACTCTGTGACGATTTCGTGATGAGATCGGAGACTAGGAGAAAGATTTTCGGACATTAGTATGACTTATAACAAGTTCACTAGTTGTTATGTTGTTTCCGTTCACCCTTTTTAAAATTCACGTCATTGTATCTTTATTTTTATTTTTTCACTCATTTTATTTCCTGATATTTCCTAAAACACTTTTTCATTTTTGGAGAAAGATTATTATGTCACAACTTATTTGTGACACAACTTATTTTCAGTGGGGAAACTAAATTCAGGCAAGGATTAATATGGAGAACAGTACAACGAATCGTCTTCTTTCTCTAATAATTTAGTGAAAAGGGTAAAGCTTATAGGGGGGGGGGGCAACTGAATTCAGACGTGCATGGATTAAGAGTAATAATCAAATGAAACGTCAAAGTACACGATACAACTAATCGTCTTCTTTTACTAATAATTTAATGAACCGTGAAAGCTTCCGCGCTACGCGCGGAATGGGCGAAATGAATACAGACAAGGATTAAGAGTAATAATTTATAAAACGTTAAAGCTAGGAAGTGGGAAACTGAATTCATGGAGGACACGATACTACGAATCGTCTTCTTTCTCTAATAATGTATTTAAAGGTGAAAGCTTCCGCGCTTCGCGCAGGAATGGGCGAAAATGAATTCAGACAAGGATTAAGAGTCGAGAATGGTACATAGAATCGTCTTCTTTCTTTAATAATCTAATGAAACGTCAGAGCTTCCGCGCTACGCGCGGGGAAGGGGAAATTGATTAAAACATTAAGGATTAAGAGTCGAGAATGGAACATCGAATAGTCTTCTTTCTTTAATAATCTAATGAAACGTTGATTCAAGCAAGGATTAAGAGCTGAGAATGGTACATCGAATCGTCTTCTTTCTTTAATAATCTATTGAAACGTCAAAGCTTCCGCGCTACGCGCGGAGGAAGGGGAACTTGATTTAAACAAGGATTAAGAGTCGAGAACGGCCCAACGAATCGTCTTCTTTCTCTAATAATTTAGTGAAACGTCAGAGCTTCCGCGCTTCGCGTGCTCACTACCGCCCCCCTAAAATATAATCCTGGCTACATCTTGGGAGGGGTGCAACTTGCCACACGCTTCTACCTCTTGGCTGCTTTGATCCATTGCCGAAAATATTTTGGCACCTATCATCCCCCCCCCCAACCACGGATACAAATCGACACCCTTGAACAGGATTTAAATATTTTGACAAAACAAGATTTTAATCGATTACATGTAGCATCTGACGTACATACGGTTGTGACGTACACATCATGTTTTTGTCTGTGCCCCCTGTATCTTCAAATCTCTAGTGGGTTGTGTGCCACCTTTTGGAGTAGATATGAAACTAGCTTTGCATCTTATTTTGGAGTTTGAAAAGAGGTCGGACGTACATGTCCAACGTAACTGCCTATATTTTATAATCTGTAGTTCAGGAGAAGATTTATCGTTTGATAAATCGATTATTTTTATTTTTTATATCTTACCTAATGACAACTTCAACAATAGAAAAACTAATTTATTGTATTTTCTTTTAATGGAATTGACCCGTAAATTATTTTGTGCAACTTAATCTGAAAAATAAATTTTGCGAAATATTAAGGATGATTCTTTGCCACCCTCCTAGATACTAAAACTGATTTTTCTGGTTTGTTTAAAGTAGCATATTCCTATCAATTTTCATCCATGGAATAATTTCTGCCGCAGATCTACAGACAAATGTCAATGTTGATAGTGTATCAACAACATCGGCAACGTTATCATGGACGCCAATTCCTGGAAGCTTTTTCTACCGGATATTCTACACTGGGCCGGATGGAGTAGAACAGTCGGGGAATCCCACTACCGACCCCACAACAACCATTACAGGTCTTACTCCTGGAACTACTTATAACTTCCGCGTGGAATCAACTGATGCAGCGGGGCAAAGAATATTGGGAAATGTACCAGCCACGACAGGTATGTAATGTTTGTAAGATTTGAACTCATGCAGAACAGGAAGAGAAAATATTGAGAATAGTGAATTATTTGAATTATTAAAAAAGGACTGCCGACTGTGCAATGAAATGAAAATGCAATATAAATTTACAAAGAAAGAAATGAAAGTGAAACCGTTCCACAAAATAATATTGTGGATGTATTCGCATTAAATCGCCAATGAATTGTATGATTGTATGAGATGAATGAATCATTTGAATTATTATTTTAAAAATGCCCATAATTCAATGAAATGAAAACAATTATTCATATAGTTTTAAGAATATACGTTTATATCATACAGTAAATCGTTCTACATGTTAACAGATAATTCTTCCCCTTCCCACCCCCATTCACTCATCCTCCATCTCGTATATAAGTAACAAAATTCAATGAAACTTGCATTTGGTTTAGTTGGTTGGTTTAATGGTCTATTTTGCAAGTATACACAGATAGCATGTGCCTGGAAGTAAGCCACATGTGATCCTATGGACTTAATAGGACTAATGTCCAGAGAGCAGTATCAAATCAACTTGGTCCTCCTACTCATGAACTAACTCTTGGGTCCGGGGAGAAAATTGAATGAATGAATGATATGCTGATATACTGAAGCATAAAGGATCATGTAATTCCAACAAGGTCTATCAGTCGATTTTGACATGTCAAGGAAAAAAAGATGAATAGAGTCTGGGGAACAAAATAGCGAACTATCTCAATAGGAAGCTGTCTGACAACTGAAAGCAACCTCATGCCTAGTTCTTTAAACAAATTAAGGATATTGATAATGGATTTAATTGAATAGAATCTAATGAAAATGAATAAAATCAAGTAGAAGAGCTGTTAATATGGGCTTGATTTCTCAGGGATTTTTCTTTTTTTGAAAATTGCCGTAATGAACAGAGGGTACAAATACATATGCAGTATTTACCTAATTATTGTTTTCTGGTTTCAATTTTTTTTTTGGAGGAGATGTATTCCTTTAAAGTTATTAAACAAGACTTTCCAACTATTAAATAAAATGAAAATGAAAAATGTGTCAAAAGTGAGAAAAGGAAAGTGAAACCGTTCAACAAAAGAATAGTGTGGATGTATTTGCAGTACATCGCCAATCGATTGTAAAATGCTTACCATAATTGATTCGTGATGTCAGTGTTCTGGGTTTGAAAATAGGTGGGAAATGACAGCAAGCCAGCACCTGTGTATTAGATAAGTTTTTATTTTTCATATTTGTATGTAAATATATATTCTGAAACCTAACAAGAATGCTAAGGTGCTGCATAATAAACCTTTCCAGATGCCTCCAGGCAGTTTCTTCCACGATACATTCGCTTGACAAATACTCAACAATACCTTGAACATTCTGTGTCATATAGAACCTCTTCAGACTGAGGTACGTGTGGATTCGGTCACCGAAAATACGGCAGTCATCTCGTGGACATCTGTCCCTGGCAGTGTAATCTATCAGATTTTCTACACCGGGACAGATGGAATACAACGGGTGGTTTCCACAACTGATCCTACAACCACACTTACGGGACTTACTCCTGGATCTCACTATGACATCAGAGTGCAGACGACTTCTAGCACTGGTCAACAGTCAGACGTGGGCACTACTACAACTACTACAGGTATGAGCATGGGCATGGTTAGGAGGATGTGAGTTGGGTGGTATAACCCTATGATTGATTGTTTAAAGAATATACATGTATATTATGCAGTAAATTTAAATATCTTTAACTTAATGACAACTACAATGATATTTGATTCAATTTTAATTTCATATAAATGTTATTTGTTTTAGTTTTGAATACATACTAAAATCAGTACCGCATACATTTAAAGGAGAAATAAACCCAAATAATAACTTTAGTTCTTCTGAGAGATTTATTGCATTCTTGCCCATCAATCTACAATATTACCCACCACAGTGTATGAGAAAGGCATAAAGTAAAGATTAAGTACAGTTTCTCAACAAGACATGGGCATCGCCATTCTCTTGATTGCATAATGTACTATGCGGAGTCGTTTATCAACTAAATGTATTCAAATTTATGGATGCTTCCTTCCCTGACATGTGTGGTGTTGAAGCATTTCATTCACCTGCTATTATCCTTTGTACTTCAATTGCCAGAACGCAAATTGCATAAATAAGTTGATGCTGTTCTGGGGTGAATGTTTCGCATAAATGAAATAGATATTTCAATTGCTATATTTTAGTATTTTTAAATAAATGAGTTACAATTGTTACCCGATAATGTACTTTTTACCAAAGGTAACTTTTAAATTCTTAGCTATGATTTCCCCTCAATAAAAAGTAGAGGTTTTTTATTGGATTAACAAGTCTTTCCAATTAAAGCTTGGTGTGCAACAACGCCTGGTATGTCACATTTTCAAGAAAATGGCTGCGCCCATGTCACGCAAAAAGGCATAACATCACGCCAAAAAAGTTTCATCTCTTATCTCTTGTACACGTTCGTAAGATTTATTGTACATCAAAAGACAGGAACTCGTCTCGTTTTCAGAATACCTCCACTTCTTATTTGGGGTTAGTTTTTTTTTTAAACACGCATGGAGGCTTATAAACTCAATTTAAACAGGACTGGTTCACTTCTGAATACACAATTAAGTCAGTAAAACATACATGGAGAAATATAAACTCATGAACTTAGGTTTAACAGAACTGACCAGGGCTCCAAGATAAACTAAGTTATTTTAACTAAATATTTTCCTTTGGCAAAAATTTCAATTCAAACTTAGCTTTTTGAAAATGCTTTGGCAATTTGAATGATGCTTCTTTGCCACCCTCCGTGATACTACATTTTCTTTTGATTTGTCTTTTCATTGAAAGTAGCATTTTCCTATTAATTTTCATTCACGGAATTACTTATGCCTCAGATCTACAGACAGAAGTCAATGTTGATAGTGTATCAGAAACATCGGCAACATTATCATGGACGCCAATTCCTGGAAGCTTTTTCTACCGGGTATTCTACACTGGACCGGATGGAGTAGAACTTTCATGTTGTATTTGTAAAAGTGCTGGTAGCCCGTCTCAAAGTCCTACTGTGCATTGTGTCTGGACCCAATGTTCGAATGTATTCCCTTTTCTCGAGTACTTAATGAATTAATGACAAGACATATTAAATGAGACAGTAATTTATCTTTACGTTATAACAATTTTTTTTTTTAAATATTGTGTGCATTTTAAAATGCAGATTTCCCAAACAGTGTTTTTATGGATCTAATAACGGCAACCATTGTATTCTGGACACCTATTCCTTGCCACTTTATCTATTAATAATCAAATTTGTATTACAATTCTAATTTAATTCGTATTTTTAATGCTTAACGTGACATTGTCTTTTTTGTACGTGTGCTCGGACCGCAGATCTTCCAACTGAAGTCAATGTGGATTCAGTCACACAAGACTCCGCCACTATCTCATGGACACCGATACCTAATACCATCTTATATAAGATATCCTACACTGGTCCAGATGGAAATGTAAAAACTGCTTCTGCAACTTCAGAGACTGTTACACTAAATGGCCTGCTTTCAGCAACGGCATACAATGTTGATGTAACTGCCCTCACGAATACAGGACAAGTGGAAGTTGGAAACACAGTTGCAACAACAACTGGTCAGTGTTAAAATAAGAGTTCCTAATCCCAAACAATGTTTTCATGCACATATTATTACAGTCATACTCCTTGTCCTAATTCCAAGGTTCCTATATTAAATAAAAATATACAGGACAAGACAGAATAACAAAGCTACACTCTGAATCTTTGGTTACTAGAAGCCATGTTACCTTTTTTTTTTATAAATAAACATATAATCTTTTTTAGAGACTTCTATATGGAAAATACGTTTGCATCTTGTCAAAATATAAGGGAAGATACAAATCAAAGAGCCAATAGAAAATGACAATTCTCTCTTTTAAAATATATTTTTATGCTGCATTATTATTCATCATTTTTGCAGGTGTGAAAAAACCTCTTCTCGGATGTTTTACTTATCTATGTTAAAGAAAGATACATTTTGTTCTTACTGTGAGATAATATTTTTTTTATAAATACTTGCATTATGTAAATACTTGTTACAAAGAGACTTGCTTTAAGGGAACCATTAAACTCCATATGCAAGGTACTGTTCCCTAAACATGGTCGCAACGGGCAATTTTCATCCCCTTTTGTATATTTCGTAAAAGTCATGTTTGGATTATGAAATATGTTACATGTTTGGACATTTTAAAATGTGATGGACAAGGCAAAATTGCCCTATGTTTATTTTTTGAAAGTCTTAGCAATCATATATATTTGACATTTTGATCTAAACCCCCTCTGTTGTAAATTAGTTACATAATTAATATGAATCAAGTAAATGTGCATACAAGAGGTACCAAGGAACTAATGAATCAGAACAATCTTGAGTAAACACGGCTTCTTCCACATCTAAGATTACATTGTTTACATTCCATTTTCCCCTTAAAGTTGATATTTTGCAAATGCAGATTTTCCCTCAATATGTGTTGTTTCTGTCTTCCTAGGAACTAATCCATGTGCTACCAATCCTTGTCTAAATGGTGCAACATGTGTGGATGAAATTACAATGTCCTCATGCTCCTGCCTGCCAGGTTTTATCGGTTTTTTGTGTGAAACAAGTAAGTTTCAATTCATTTCAATCAGCGCTCAAAATACACGGGGGCGATGGGCGATTCGCCCCCGTGAGCTCCATAATCGCCCCCGTCAGGTTGCCCACGGGGGCGATTGCAAAATTAAAAATCACCCCTGTGGAATTATAAAATAAAGATCATCTTCTCTTATATAACTTTAACACAATATTGAGTATTAATTTTCAAACCTTAAACCAATGAAATGGAACTTAGATGGCATTATATACCTCACTTAAGAAATCCAGCCATCTGATTGGTCGAATTGCATTCATAAACTTCAACTGTTCCTGTAAAATTCTCGGTAACCATGCTTAAAACATTTCAATATTTTTAATAACCATGGTTATTAAAAATAGTTGGTCAGCCTCCATGGTTACCCCATAGGTTTACATGTTAAAAAATGGTTTGAGCGATGGAGGATGCCGTATGTGTGCGAAGGATTGGTCGGTAATTTCAATACAATTGAATCTCGATCGATCTTACCGACAATTTTATCTTGCATTGTTGACATGAAGACGAAAATAAACTTCCAAAAACAAAAAAACAACATCTGCCGATAGATCTTGATCTAAGTTCGTGCCAATATGCATTGCAAAAGTAAAAGAAGAGTCCGTATATGGAGCTTTTGCGAAGCATTCATCACACGCGAAGCCGGTTTCAATCCATTTTAATGTATATATTGGAGAAAACTGCCAAGCATGTTAACGGCGGGCCATAGCCGAGTGGTCTAAGCGTTGGTTTTCGGTACACCTCTTGTTATACGCAAGAGTTCGAATCCCGTCTTCGACAAAACTGATAAATATTTTTGATTTTTCATTTTTTAGTTTTTTTTTTTCGGCATATAAAAGTATTAATGACTGCTTTAATATTCGAGAAATAGTTGTTTTCATACGCTCTCGGGAAGGTTACAATTGGGCTATTCCCCTCGGCAAGCCTCGGGGAATAGCACAATTCTAACCTTCCCTTGAGCGTAATAAAACAACTATTTCTCTCAAAGCAGTCATTAATACTATACTATTTCTCCCATCTCTATGAGTATTACGGATACAAACAACGGAAGCTCGCAGTGCACAGCTAATGCGGCCGTCATACTGCGCCGGTAGCACCGGTGTGCACGCTGACGCCCAATATCTGCTGGAGCTGGAGACGATCGCGCAAGGAATGAAACATGGAGAAGTTTTCGTTGTAAAAAGTGTGAATCCTCTGAAATCTGGTTGTTCTAAAAGACCAGCAAATAATGTAACTTGACCAATAAATCAATATTGAGAAGAAGATCAGCAAAGATGTTGCAGGGGCGGTTCTATGCGGTTTAGAGGGTTAATGTGCATATAAAAATGCTATCATGTGTCCAGACCTACACAGTAGTAGTAGATGTCAGTAGATGCCAGGAAAACATCACTAACGGGGGTTCAAAATAGCACCCCAAAATCGCCCCACCCCCCCATCCGTCCGCGCGAAGCGCGGAAGCTTTGACGTTTCATTAAATCATTAGAGGAAGAAGACGATTCATTGTACCGTTCTCGACTCGGCTCAAGGGTTTTAGGCACTTAATTACGGTCAGCTGAGTATCAAGGGGGCCCGCCTTAGGGCCCTCGGTTGGGTTCAGGGCCAGAGCCCCGGAAGCTCAGGGGTTTTAGGCGTTTAATTACGGTTAATAACTTATTTTGTTGTGACACTGGCAGTTAACTATTTTTTCTTTCTTGCTCTCTTTCTCTCCATTTCTCTTTATAAACTATTTCAAAAAAAGTGGAGGGGGGAGGGGGAGGGACCTCGAGGCTCCCGATCCCCGCCGTTCCGCGGGCCCTGACGTGTAGGTCCCTAGGCATTTCAAGAAGCATATTTCTTGCCTGGCTGTAAATTTAGGAATTTGTCATTTTACAACAAACGCATAAAAAAGTATAATTTACTAAAAAATCTCGGAAAATTATGTCATTTCAGCATTATGTGTAAACCACCGTTATGGAATAAGAAATAAACCACGTTGA